CGCACAGAAAAGCCTCTTGCACGCATGGTCAATATCAAACAGGAAGTCGGCCATTTTGGACTAAAGTGGCCATTTTGACCCCGTTTTGGCCATTTCTAGGGTCTATATTTGGTTTAACAGTTTGGTCATTTTTCGCACGATCGTCTCAAAAATAGTGTGCGATCGAACAGAAGCGATGGACGATTAAAATGAGACAATAAAATTGACTTTTCGTAAATACTGAAGGGGCGGGACCAGGCCTCAAAGTTCGAGCACTCGCCAAAAAAATTCAAATTGCTATAGATTCATAAATGAAAGAATTACAGTTAAAGAAATGTTCTATGGACAATTGACGTCGCCCTCCGAAGACAAATGAATGGTCGATTGATGATGTCACATAAGCCCCGCCCCCTCAGGACTTAAAAGGTGAAGTTTTACTGGGAAATTTTCCAAAATTCGCCCTTTCAAATAATCATCCCAGATTTGTAGCAGGTAACTGAAGACAAGTTAGGGTTGCTTGGCGTCACTTTATGGGAGTTTTCTGCAGAAGGCGGGGATGTGGCGGTGCGGCGAAGTCAGGTGTACCGCTTAGGCCTTACGTTTGCCTCCCATTTCGTCATTTCTAAAGATATCGCCACAACACTTCTTGGGAGTGATCCTAGTCCAGCCCCAAATAGAATCTGATGTGAACATCCGGTGGGCGTGGCCTATTTTCTGAAATAGCGCCCCCTAGGACCATTAAAACTGTCAGCCCCAAGCCATACTTTGGCTGAGGATTACGAAATTTGGTACACTAATGTGGTGTCTCAGGACCTACAAAAAAGTCTCTTGGAGCCAAGTGCAAAGTCGCACAGGAAGTCGGCCATTTTGGTCAAAGTACTCGATTTAGTGGTATTCGCACACGTTGTTTGGAGAGTGTTGCACCATCACCCTTTTCACCAATCACCTTCAAACATCTGCTATACACTCTTAAGACATAGATGAAAAAATTCAACCGTCGGATTTTATATAAGTATAAAGGTGTGGGCGTGGCTAAGCCTCAAACTTTGACCTGTCGCCACGCCACTCTTTTTTTCACAGCTCCCTATCGGACTCCTTTTAACCAATCACCAGCAATCACTGGCAAATAGCAGCAGACAAGTTGAGGTCACTTGGTCTATAGTACTGGCAGGTTTCGAATAAAGGCGGGGCTTTGGGAGCATGGCGAAATTCGCCATCACGCCATGGAAATACGTTTGTCTCTCATTTCTTCAATCATTGTGACATCGCCACACAATTTCTGATGAGTGATCCTACTCTGACCCCTAATAGAACTGCACAGCTGAAGTTTGTGGGCGTGGCCTATTTAATGAAATAGCGCCCCCTAGGACCATTAAAACTGTCAGCCCCAAGCCATGCTTTGACTGAGGATTACGAAATTTGATACACTAATGTGGGGTCTCAGGACCTACAAAAAAGTCTCTTGGAGCCAAGTGCAAAGTCGCGCAGGAAGTCGGCCATTTTGGTCCAAGTACTCGATTTAGTGGTATTCGCACACGTTGTTTGGAGAGTGTTGCACCATTGCCCTTTTCACCAATCGCCTTCAAACATCTGCTATATACTCTTAAGACATAGATGAAAAAATTCAACCGTCGGATTTTATATAAGTATAAAGGTGTGGGCGTGGCTAAGCCTCAAACTTTGACCTGTCGCCACGCCACTCTTTTTTTCACAGCTCCCTATTGGACTCCTTTTAACCAATCACCAGCAATCACTGGCAAATGGCAGCAGACAAGTTGAGGTCACTTGATCTGTAGTACTGGCAGGTTTTGAATAAAGGCGGGGCTTTGGGAGCATGGCGAAATTCGCCATCACGCCATGAAAATACGTTTGTCTCTCATTTCTTCAATCATTGTGACATCACAACAAAATGTCTGATGAGTGATCCTAGTCTGACCCCCAATAGAAATGGACAGCTGAAGTTTGTGGGCGTGGCCTATTTTCTTAAATAGCGCCCCCTAGGACCATTAAAACTGTCAGCCCCAAGCCATGCTTTGACTGAGGATTACGAAATTTGATACACTAATGTGGGGTCTCAGGACCTACAAAAAAGTCTCTTGGAGCCAAGTACAAAGTCGCACAGGAAGTCGGCCATTTTGGTCCAAGTACTCGATTTAGTGGTTTTCGCACACGTTGTTTGGAGAGTGTTGCACCATCGCCCTTTTCACCAATCGCCTTCAAACTTCTGCTATATACTCTTAAGACAAAGGGAGAAAAATTCATCCATCGGATTTTATATAAGTATAAAAGTGTGGGCGTGGCTAAGCCTCAAACTTTGACCTTTCGCCATTACATCACTTGACTTAACTCCCATGTGCATGATCAGATCTATATCAAACTGTGTCTGTGTGATCATTGACCACATCTCAAGACAATGACAATGTGGACAGCTGACATCACCTAAGCCCCGCCCCCTGACTACAGGAAGTCTATTTTTTATGGTGAAATGCCCATATTTGTCCCCTCTAATTTAGTCAACATGACACTAAGGTCATGCACTGTCTTCATGATGTTGTAATGACCATTCAGATCTGCTAGCTTTTCAGAAAGGGAGGGGCTTTGATGCCATGGCGATTTCTTACTCTGACCCCTAATAGACATGGACAGCTGAAGTTTGTGGGCGTGGCCTATTTTCTGAAATAGCGCCCCCCTAGGACCATTAAAACAATCAGCCCCAAGCCATGCTTTGACTGAGGATCACGAAATTTGGCACACTAATGTAGTGTCTCAGGACCTACAAAAAAGTCTCTTGGAGCCAAGTACAATGTCGCAAAGGAGGTCGGCCATTTTTGTCCAAGTTCTCGATTTAGTGGTTTTCGCACACGTTATTAGGAGAATGATGTCTCGTCGTCCTTTCCACCGATCACCTTCAAACTCCTGCTATATACTCTTAAGACATAGAGGAAAAAATTCAACCGTTGGATTTTAAATAAGTATAAAGGTGTGGGCGTGGCTAAGCCTCAAACTTTGACCAGTCGCCATTATGTTACGTGACTTAATAACTCCCATGTGCATGATCAGATCAATTTCAAATTTTGTCTGTGTGATCACTGACCCCATCTGAAGACAGTGACAATGTGGACAGCTTACATCACCTAAGCCCGCCCCCTGACTACAGGAAGTCTACTGTTTTATGGTGAAATGTCCATATTTGTCCCCTCTAATTTAGTCAAGATGACACTAAGGTCATGCACTGTCTTCATGATGTTGTAATGACCATTCAGATCTGATAGCTTTTCAGAAAGGGGGGGCTTTTATGCCATGGCGATTTCTGGCGTGACGCTGTGACCTTACGTTTGACTGTAACTTCCACAAACAGCCTTCGATATGCCCGAGACTGAACATCACATCACCAGTGTAGTAAAGATAGAGTATCTCCTAGTGGTGAGACGTGTAATGGTGGGCTCAGAGGGGATGCTGAGTCAGGGTGAGGTGTGGACGCGGAGGCCGTTCACGGTTTCTGGTGTCGGGGTGGTTGACTTTCTGTTCTGCCAGACGTGCCCTGGTGCCCCCGGCTGCCGGCCAGGATGGAGAAGCGCGGAGCTGGGTTTGGAGAGCGTCGCGGATGGAGCGGAGGGGTTGCGGAAGGAGGGCGAGCAGCTTCGCTGCGAGGGCCGAACGACGCTGCTTGCAGCTTTAATATTTAATTTGTTTCTTAACTTGTTATCTTAGTCTCATCAGTAAACCAGTGTTTCCTCTGTGGGGGCTGGCTGCCCCGGGGGCAGCGGTTGGCTGTTGCGGCTGGAGTGCTTCTCGTGCCTCCTCTTGCGCAGGCTACTGCTGCCGATCCTGCTGCTCCCGGTGCAGTTGGCTCCTTTGATGGCGTTTCCGTCTTCTTTGTGCCTACTACATCTGCACTCCGCCAGCAAGCAGCACTTTCTCTTTTACGTGTGTGTGTGTGTGTGTGTGTGTGTGTGTGTGTGTGTGTGTGTGTGTGTGTGCGTGCTTGCGTGAGTTTGCATCTGCTTGGAATGGGATTGAGGGTGGGAGGAAGGAGATACAAAGGGGATCTCTTATGTGAATCTGAGTGGGAGGGGTGGGAAACCGACTGCTGCCTGTTTGTTTTTAATATTGTAAAGCACTTTGAGCTGCATTTGTATGAAAAGCGCTTCATGAATAAATTTGATTTGATTTGATTCTAGTTCCTGAAACAGGTGCACCAGAGCTTTGTTTCCCAGAGAACGACTTTCAAGGCATTCATTCCTACTAGAGACCACTGCAACGAGTGATCCCCACCTCTACAGTAGATACCTTTTTTTGATCAAAGTAGCTATTTCTAAACATACTCATATAATTTCTAAAATCCAGTCCTGATTAAAAGTGGTTAGTTTGAGTTCCTTATTTCTTCTCAATATTTAAATAGTGAGGAAAACAGCAATTGAGCGGCAACTCATTAAAAGGGAAATTTCTTGTAGTTTTTACTTCCAAACAACTGTAACAAGTGTGTAATTTACATTTTCCTGTTCAGGCACATTTATGTAAACAAAATGTGTTTTTTGAGTAAAAATCTGACAGAAAAAGTTCTTGAATTCTTTGTTTGAAGCAAGAAAATTATTGTTTTTCTGTCAGATATATTCTGGTGATCCCCAGAGAGATTTAAGCAGACACTGTAACCTTTTCACAGTAAAAACAAAACAAAAAAGTGGTTTAGTGGTTACGGGGGATGCTGTAATCTGATTGATGAAACGTGATTAAATCCCACTGCTGTTCTGTGACTTGTGTGCGGTTATCTGAGGAGAAAACATGTCTATGAGCACATCCTGGGGAAGCGTGTGGGACGATCCAGTCTCTGCTGCCAAAGAATAAAAATGTTCTTGAATAACAACTGTGCTGTAAACATTCTGGTGCTACAGTCTGTTCTCAGGAGGAATGATTTCATAATATTAGCACCAGTTCTGCCCAGGAACTTATTTTAATGAAGATCTAAACCAGAACACGTACTTTATTTTAGATTGAACATTCCTTGTTCTTGTTTTTTGCAGGGCTCCTACGGCGTGGTCAAGCTCGCCTACAACGAAGATGACGACAAACATTACGTAGGTCAAACTGTACTAAAAAGTCTCACAGGTAAAGGTGACTTTAGAGCTTTCATTGAGCCTCTCCCTTAGACAGAAGACCAATGGTATTGATTTTGTTTTTCTTCTAAAGCCTTCTCCTTCTATTGCCTGACTTTGGACCCCCCCCCCACCTGGACCACATCCAGTTGCCTGGGAGTGAAACTTAAAAATAAGATTTTTGTGCCTTTCAAAGTACATCCTTGTATCTGTTCTAAAAGCAGTGCTGCTGTGTTTCGTGAGTGTCTCTGCTGCTCTGAGGTCAGCTCTAACTGCCGCACCTGGAGATGATCCAACCAGGGTCACTTTAAGGAGTTTCCATCAGGGTGATTCGGTCCTGTGAAAGCTCAGCAGCCTCCAGATGTGAGCTGTTTGATGCTTTAGCTTTAACAATGAAAGTCTTTGGATGAGTTGTGCTCACTTAAGCTGCCAACTCTGGATGGGTTTGAAATATACTTTTGATCCGGTGCCAATAGGAGCTTAGAGATGAACACTATTCAATATGAAAAATGTGAGCTGAATTGTAAACAACAGGGTGGTTATATAAGGACACGGTCCAGCTCAATGAAATGTTAAAAAAAACAGGGTGCTTGCATAAACTTTTATTGAGCGAAACAGTGGCATAAATACGAAGCATCAATAAAAATGTGCTTTATTTTAATCAAACCTTAATTTGAAGGTGCAATTTGTAAGAATTCTACTGTGAAATAAAAAATGAAACAGTCTTATGTCTCAATCATGGAGGGACAATAAAGTTAAGACTGAAACAGATTTCAGTCTCAGCCGGCTGGGGGGGATGTCGATTTTTCTCCTTTAAAAAAATTAAAATAAAAATAAATTAAAAAATAAACGCTGGATGTATTTTGTGGCTGGCAATTGTAATTCAACACCAGCTGGCAAAAATCTCCAGAGCTGTTTAAAAACACCAAAGCCAGTTAACAGGAGCAACCCAGAAGTTATTTATTGTACCTCTAAGAGGCCACAGCATCGTTTTGTTTCACTCTAATGGGTAAAGAAGGCTAGAGACTAATGTTGAGCTAACAATGCTAACAGTGAATTAGAAGCAAATAGTGGACTCTAAAGATCTCTATTACAGTGAAATGTATGTGTGAAGTGAATAATGAGTCACTTGTGTTGTTTTCCTTCCTTTAATGAGTCGTTCAGAATTACAGCTAGCTAACAGAAAGATGGCTAACAACCCCACTTCCTCTAATGCCGGAGGCGTACCGTATCTATCTCTGTGGGGTATCATGTGGCTATAATGGAGAAATAGACAACTATTTATTAACAGTTAAATAATCATTTTGCAATGAAACATTTTTAATAACAGTCTAGATTGTGGCTTTCCTCCAGCCATCCCCATCACCGATTAGTGTGTCTTTTTCCATATTTAGCCCTTGACTCAGTGCGCGCACAAGCCTTCTCAAATCAGATGCAGATTGTCAGGAATAGTTCAGGGACAGATTGTGGGTCACTGCATGCTGGCTGAAACAACACATGCATATGAACGAGAGTGACAGGAATCAAGTGTGTGGGAGATGATTAATGGCAGTGCGGAGGAGGGAATTTTACTTCCTGCCATTAAGATGAGGCTTTGCTGATTTGGATTATAGTGCACTGAACGTCTGCAGCTTGAGCCCACGTCGAGTGTGCACAAATGTCACACACAGAACATAGGCAGGAAGTACAAAAGGTACTAAATAAATGTCTGTTGATGAAACAGCAGTGATTCATAACAGGGAAACTATTTCTAACAATTGAAACTTCCTGTTTGAATAATTCCTCTGCTCTCATTTTGATTGGCTGGTGCCTAGTTATATTGTTTCCACACCTCAGGCGATCAAAGTAACACTTTCATCTCTAATCAACTCTTTTTTAAATGGGCAAGTGATTGATTAGAACATATAATTGCTCTGGGAAGCAGAAGGACTCCATGTGTCATTGTTTAAATGAGGAGATATTTATCTAACGAGATGCCAGAGCAGCAGAGTTGAGTATGTCTGTTCTAACCGGCCCGTACTAAAACCAGTCGTATATCTGGCAAGCAGTTGAGTATGATAGTAACCCTTGTTTGGTGTCATTTGTTGGATTAGATTAAGCAAAAAATGTACTCATCTACCAAACGGGGCCTCAGTAGCATGTAGAAGATCCATGTACAGCCGCAACAGCTTAGCACATTCCTCACCAGTCTGGTCAGTCTGGCACCAAGGCTGCCTCCAATGATCTCGTCCCACACCATCATACTACCTCCACAAAAAGCTGTTATCTTATTGGAGCAGCAATCAGCATAAGATTTAATTTTTTAGACAAACTAAACCAAACAAAAGGCTCCATATAAGGGAAAATAAGCTAGTGTAAGATATCAGAAGGCATTGTTATTACAAAGAAATAATCACCGAAACATAAATTTCTTTACTTTTATGATTAGTGGATAAAGGTAGCAACAAACTGTAATTTTATACTTCACTGGAGAAATATCATTTAAAGGTCTAACAGCTCAAAGAAAGGTAGACTTTGGGTCTCTAAATGAGTATTTTAACATCTTTTGATGTTTTTTTTTTAATTATTTGACTGTTGGAGGTTTTATGTGGATCTTTTCTGTTGTGTCTTACAATAACACTGTGCAATCGTAGGTGATGGAGGGTGCAGGAGGAGAGCGTCCTATGAGAATTCTCAGTGTAGCTGTTTCATGAGAATGAATGGCATCTACCTAACAAACCACCTCCATGTTTGCTTAACCCATCCCTTTGGTAAAGGCTACATCATTAATAACTTAATTTTAAATGTTTTGATTCATTACTTTTATAACTAAAGATGCTGAACAGAGGAAACACTCAAGAGGAGAAGGATGGAGACCTTAATGAGGGAGCTGAATGAGTCAGTCCTGAAACGAAATGTGATCTTCCTGTTATTGTCTTGGGTTGCGTAAGAATCAAAAATAGTGGATTTAATTTAAAGTTTTTTGTGATGATTCACCATCACGCACCTCTCCTGGCACATTCAGCTCCAGAAGCTATTTATTTTAATGAATGGAGTCATGATAAACGCAGGCGGCAGCAGCAGCGTGCCATGGAAACCATGCAAAGAGGAGGTTCTGCTTTCTCGTCAACCCTGGTTTCTGCACAGTCACCGAGCTGCACATCAGCAACACTTTTTGTGTTGAGGAAATCGAACATGTTCCACCTTTCTGTGAATTAATCAATGGTGAAATCACAAAGACAGGCGAGGAGAGGAGAAATGTCCAGCCTGTGGTGAATTTCCCCCTATTTTTGGAGTCAGTTCTTTGGAATGAGGCACCATTATTCCTCTGAAATATTTGCTATTGATGCACGCACGCACACACACACACACACACACACACACGCTCAGAGTTGTCCTTGAGAAGTCTGGAGATGTTTTTTTCTATGAAAGATTCAGTGGCTCTGGACTCCCCCCGACCTGAGTAAACACTGACTGTGGTACTTTGTTACTGCAGTAACTTAAACCTCTAAGGAATTTCTGGGCTTTTGCGTTTTTTTCCTGCATTTAAATTGAACTAAAACTCAATTTGAATATAATTTAAAGGGCATCAATTCTTGGAGGTTTATCTCACTTTCATTTTGCAGCCTGGTTGTGCTTCTTCTTTGCTGTTTGATCTGATTTCAGTTTTTACCTTTCTAGGCCATGAAGGTTTTATCCAAGAAGAGGCTAATGAAGCAGTGTGGGTTCCCACGTAAGTCTTGATTGACCTTCTTGTATTTTGTTAAGTAGGTAACCCCCACCCCTCCAAAAAAAAACAGGATTTCCTAGAAACCTGCAGCTTAATCTGTCAAGATTAGAGCAAACTTTAAATAATCTGGATGTGTCACTTATTTTCTGAAACTTTTCTGAAAGTTGGGATATCATTAAGGGATTTTTTAAATAATCCTGTAGTGTGTGTTTGGATTTTTGGAAGCGTCCAACATTATCCAGAGTTCACCCACCTATCTGCCACATGAATTAAACATGGACAGACACGTCTGCTATAAAAGTAGAGATGTCCTACTACAGGATCTCATGTAAAGAGTCTGTGTGAGTAAAAATAAAGCGATATGGAAATATTCTGAACTATTTAAATGTATGCACCAGAGCATGTGAAGATACGACTAAAACGAATGAAAAGGCATTTTTTAATATATGTCATACGTATACTGGGTATTGTGGCCAATTTCCTTAATCGATACGATTTTGATTCATAAGGCTCTGAATCAATTAATCACGATTCGATTCAATTCCATTCAGTCTGGTCTTAAATAATTAAAATGCTGCGGTGGAAAACGTTTCTATCATTTAGTTGAGCTTCTTAACGTCAGGGGGTGTCAAACTCAAATTCACACTGGGCCGAAATGTATAACTGGGACAAAGTTGCAGGTCAAACTCGGTATTATTGAAAAGTTATGGCAAATTCTTTACAGATATGTATTGTTGAACCTTTTCATTTGGAAAAAACCTTATTTTTGCACAAACACTAAATCTGGAACAAACAAATTACACACGAGTAGTCAATTTGAAATAAAACCCACATCAGTGGTATTGGTTAAAATCGTTTTATTCCTTAAAATGAGTATATATTCAGAATTTTTTATCTGTTGAATTTCAAGTATTTCTACTTCATGTGTTTTTGTTGTTTACTTTTTATTAACATTTACTCTCCTCCTTTGTTCCTTTAATGACTGTAATTGCTGCTGTGACAGCAAACGTTCCCCACTGACGGAAAACAAGGGATTTTTATTCTATTTGTGTTCTATTCTTCTATCTGTAGCCTTTCCAGTTCCTGTTTTAAAGTCTGTTAAATATTTTGTTAACAGGCCAGCAACAAAAAAAACAAAACAAAAAAAAGTAATTCTCCTAAAAGAAAATGCTATATCTCAGCTATTAACGTTCATGCTTTGGAGCAGAAAAAGTGCATAAAAACAATAATTCAAGCTGAGTTTGCTCCACTCTCACGCTCACCTGCCACTGCATCTCTCTGTATCTGAGCTGAGGGAGGAGTTCATCAGTGGGACTCCTGTGTTGTTTTTGTTTATCTTTATCAGACAACAGTTGCTCTCACAGGTTTGTGCTGCTGAACATGGTGCGCATTTGAGCAGCTTGAGCTGGGTCCGTGTGTCGGGGAGGACAGCAGAAGCCACAAACTCTGACTTGAGCGTGGTGCTCCACTGGAGTTCAATCCGTCGGGCATTTGGTGCGTTTTCTATGTTCGCCACGGCCCGTGAACAGGTTACTGAGGCTTCAAAGTTGACAAAGCGCTGAGTAAAGTTGGCGTTATGTAAAATGCGCATTTTCAGTTTGTCTCAGACTGAGGAGGGTAGCGCTGCAGATGCCAGTACTATTAGCACGGACGCAAATGTCTGTGGACAGAGAGGAAGGGCGCTTCGACTGACCCGTTGATGCCGCAAAGCACTGTGGGATTTGTAGTCTTTGCAGCAAAATGAGCCGGCAGGCCACTCTGGTTCAAGGGGAAAAAAATGAATCTTAGGCCTAATGAGTCGATTTTCCAAAATTAATATGAAATTGTTCCAAAATCGATTAAATAAGTTTTTTTTACCCTGCCCTAGTCATACGTCACTGATGTGTTTTGCCCTCATTCTGCCATCCTGTGCACACCTTTTAAAAACCAGATGAGTATAGCCTTTAGACGTAGATGCAAAGGTGCACATCTTTACTGAGGCAGGACAATGTAGGATTGATAAAAAAATTCTTGTCATGACATTTAAAACACAAATTTGATTAATTCCACATAAACCTGAACACACACATCAGAATGTTTCCAGTTTAGATTTCTCGACCCTGTGTTCATTCACACATTTTTAATAATTTTTTGTCGTGTTTTGCAGGTCGCCCTCCTCCAAGAGGACCAAAGGCAACCCAGGGGGAGCAGCCTAAGATCCTAGGACCCTTGGAAAGGGTTTACCAAGAGATCGCCATCCTTAAAAAACTAGATCATGTCAACATCGTCAAGCTAGTGGAGGTATGAGTTTGTTTTGCACAGACGCAAAAAAACGGAAATGAAATTAAGTAACATTTAGACGAACCAAACTTTTTTTAAATTAATGATAAAGTACTTTTGTCTTTGAGCAGATAATAACCATACATCACCACTAGGGGTGCTGTTGTTATTTAGAACAGGGGATTTAGTTTATTTCATTTATTTTTCCCGTTTTTTTTAACTCTCCTGGAATTCCAAACATCCTGCATAACCCACTACTAACACATTTCAGTTATTCCCAACAGTAAAGGCCACAAATTCATCCTGTTTCATCCAAGAGAGATCGGTGCACCTTGGCTAGCAGAAGCTAACCATTAGCGCTGGCAACTCCGCAACATGGCGAAACACGTTTGGGCTTGTGTTATTTGTGGAGATAACCCATCAACGTTACATTTTTTAACCACAAAAGAAAAGCCAACGGAGGCAGTGGAAGAGTCACGTTGCTGTCATCCAATCAGGGACAAGATGTTTGTATATTATGAATATTAATGAGTAAGACTCTAAATCCTGCCATTTTCCACCCCACACTCCTCCAACAACCTTCTGCCCCCTGAAACCAGAGCTCCAGAGCTGTTTTTCCACAGAAAATGACTCACAAAGTTTTCATTCATCCTAGAGACCAACAGAGTGAATGAGAGCTTTAAATCTACAGACCTGGCAGCAATCAGAACTGGGTGTGGCTGGTGTAACTGATATAAAATCCAATTAAATCAGGGTTTAACCAAGTAGGAAAGTCCTGCTTTGTCAAAGCATTTTGTACCAGGTCATTTCAGTTTTCCTTTCAGACTTTTCTTGTAGAAAAAAAACAAACAAACGTCTTTTGGGATGCATCTAAGATTGATAGACTGTCATTTTTTTGCAGAGGTGTTTGTTTAGGAAAGGAGATAGCCGATTTTGGAGACATGACTCAAGAAGCACACTGCTCTCTTGTCATAGCATCGATGATTTTAGTCCAGGCCAGATGGCGGGCCACTGACATCTTGGCTGGGAGTTGAGCTTGGCCAGCCAGGCACTAGGAAAGCAGTCTGGCTTGTTCGGCTGCAGCCTGTGCCAGAAAAACTGAGTTTTCAAGAAAAGGTTAAGTACTTCGGCTCCTGTGTGTTCGCTCCAGCCGAGAAGACACACACACACACACACACACACACACACGCACACACACACACACACACACACACACACACTCGTCCCTTTTCTTTTCTGCCATCCCTTTTAATTGCACACTCATAATGGTAAATGGCCTGTATTTGATATAGCGCCTTCTAGAGTCCTGGAACCTCCCAAGGCGCTTTACAACACAATCAGTCATTCACCCATTCACACACACATTCACACACTGGTGGGGATGAGCTACGATGTAGCCACAGCTGCCCTGGGGCGCACTGACAGAGGCGAGGCTGCCGAGCACAGGCGGTCCCTCCGACCACCACCAGCAGGCAACGTGGGTTAAGTGTCTTGCCCAAGGACACAACGACAGCGACAGACTGAGCGGGGCTCGAACCTGCAACCTTCCGATTACGGGGCGAGCACTTAACTCCTGTGCCACCGTCGCCCCAATAATTAATCATTAATAATGGGCAACGGAGATCTCTGCTCGCCTCCTCCATCTCTCTCATCCATTTAAAAGGCCTGTGCCAGGGTCAGGATCACATTCATTAAGGGTGGCCAGCCGATTCCCAGGGGAACAAACCCCGCTCCATCTGATTACGAATAGATTTTTGTTTTTTTCCTCTGGTTTTGAGAAACCAATCCCACACCAAGTGGAACAGATTAAAACTGATGAAAGCGATTTGGTCATTTGTCACAGATGGTCAGGAAGAGAAAAAGTAGCTGCCCCAGTTCTGTCTGACCCGTTCACTTCTTATGAGACTTCCATCAGAGCCCAAAGCTTCATCTGTGTCACTAGTCTAAAGGTCCAGATATTATTTCATTACATCTCAGTCTCTGCACCAATCAGCAGCTTCAGATAGTACGACTACCCCACCAGTGGCATGCAGGTTCATAGCAGCAAGGATGCTTGCAGAGTGTGTAACGCTAATAAAAGCATTTTAAGTGAACTCTACAGAGACTGCATCAGAAAACATCGACTGCGATGTGTTAAAACGGGCCTGAGTAAAGACTGCAATGCCTTCCTGTTCCTCCGGACAGGGATTCCAGTGCGTCACGTCCTCGGTTGGCTTTTACCGTCATCGTGTGTGTTGACGTCCACCAGGATGTGGTTTTAGATGAACGCTCCTGCTGGATCGTGCCTAGTGCTTTGATGCATCCCCTTGTAGAATCATCAACTACATTTATCAGAGCCGGTCTGGATTATCGGCACTAAATTGGGTTCTGGTTGGTCTAATCAGTGCTGTCAATCAAGCTGCTGTCAGTTACGAACAGGAAGTTGAAAAGCCTTGACCTTATCAAATCAAGACTTACTGTAAGTGATTGTATGTTTATAACTGATTCTAAATGAATTACATGTTAATAATATCTCTTCCTAGACAAAGAATGGTTCAGATAAATCATTGAAATATCCAAACTTCTAACCACACCTTCATAAAGAGAAGAAGGTTTAATCTAATTAAATCAACTAAGTCTTCTTTATGACTCAGAACTGCTTAGAACCACTTTCACCATCGATAAGTTTAATTCAATTCAATTCAATTCAAGTTTATTTATATAGCGCCAAATCACGACAAGAGTCGTCTCAAGGCACTTCACATAATAAACATTCCAATACACAGTTCATTAAGCCAATCAGAAATAATTTTCCTATATAAGGAACCCAGCAAATTGCATCAAGTCACTGACTAGTGTCAGTGACTATACAGCAATCCTCATACTAAGCAAGCATGCAGCGACAGTGGAGAGGAAAACTCCCTTTTAACAGGAAGAAACCTCCAGAGAATCCTGGCTCAGTATAAGCAGCCATCCTCCACGACTCACTGGGGATCGAGAAGACAGAGCAGGCAGACAGACAGACACACACACACACACACACACACACACACACACACACTGGGACGTAATTTTGGGGGGGGACGGGTGGGACATGTCCCCCCCACTTTTTCAAAAGGCAGTTTTGGTCCCCTGCACTTTTTTCCGTCCAAAAGCAATGTTACGCTCCATTAAATGGATTTGGTTGAGCACTAGGACCGAAACGGAAACCGGTTTACTATTAGACCCGCCCAAAAGCTAATCTATTGGCTCTGCTGATACTTGCTAACGTATTATTGGCTGTTGCTGCTGTCACTCAAGTTGTAAACAGTCAGAACGTGCTCACGTTGTTTTGCTAGTTTGGAGCCGCTAGGGAACACCGGTACTGAGTCACATCGTCAACTAGACGCTGTGTAATATCAGAGCTCAGCTCAGCTTCTATTACATAACATTTGAATAAGTCTTCATTTGTGAGTCTTTGGTAGTTAGGCACAGCCAGGAGGCAGCATGTCAAGAAAACGAAAAGTGGATATAAGAGACTTCTTTCAAAGTCAAAACGTAAGTTGGAACATGTGACACCCCTGCATTAAGCTCAGACTCACCTCCTCCTTCACACACATACTCAAAACTAACTTTTACAAACTCATCTCCTCCACATAACTGACTCCTCAGACACAATTTATTCGTATTATTATAATTATTTTTTTATTATTACTATTATCATCATAATTATTATTACTAGTAGTAGTAGTAGTAGTAGAAGTGTAACTTCAAAACCTTTATCATTTAACTTTATTGTAAACTTATCTATTGCAATGTATATGTTCACATTAAAAAGCTCTGAAAAATGAACAGTATCATCATCGTCAACAGATTTTTTAAGCTTAATGTCAAAGATGTACACTTTTCATTAGATTTATCTTATTTTTTCCATTTATTTTTTGTGTGTTGAAATGCAACAACTGTTTAAACACTTTTAAGGGAAAAAACATATTTAATATGTTTTTATACACTCAAATGTTGGGGTGATGATCATGTGTAAAACATTAGTTCAGCATGTCCTCTAACACAGCAAATGAACAAACGGCCAGATCTCAGGAGGGACCGTTTATGTATAAATAATTTTTATACTTTTGACTAGGCCTGGGAATGTAACAAATTTTGCTGGACGATATTTTGTCCAACAAATTGTTGATGATAAATGATATTGTCAACATTATCTAGACCAAAATAACCACTAATATAATGTTAATATATCATAATAATGCAAGTACACCCTTTAAAATGCAACAAATAAACCTTCATTTAACATTGAAATGTCCAGAACCAGAACTTCTAAATGAATAAAAATAACAAACAAAAATTGAATAAAAAAGGAATCTCACTCCCTGTTAGAAAATGTTGCACCAAAAACAATAAAAAAGACCCAAAACAATAAATACAATGGCCTATCCATTGTCAACAGCCAAAACTGCACTTCAATAATGATAATAAATAAAAATAATAATAGAGTTGTACATTTTTTAACTTTGATATGTATGTATATATATATATATATATATATATATATATAGATATAGATATAGAGGATGGAAAAATTATTGAGATGGGCAAGTGACGTGTCAAGGGGTCTTTACATAACACCCCCCACCCCAAATCCGCACAAGCCTGCTGTGTCCCCCCCACTTCTGAAATCAAAATTTCGTCCCTGCACACACACACACACACACACACACACACACACACAGAGAGAGAGAGAGAGACACACACACACAGACACACACACACACACACACACACACACACTCACACACACACACACACAAAGACAAGTAATGTGTCTATAGTTATATTGTGATGTCTAAGTAAATATTGTATTTGGTGAGAGATAAACTTTATTGTATTTATCCTAGTGGATCTATAATTAAACGGATAAACTAGTATTAGCACATCAAAAGTCAATGAAAACAAAAAGTTATTATCAGGAGAGAGAGAATGTTTTAGTGGTTAGCAGCAGTGTGCTAGTCGATGGCCCCCTCCATGAGGCCACCACAGCTCAGCAGAACGTCATTGTAGCTTCTTCTGGGGAGAAAAACACTTACAGAGAAAATAAAGTTAACAGCTGAAATTGCACAAAATAGTACAGTTAAAAAGCAGGCTGTAGAATAAAGCAGTAGAGTATGAAAAGTGGTCAGTGTGTCCTCCTGCAGTCTAAGCCTATAGCAGCATAACTACAGAGTTAACTCTGGATAATCTATCCTATTTAGATGGAGGCATGTTGGAGGCAGGGCAAGGGAGAGCCGTCTTTACCGACTGTACACTCCACCTCCCTCTACTCCCCCACTTGTCCAGATTTAGGCTAACATCAGATTTTAACCATAGGCCCTATCAAATAAAAATGTTTTAAGCCTATTCTTAAAAGTAGACAAAGTGTCTGCCTCACGGACTAAAGCTGGGAGCTGGTTCCACAGGAGAGGAGCCTGATAACTAAAAGATCTGCCTCCCATCCTAAGTTTAGATATTCTTGGAACCACCAGTAGACCTGCAGTCTGAGAGCGAAGTGCTCGGTTAGGAACATATGGAACAATCAGATCACTGATGTATGATGGAGCTTGATTATTAAGAGCTTTATATGTGAGAAGAAGGATCTTAAAATCTATTCTGAATTTAACAGGTAGCCAATGTAGGGAAGCTAAGACAGGAGAGATATGATCTCTCTTTTTAAATAATCATCTTCTGTTTGACACGAGCAGTTTCATTATTATTTTTTGTCTCACTCTTGTTTCCAACCGGGACTCAGACTGGTGAGACTGGTGGATGTTCATTTAGCTCCCTTCAGCTCCCACCACAGCATTTCAGTCGAACTGCAGTTGGGACACTTTCTCATCACTGCCCCAGACACATAGAAACCAGATGTTTGTTTACAGCTGCTGAGGTTCAGTCTAGGACACGAACTAGCTTTTGCAATCTGCGCTCCAACATTATGGACCAATCTAGATATCAGGTAGATTTTTAATGATCCATGAACATAATTTGGTGTAGCAGCTTTAAATTGTCAACATTTCCCGTGATTATAATTTTACTGCATTGATGTTTATTTCATCAATGAGATTCTAGTTTTCTTCTTTATTCTACATGTGTTGATATTTTTTACTTGACTTTAACTTTGAAAATCCTTCATTTCTTTTACTCTCATACCCAATTTAGTCTTTGATCTGTATGTATCAGATTAATGGAAAAAACATTTTTATTATTATCATTATTATTATTATTATTATTATTATTTCCAAATGAAAACAAGTAAACCTCTTCTAACAGTGGTGATTTCATCAGGTTATTCCTCCACAGTTTAACATGCTTACATCACTATTTATATATTATTGCATGTGAAAAATAAACAAATAATGAGAAGTTTAAAACAAATAAATACAGTATGTTTTTTAACCCCTTAAATTTCCAGGTCTCATGAATGCAATGTGTTTTGTCCCCCAGGCGGGACACTAGAACGCTAAGGGAAACTGATTTCATGTTATTATTTTGTCCTAACTAATGAACGAGAAGGTCCAAGGCTGCTAGTGTGCCAGTTAGAGTTATTCCATACAGACAAAGGAGGAAAAGCCTCTTTAGCTCAACTTCTCAAACCAAGATGGTTTCATGTAAGATTCCTTCCAGTTGGCGACAGTCTGCCGACTTCAGCGAGGTCGGAGACTTTCAGCAGCTGGCATCCTCTTTGGCAGCGTTCTCCCACGCCTCCTTTGCATAAGCCTTCCGTCACAAACGAGACAGATGCACCCGAGAGTCGGCACAAAACCGAAACCGAGGTGCTGGTTGGGTGATAGTTTATTTACAGCTGGCTAAATGTGCCAGACTGAGACTGAAAGCTGTGGGGAAGCTGATGAGAGCCAGACAGGGAGGAACCCCAGAGGCAGAGCTGAAGGAGCCCCCCGAGGAGAGTGGGATAGCTCTAGGAGGAAGAGGAGATCACCAGCATGAGTGGAAAACATGGCTGATCACACAGAAAGCTGGTCAGACAGGAGTGAGGGCCTGGAGTGGGGCTAAGAACACATTCTGTGTTTATTTTCTAGTAAAAATCTGGTGGCTGATCAGATGGTGAGTCTGCAGCTGCAGGAAAGCCCCTGCAGGTCCACTCGGGTATGTCCAGGAGAGGTGCGGCATCTTTAATCTGATCTAAAGCTCATTCTGCCCAGAACCTTTCATCTGTATCAGTAACTGCTGCATTCCACTTCAGAGATGCTAGTTGTTCAGCTGTAGGGCTAAAATGATTTATTGAGTAAATCAATTATAAAAAAACATCCTCTTTAATAGATCTGATGCTTTGTTTAAACCCCGGGGATCACATGATTCATGGGGATGGCTACTGCCTCATTAGTTCACAGCAACATTGACAACTGTGCAAATGACGGATGTGTTTCTAATTAAAACTGCATTCCCCGCAGATACAATCAGTCTTAAACTTCTCAATTATTATTTTGTCCCAACATTAATAAAAGAAATACAAAGTCTGGTTTCCAGAACTTCTCAGCTGGACTCAAACTGATCACTTGTTTTATTGTCGAAACAGCTGGAGCTCAATGTGTTTCATCTATTTGTGACAGAAGTTTCTGTTTTGATTTTGCAACAAAAGAGCACAAATATGCCACTTAACTGATTTTCATCAGTGTTTGCACCACATGTTAGATCTCTTAGATTTGGGAGTCTGGAGCTGAGAGGGAGTGGTCATTTGGTGCAAATGATGCACAAATTCCCGATGCAGGGCATTGTTGTCAAGTCATGACCTGAGCTGCTCATGTTTTTCTAACTTAGTTCACATTTTGAGCTGTTGATACATTTTATTCCAGTTTTTATGTATTTTATGTCAACCATGACACATAAAGACTCATTTAAATCCTGGATTGTGCTTGAGAAAATTATGCAAACAGGTCACTCATGCATTTTAAACAAATTAAAATATGTTGTAAAAAAGTGTTAATTTGGTTATTTTTGCAGTAATGTGCATTTATAAAATAAAGAGACATTAATGTATTCCCAACTACACTATTTGGAGTTATTTGTTTCTTGATTTCTGATGATTTTCTTGTTTCAGGTGCTGGATGATCCATCAGAGGACAACCTTTACATGGGTATGCATGTTTGTGTTTAATTTTACTCCGTTTGTTTCCCGTTTCTACCCCAGCCAACAAATGTTGATGTTAGTTATTTAGATGTTCCCTCGATTCCCTCCTCTCTCCTCAGGGCTCCACACACGGATCTTCAGTTTGGATTTTTGGTGTTTTTGAGCTAACACAAAGCTTTTCTGTAACTTTAGTGGCACTAAAGTAACATTAGATTTTCACGTGTCCCTTTCTGTTTTTCTTTTCCTTTACCCTGACAGTGTTTGAGCTGATGCCTAAGGGGTGAGTAGACAACATGTCCCTTTATTTTAAACACTCATTTCCCCTGTTCCTCTTCTCTCATCTTTCAGTCTGACCTCAGTATCTTCAACGTTCTCCCTCATTTCTCCAAGCAAACTCGTTCCCAGTATTTGTTCCAGTCACAGGCTTCAGAGAAGGACATCATGTTCTTAGTTTTCATGGCTAATAACACACACACCATGTGAGAGCTTCATGTCCCGATGCTAAAGGCCATCGTTCATTTTAAACACATGGTGAAGTGCTTATATAGTAATATGCCTAAACTTTATATTATTTGGTGATTGACTATTTTGAGATGATTGCTAAAAGCTAAAAGCAGAGTATGGGGACTTTGAGGTGGCCTCTCAAATCTCTGGTGCTGAGGTCACTGAGGTGGTTAAAAAGCTCCTCTGTGGCAAGGCTCCAGGGGTGGATGAGATCCGCACGGAGTTCCTTAAGGCTCTGGATGTTGTGGGGCTGTGTTGGCTGGCACGGCTCTGCAATATCGCATGGACATCGGGGGCAGTCCCACTGGACTGGCAGACTGGGGTGGTGGTCCCCTTATTTAAAAAGGGGGACCGCAGGGTGTGTTCCATCTACAGGGGGATCACACTCCTGAGTCTTCCTGGTAAGGTCTATTCAGGGGTTCTGGAGAGGAGGGTCCGTCGGATTGTTGAACCTCAGATTCAGGAGGAGCAATGTGGTTTTTGTCCTGGCCGTGGAACACTGGACCAGCTCTATACCCTTAGGGGGATCCTGGAGGGTGCGTGGGAATTTGCCCTGTGGGGGGTACTCTGGGAGTATGGGGTACCAGGCCCTCTGATACGGGCTGTTAGGTCCCTGTATGACCGGTATCAGAGCTTGGTCCGCATTGCCGGCAGTAAGTCGGGCTCGTTCCCAGTAAGAGTTGGACTCCGCCAAGGCTGCTCTTTGTCACAGATTCTGTTCATAACCTTTATGGACAGGATTTCTAGGCTCAGCCAAGGTGTGGAGGGCATCTGTTGTGGTGGCATGAGGATCAGGTCTCTGCTTTTTGCAGATCATGTGGTCCTGTTGGCTTCACCAGAACGTGATCTTTTGTTGGAGTGGTTCGCAGCTGAGTGTGAAGCAGCTGGGATGAGAATCAGCTCCTCTAAATCTGAGACCATGGTCTTGATTCGGAAAAGGGTAGAATGCCTTCTCCAGGTCAGGGATGAGATCCTGCCCCAAGTGAAGGAGTATCTCGGGGTCTTGTTCATGAGTGAGGGAAAACTGGAGCGTGAGATCGATAGGCGGATTGGTGCTGCATCTGCAGTGATGCGGGCGTTGTACCGGTCTGTCGTGGTGAAGAGAGAGCTGAGTCAGAACGCGAAGCTCTCGATTTACCGGTCGATCTACGTTCCTACTCTCACCTATGGTCACGAGCTTTGGGTAGTGACCGAAAGAACGAGATCGCGGATACAAGCGTCCAAAATGAGTTTTCTCCGAAGAGTGGCTGGGCTCTCCCTTAGAGATAGGGTGAGAAGCTCGGTCATCCGGGAGGGGCTCGGAGTAGACCCGCTGCTCCTCCACATCGAGAGGAGCCAGTTGAGGTGGCTCGGGCATCTGGTCAGGATGCCTCCTGGACGCCTCCCTGGTGAGGTTTTCCGGGCACGTCCAACTGGGAGGAGACCTAAAGGTAGACCCAGGACACAGTGGAGGGACTATGTCTCTCACCTGGTCAGGGAACGCCTTGGGATTTTCCCGGAAGAGCTGGCCCAAGTGGCTGGGGAGAGGAAAGTCAGGGCCTCTCGACTTAGGCTACTGCCCCCGCGACCCGACTCCAGATAAGTGGATGAAAATGGACGGATGGATGGATGCTAAAAGCTGAGAGATTAGGAATCTGTTGTTCATTTAAAGGATGCTCCCAGTTTCAAGAAATATATTCAGGTGTTAAACTTCGGAAAAAAAAGGCATCATGTATCATTAATACTGTTGACAAACCTCTGATCAATCTGCCTCAAATGACAGGCTTTAGATTAAATTAAACATGATATATCATGGGAAAAGTCTGCTAAACAAAAAGGCGTTTGGAAAATAAAGTTTTAGACAAAAAAGGCATCAGGAACAAGGATCACACTGTCTCAGATGACAGACTTAAGATGAAAAAATGCCATACACACGAACAAATTAGTGTATGGAAGGCATCGAGTATCAGGAAAAGGCATTAGGTATCTGTGAATTTATGTTTGTATAATTTCAAGAAAGACGCCTTTTATTCTGATACCTGATGCTTTTTGAAATCTAAATTCTGCCCAGAGGGTGTTTTCAAATCAACAAAATATTAAATGAACCCAATGAGCCCCAATTTTTTTTAAAATCTAAACAAAACTTGAAAATGTGGACATTTTCCAGTGAGAAAGCGTTTTTCTCTTATTTTGAGCAGAAAGGTGATTGGGTCTGGAACCAGTTAAAAAAGCAGCAACACAACAAATCCTGCTGATGTTCTCATACTGGGATACTGGGTTTCATACTGGCTTTGCTTCCATCCAGCTGCTGTTGAAATGTGCCTCCAGGTGCTTGTCTGCTGTTGTCAGACTCCACTGCAATAAATGCTAACAAACGTGTAGCCTTTAACACACTCAGCTGAGAAATGCTGTTAGTCAGACGTGCTTCATAATTTAGTTTGAAGTGATTTTTGTATTATTGAAACCATTTCTGTGTTTGATTACACTTAAACCTCATTTAAAATGTTTTCTCTGCTCTTTGTGTTTGTAATCTGTAGTCCAGTGATGGAGGTGCCCACAGAGAGTCCTTTTACAGAGGAACAAGCACGTTTATACTTCAGGGACATCCTCCTGGGCATAGAATACTGTAAGTACTTCATGCATGCTAACCGACGCATTTCTGGCTTTTTTTTCTTTCTAGCTAGAAATGCTTTTAGGAAGATAATCCACCTGTGGGAGCAAAGTGCTCTCCAGCCTTCCTTCTGCAGCCGTTTGTCCTAATCAGCATCGAGTCGCTTTGGAGGAATCGTTTTCCTCACACTGCTCTGTCACCTGCAGCAGATCGATTCCACCTGGTTGAAGTGATCAGTGGCGTGTCCAGATCTTTTAAAATGGGGTGGCCCAGGTGAGGCACAACTTTGTGCATGGGTGGCACCAATGGTTATGCTATTTTTGTTTTACCTCCAAGCCTTTTTTGGACAATGAAAAGCTTATTTAAAGGTAAATTAGTGTGGTGTCGCCTGGGGTGGCCAATCAGATTCCAAGGGTGGCATGTGCTACCCCAGGCCACTCCCTGGACACGCCCCTGGAAGTTATTGAAATTGTTCATTTAACTGGAATGTTTGCTTTCTTAAAGTGAGCTCATGAGTCGTCAGTGTCTGTTATTTGCCACTGCTAGTTACTCTTTCTATGTTACTGTTACTCAGCTACAATATGGTGTTAAAAAGTTTTTTAATATAAAAGCGTTCATTTTACTCCGACAGATTGGGTATCTACTCTGTTATTACTCATAAAAAGAACATGAGTAAATAAAACATAACTTTTAATCAAAGTCTTCACTGAGGAGCGTTATAAGATTTGCCCTAGTTTCTGTAAGATGTTGGGGGAAATGACGCAATAAGACTTTCTATTTCCTCCATCAGATTCCCATGAAAGTAGTTCATTCCAGCTTCTCCCAGCTGATGAACAGTCAGGCTTTCTTCCTTCTAACCAGCTCAGGTTTTTAATGAGACCGATCGAATCACAACAAAAATCCCACTTTGCTTCTTCAGTGCACTACCAGAAGATCGTCCACCGAGACATCAAACCCTCTAACTTGCTACTGGGAGACGACGGCCACGTGAAGATAGCCGACTTTGGAGTCAGCAACCAGTTTGAAGGGAATGACGCTTTGCTGTCCAGCACCGCGGGAACGCCGGCCTTTATGGCTCCAGAAACCCTGTCAGAGAAACGCAAGAGTTTCAGCGGAAAAGTGAGTGGCTTCAAACTAGACGTCGAATGATATTGGTTTTGCTATTGCTGATGTGTACGAGACATGATCAGCCGATGGTCAATATGTAATGCCGATTATTATTTTATTGTTTGGGGGGGCGATTTTCTAGACGTCTTCCACTTTATTTGCATGTTAAAATGTCTCCAATATCATCAGTTGATGCACAAAGTTTCTGAAGCTGAATCAGTTTTTGAACCAGCTGTTAAATCTCATATTTGTGCACAGGGGTGGATTTAGGACTGAAGAAGGGCTTAACACACACACGTGACACGCACTAGTCAACATCATATTTGTCTTGTACCACATAATTTTTAATCTGAAGCTACATATTGAGCATATTCAGGGCAGAGTATTGTTCCTGTTGGTGTTTAGTGTGAGATGATAGTAAATATTCCCTTTCTTTCTCCAACAACTTTACCTGATAATAAGCTAACTTTAGGCAAACCAGCAGCACAACAAATATTTTCAAATAAGACTCACAAACCTGAGTCAACACCAGTCTCATCAAAGCTGGGGTTCTGTCGTGGTACTTTTGGTCTAAAAATGTCCTTATGTCCATCTTCACTCATGCGTTTCAGGCAGAGAGTGTAGAAGAAGCCGGCTGCTGAAGGGCTTCTTCTTCAGTGGTGGAGGCTCAGGCAGGCTGTATACAAACTACTGCCAGCTGCTCCCTCTCTGTTGGACTTTGGTACTGCATTTTACTTCCGCGATTTAGATCCGGGGCTTTCTATGAAACATCCGGGGCTTCAGCCCAAGTAGCCGGGCCTAACGCCGCCCCTGTTTGTGCACTGCTCAGTGTTAAAGTTAGTCATCTAAATAAAGTTACATGAATTAATAAACTGACAAAAAATTACATATTGATGTATCAAAAATAATTAGTTGAAAATAATTTTTAGAGCATTTAATATGTAGATGTTATCCAGCAATAAAAATATTATTTTTAATTGAATTCCTCAACAGTACAAGGCTGCCCGGGGATGTGCCTGACTTTTAAATCGGCTTTACTAAGGAGGTATATCAGCCGATACCGATGTACAAAAGGACAGTAGTAGCTCAAGAGGTAGAACAGGTTGTCCAGTAATTGGAAGGTTGCAGGTTTGATCCCGGCTCTGACCAGAGAAAGCTGCTGTTGTGTCCTTGGGCAAGACACTAAACCTGCCTTGCCTGGTGTTCAGCAGCCTCACCTCTGCCAGTGCGCCGCATTGTAGCTCATCCCCACCAGCATGTGAATGAGTGAATGATTGTGTTGTGAAGCACCTTGGGGGGTTGTAGAACTCCAGGAAGGCATGTGGCCATTAACTATAAAAAATGGTAAACATCAGCCCGATATATCACGCAGACGCGCTCACGTGTTCGTTTCCCCGAAGCAGGACTGTCTGGATCAGATGGATCTTAGAGGAATAGAATACAGAATATTTTCACTCATTTGCAACTTATAGTTCACCTTTTAGCTCATGATCGACATTTCCCTTATGTTCTTTAACTTTGATCAAATAAGTGGAATAACTTCATCGATATAAGACTGGTCTGTCCCCCCTCTAGTGGGTATCTGAAGAGGCTAGACCTAACATGTCCATTAAACAGGAGCAAGAATAGAACATTTGATTGCAGCCAAAAAGCCACAAGGGTAAAGGAGCCCTTTAAGTGGTTCCGACTGCTCTAAAGAAATATATGCAGACCTATTTTTCTTTTCTCTCTGATTAGTGTGTCCTTTTTAAATTTTTGAGTACGGTCAAGCTATCTTTCAAAGAGAGTACAAATTAAAAGTGAGTTTTCGTCATTTCCAACGTCTCTTAAAACCTTTTGGCTGTCACTTCAGAAGTGCATCGTGGCACTGAGATAAATTGCATGGAAATGAAAGGCTAAATTAATCACCTTTTAACTGCTCAGTAAGAGAAATGGTTGAAACACAAAGCGATTGGTGGGTAGTAACAGCATCTCTACTATCTGACAACCAAAAATAACCTCCTGATCCGTGAATCAGTCTGCATGGCTTATCTTTCAGATAGCTAACACATTAGTCATTAACATGCTGGGGCTGTTGCTCCAACAGTTATGGGGTATTGATTCTAAAGTCACACATTAAATAGACAAGTGGCTACAATTGGAAAAATATTTAATTAATTTCTGAATATTCAGATTAAACATTATATATTTAGATTTGTTATTTAAATTTATTAAAATATTATTTAGATTTAACTTTGTTTATTTAACTCATAGCCAAATATTTAGATTTATTATTGTTGATTTAAATATTTAGATTTAACTTTTAGAGGGATTACAAACAAATTGAATTTAGCTTAAAATATTGAGATATTATCCTAAATATTTAGATTTAAGTTTTTACATGTGGATTTGTTTGTCAATATTGAGATTTTACATGTAAATCAATTTCTTAATACTTAGATTTCATTTTGCGTAGTTTAATTGCCAATGTTTAAGACAAGCTTAATTTATTTAACTTTATTACATATTTGAATTTACATTTATATTGGAAATATTATACAAAATAATTTGATTTAAAGTTTTACATCTGGATTTGTTTGTAAAGTTTTAGATTTTACTTTCTAAAGGCATATTTTTAACTTTAACTTTAAATATAAATAATAAACATTTGATTAATGAACTAAACTTTACATATTGTGATTTGTTTCTAAATGTATAGATTTAAACTAATATAAACAAATACATTTCTTAATATTCAAAATTAAGCTTATCCATTCAGATTCATTAATAAATATTTAGATTTTATTTTAATGTAGATTAAAGTTTATGTTTTGAAGCTTATTTGTAGAAGTTGTTGTTTTAGTATTCTGCTCCGGCGTATACAGTAGATCCTATAAAATACCAGATCTTAAACACACACACTACTGTTCCTGTCTCATTTGAATTTACCATCTCTGTTGGTTTTCTCCTAAAGGCGCTGGATGTGTGGGCCATGGGAATCACCCTCTATTGCTTCGTCTTTGGGAAGGCAAGTCTGCATCTTCTCTGTCTCTCACTCGTTTATCAGCACCTGTTCCACAAACGATAACCGTACCAAGCCAGGCTGGTTTTCCTCCACTGAGTCTGCTGCTTGTTCACTGCACCCAGCGGGAACAATCTCTGTCACCTTTTATTTTTTTGGCTTTGATTATACGGCAGCCCTCTAAAGCAATTATTCACTGGAATGAACACGAGAGGCTGATTGCTGCCTCTGCGACTTGTCTTATGTGTCTTTAGGGATACAGGCTGTATCCATTAGTAATCATATGTGGTTGTGAATGCTTTTCCCTTGTTTCCCCTGCAGTGCCCGTTTATTGATGAGTACATCCTGGCTCTGCACAATAAGATAAAGACCCGGCATGTGGATTTCCCAGAAACGTGAGTTCGCCTTCAGTATTATTTTCACTGAAAAGACAGCAGCGCCTTTTCATCCTCTTCCTGTTCATGGCTTCTGTAACATCTCCACTTTTCATCTCATTTGCATGTTAGCCTCTAAAGATTTTTCCATCCTACAAATTGCAGCAGCAGGAATATAAAGGGCGGTTAGTAAAAGCAGACTGCAAATGTCACCAGTCTGATGGAAACGAGCAGCAGCCTGGACTAAACCGAGCTGCTGTGCCTCGTGGGTCTTTCTTTCAAATGAGAGGTTAAATAAAGGTGATTAACGCTACAAATTCAGATAACAAACAAAGCTAGAAGGTGAGGGTGTGTGTGCATGGTACAAACAGACTGATCATGCATAAACAATAAACTATGAAGTGGTTGCAGCAGATGGGGGTCAGTGCTGTGTTATTTTGTTCCTACAGGAGTTCTGGTTCTGCAGAAAGCTCTGACACCATAGATGCTCCCATCCTCCCACACACCACCTAACGAAATCTGCACTGAAGCAATCAGGAACAATTAGCAGCACCAGCTAATGTCACACCACTGTCTTTATGAGGATTCCTAAACACAAATGCTTATTTCACATTTTCTTTTTTCCCCTGCATATCCTGCTCAACAAAATGATGTGCTATAAAACAATTGCACAAACATGACAGAAAGAGGGCAAAACACACAGGTGATGAATGATGTTGAGGCAATAGATTCAAGGAGTTAGCTCTGCCACCCCTGGTGGGTTGCTGGTTCAGACCCAGACTTTATCCATGTCAGTCAATGACTAATCCTGTTTGATAATTGTGGTTATGATTCTTTTCCTTCATCCAGCAGCTGCATGTCCATGTTTGTGATGTTTTGTGATCTCTGCAGGCCTAAAGTCAGCGAGGAGCTGCAGACTCTGATCTTACGGATGTTGGATAAGAACCCAGACACCAGGATTACCATCCCTGAGATCAAGGTATGTCAACATGTGGAGCAGTGCCGCAAACTCACACTCGACTGTGCCTTACTGCCCAGTGATGGGCTCAGCAGGCTGCAACCTGACTGTCACTCACAGTTGGGTTCATTAGGCTTTCTGTTCAGGTCCAAGATGAAACCTGTTTGTCCCTTATGGGAGGAATGGGGAGGGGGGGGGGGGGGGGGGGTTAAGGACCTACCGCAGAGAGGTGACACCACAACCCGTCATGTGCCAGTCAAACCAGTCATGTGTACCTGAGTCATTTTCTCACCAGAGATACGTTTGTGCTCTCAGACGCCAGTGTAGGACACTTGAACGTAGATGGAAAAAGGACAAGCTATAAATTTCCCTCCAAATGCTGAAAGACTCCCTGGCAGCTTACCAAAAAGCTGTCAGATCAGCTCAAAATAATTATTTTGCCAACATCATTGAGAGGCATCGTGGTGATCAACAAGCTTTTCAGTACCATTAAGTCTGTTCTTTCACTGAAGGAATCCACCGCCCCCTCCACGCCAACTACAGCACTATGCACTGATTTTCAGATTTTTTTCCTGGAAAAAATCTGTACTATTAGACATAATCTGTTGGGACCTGTTACCCAGAAAGAGTCACTCTGTTCTCCTCTGTTCTCTGATTTTGATCATGACTCCCTTCAAGATCTTGATAAATTAATCAGGTCTATGAAAACCCCAGGTTCCCCACTGGATGTTCTACCCCCAGAGTTGCTACCTGGGGTACTACCAGTAGTGGGTCCTTTCATTCTGAATATTTTAAATTATAGTTTGTCCACTAGAGTGTTTCCAGAATCCTTTAAGGAGGCGGTCGTCCAACCGCTATTGAGAAAAACCTGGCCTGGATCAAAATGATTATGCAAGTTTCCGTCCAATCTTCAAACTTCCTTTTTTATCTAAGGTTATTGAAAAAGTGGTACATGCTCAACTCTCACATCATTCACTGGAACATTCACTACTCGACCATTTTCAGTCTGCTGTTAGGCCAAATCATAGCACTGAGGTGTCTGCACATATTTGTGTGTTAAATGGCATTCTGACAGAAGCTGATGCTGGTTCCTTTGTTCTGTTACTACTGCTAGACCTATCAGCGGCATTCAATACAATTGACCATAACATTCTGCTAACCAGGCTGGAATCTTTTGATGGAGTCACAGGGACTGCGCTAAATTGGTTTCACTCCTATCTGTATGATAGAAGTCTCAGCATTCACAGAGGCGACTGCTCTTCTCCTTTTGTCCCGCTCCCCTGGGGAGTTCCCCAGGGCTCTATTCTAGGACAACTCCTCTTTTCCATATATATTCTTCCACTGGGAAACATCATTGCTAAACGTGGCTTACATTATCACATTTACGCTGATGACTGTCAAATTTATATGGCTTTAAATCAGTCTAGTTCCATTACTCAGCTCTCAGATTGTCTCTCAGATTGTCTTTGATCTCTCCCCCCTCAACCTTAATTCCTGTGTGACCAGCCTTGGGGTTAAACTGGATGCCGATTTGTCAATGAGCGCACATGTTAATGCCACTGTTCGATCCTGCTTCTTCCAGCTTCGTTGCCTTACAACCGACTAAAGCCCATTCTTAAGAGGCCGCACTTAGAATCTGTTATTCATGCTTTTATCACTTCCAGACTCGACTTTTCCAACTCAGTTCTTATCGGTGCAAATGTATCCGTCCTCTATCGTCTGCAGAAAGTCCAGAATGCCGCAGCAAGATTTCTTTCAAATACAAATAGACGCTGTCACATCACTCCCATTCTGGATGATCTACACTGGATTCCTGTGCACTTTCGAGTACAATACAAAGTTTTAACTTTTGCCTGCAAAGCCCTGAATGGTCTAGCCCCCTTATATTTGTCAGAGCTGCTCACCCCCTAAATCCCCTCCCGATCACTAAGGTCTGCTGACCATCTACTGCTCAAAGTCCCTAAAATGAAGTATAAAGCTTGTGGGGAGCGTGCATTCGCCTTTGCTGCTCCCAGACTCTGGAACGCACTCCCTCTGGTGGTACGCCAGGCTTCCTCACTGGCACAGTTTAAATCCAGCCTGAAGACACATTTCTTTAATTTAGCTTTTGGCCAATGATCATTCTTTTATGCTGTGCCTTTGTTCTTTTTATTTTATTTTTTTGTAGCTTCTGTTTTCATTGACTTTCCTTTTTTATTGGCTGTTTTAATTTTTGTTTTGATTTTAGGTGTTTCTATTTTATGGCAGTTTTTAATTGTGTTTCATGTATATGTATGTGAATTTGAATGGCGTTTTAGGTTTAACTCTGTGCAGTACTTTGGTCAGCTGACACACTGTTTTTAAATGCGCTTTACAAATAAAATTGGATTGGATTTTGGGACACGAAGAAAGATAATGAGGCATCATATGTGTTTGTGTTCAAACAAACTCTCTCTCTCACACACACACACACACACACACACACACACACACACACACACACACACACGTGTATCAAACAACAGACAAATGAATTCTGGAGCAGATGAAAACATCTGCTCCAAGAATTTAAACCCTTTTCGTTAAAGTAACACTTAATAGTTTTTTAAACTTTAAGCTAGAGCTTTAACCCTCTCAGGCTCAAAATAAGTTTTGATAAAAGGACGAACAACTAAGTCCTTCAGAGGTACTTCTGAGTTAAAAAATGCTCATGAAATACGTATGTGGAGTAACCAGGTAGGTAGGTTTTACCATTGCAAATCTGCAATGCCTGCCTCCTGAGGGTTAACATTGATCTCAGTGATTGTTGACTTAGAAACTTATAGTTTCATATTTGCCATCACTCTGCAGCCCTCTACTGGTCAGATACTGCACTTAATAGTTTTGTGGAGCGGGTAGGTGTTCTAGGGTAGCTCTTTACCTGCTTTACGACTGTTAGCTGTAATGCTAACAGTTAGCATTTTCAGTTTGCCGATCGTCAATAAAAAGAAGAAAAAAAAAGAAGTTTACCTTTTCTTTGGCAATGTGGTAGAGCCTGGAAGGAAAAGTAAGAGAGCAATGTCTTCTGAGGTGAACCAAAGAGCTAAAACCAGAGTGATGGCCTATGCTAGTTGGAGGGAGCTGAAAGAAGCTATAAACTCAGACTAATGGTGACCTGGCTTTGTTGCTACTGGACTTGTAAGGGATAAAATGTTTTTCCAACAGTGCTTTTTATCTCATGGTTTATTTCAGTACAAGTTGAGTCATGCTGGTGTTAGCTCATTGTTAGGGCTAGCTAAAGCAGGGTTGTTTATAAGATCTGTAATTCCACTTTCAACCAGTAGGGTGGAGGAGCAGGAAATCACTGTGTTACTTTAAAATGAAATTGTGTTAGCTGTAAACAGCATCCAGAGGAGGAGGTCAGCTTTTCAATAAGCTGTAACACCACCCCCGCACTACCCCCACCCCCATCATAACTCAAAATAAGATGAGGATCACTCCAGCTTGAGGAAATCATCCTTTGACATTCTTCTGTTTTCCTTGAAGCTGACCAGTCAGGGATAAGCCAAGGAACAGACCAGTCATACTTGGGTGTTTGCCACGAACGAGCTCTGGAGACATTTTCACCCTGAGGGAGACAAACGGGTTTTATTATGATTTAATCAGAAAAGTGGCAGGAATTCTTAAGTGTAAAAGTAGTTTTCTTTAAGCTTGCTGCCACTGAGACGTAAACTGTGACACGGGCTGATGGTGCTTCTCTTTTTGTATCAAACTTTAGATGGACCAGTGGGTGACCCGGGGGGGCACCGACCCCCTCCCTCTGGAGGAGGAGCACTGCTCTGTGGTGGAGGTGACGGAGGAGGATGTCCAGAACTCAGTGAAATTCGTTCCTAGTCTTTCTGCTGTGGTAAGACTTGTGTCCTCCTTTTTCCATGGAGTGGGCAGTGCTGAGAGGATTGAAAATATACAAACATTAAATTGACTTTTAAAAATAATCATTAATGAGATTTTTAGCCTCACCTGTGACAAAAAAATTGCAAATGTTACTTTCTACTCATCAATCCGATGAATCCAACATTTTTTATTAGAAGATTTTTATTGTAGAAAATAATCAGAAAAACATTTTAAACCAGAGGCATGGAATTATTTCAATAGGCAAGGCAGCTTTATTTATAGAGCACTTTTCTAACACAGAGGCAACTCTATGTGCTTTACAATTATCAGGACATGAAATGAAAAAACATAAAAACACAACTTTAAATACATGCTCCTGGAGGTAGGAGTCAGGAGTGAGGAATTAAAAAAGCAGGATTTGTAGAAGAAGAAGAAGAAAATATCATTTCTATAGCGCCTCTCAAGATAAAAATCATGAGGCGCTTCACAAAAACAAAAAAATGTAAAAATATTAAAAAGAATTTAGAAAATGGTTAAAAATATATTTTAAATGAGCAAAAAATATACAATTGTGATTAAAAAATGCTAAGAAAGAGAGAGAGTGAACAGGAAAGAGGGAAATCAGTGAATCCCGAGGAAGGTGGAATAGGTGGGGAGAGCAGAATAAAGAGCGAGTGGTGAAGAAGGTCATACAAAAGCCAGCTTGAACAAGTGAGTCTTCAGCTGCTTTTTAAAGGAGCCAAGGTGGGCGGGGCCATCTATGCAAATTTACAGAGTGATGTAAGTCTATGTGGTTTTTCTGTCCTTGAGCGTTTCACCGTCTATTTCCTTAAGGCGGCTAATGCAGGAAAAGGGGGTAGAAGACTATTTACATATCTTGGCATAGGCTACATGTGAAAACTCAAACAAGTATTACACGGCTGTTAGTGAAGCAGACTTTTAAAAGATGTTTGCATATTTTTCTTGAGAAAAGTAAAGCATAAAATATCTTTAATTTAATTGGCCAATTGTTTTCTGGTGTCTTTTTCCTTAGGATACATTAGAGCCCTCCAATAGAAACATAAACACAATCTGGGTCACTGTTTCTTAGGAAGGGTTTGCCGTATTTAGCCAACGATGCTTGCAAGTCCGCTTCCGAATAAAAGTCTGTTAAAGTTTGTGGTTCTATTCACCAGGAAATGTTAAAAAAGCTAAAAGTTTGATTAATAAAAGAAACATAACAACAGGCTGTTTTTGCAGGTGCCACATGAAGTCCTCTCAGAGGGCCACAAATGGCCCACAGGCCACATTTTGAACACCCCATATCTCATAGCTTTTAAACGGCTGTTTGGTAGATTGATCTGGATCTAGATCGCAACTCTTCACTCTTTGTTTCGTCTCTAAATAATTTTTAATTCCCCCCATGAATGATTCTCTCTGATCACTTGGAGCCTGTCTTCTGTCCCGGTCCCTGTCACTGTCCCTGTTCCTGTTCCTGTATTTGCTTCAGATCCTGGTGAAAGCCATGCTCAGGAAGCGCTCTTTCAGTAACCCCTTTGAGTGCCCAAGCAGGCGAGAAGAGCGCTCCATGTCTGCACCCGGCAGCCTGCTCATGTAAGCACACACACCCTTATCTCCTGCATAATTAATACTCTCTCTCTTTCTCTCTCTCTCTCTCTCTCTCTCTCTCTCTCTCTCTCTCTCTCTCTCTCTCTCTCTCTCTCTCTCTCTCTCTCACACACACACACACACACACACACACACACACACACACACACACACACAATGCTGGAGGAGAGACCTGCAGGAGCTGAACTCTTTCCGATATCACTTAAGAATCTGAGATCTACACTTCACACCTGTCTCCTCTTCCTGTTCCATCAGGTTGACTTGCACTCGTTCTCGCCGCAGCACCTGCTGCTTCGTGTTGCCATAGCACCATAATTCAGCCTTTCATTGTATGCAGTAGCGCTCACAGCTTTTGTAAGGGCTTCTTCTGCGTGTGTGTTGCTTTTAGCATTGACACGGGATGACACAGACAAGCTTCCGGCTGACCTTGGATTTCCTGTTACGTGAATTGAAAGCATCACACGAGGAAACGGCTGATCCCATCATGCAGTTTCAGCAAACAGCCAAAGGCAAATTGGAGCATCGATAGCTGTTCTGCTGCTGTAACTTGAGCCCCCTTGGGACAACAGGTCCAGGGTCATCCAGTCTCTGTCAGGGAGGTGGAGCTGATTTTTATCTCCAGCTGCGGTGGGTTTATTGAGGTTCCTCCACCAACTAGGCTGAGGCTCGCCTTACACACCCCGATCCTCTCGGAGAGTTAGAAAAGAACAACTGATGAAATTTTAAATCACACTGCCCCCTGCTGGCGAACAAGAACACTCAAGATCTTGGAGCAAGTGTGTGATTGTGGCTTTTGTGGACTGGACTCTAAGACTCAAAAATCAAGTTGGATGCTTTCAGGTTTTGCTGAGTCATTTACAGAAGACATGTTTGTTTGGGAGAGATTCGTTTTTTTTAAAGGTGAATAAAAACATTGTGATGTTGGTGGAATATTAATGCAGAATGTCCTGTATGAACTTATCCCACTTTTCCCTGATTGACACGATGCAATCAGGATGTCAGGTTATGAAAAAGTACTTGTGACCTTTACAGATTTCCTCTTTCTCGTACCGTTTCGATGTCTCAGATAACACAAGATAATCTGAGTAAAAACAAAACTTTGTTTCATTTATAAAGGGAACAAACCAGACCAACCTGGTCCTGTTTGTGAAGAGCTTTTGACCCCCTAACGCCGGGGACACACCGGCCGCGGAAGCGCCGCGAAGCGCCGAGAAGCGAATCGCTCACGAAATTCGGCCGCTGCTCGCCGCTCCTCAGTTCAGATCAGACGCGCCCCAGTCGAGGCGCGCCTCGGCTCAGCTGTAGTTTTTCTTTTAAACACTTGGTGTCCTCCATTTCCTCTCTGCCTTTTCTCAGCTCTTTTCCTACGTTTGAGTGTTTGTGCGCGTGCGCGCGCGCGCGTGTGTGTGTGTGAACCTATGGTATGAGTTGTTTCTGCCAGTTGAATCTCTTGGAACCCGCTCCAATTCTGCAGCTGTATCCTAGCAGTTTCTTCCGACATGGGTACGTAAACAATCATGTTTTTCGGGGGTCGTACAGCTCCTTGTGTTTCTCAACTTCCATAATTAATTTAAAGTCATCCATCCTAACTGCTTGCCTCAGACTTTCTGCCTCTCTGTCCTGTTTGCTCCGGTGAAAAGACACCCAAAACCACTCCCCCCTTCACGTGGTCACACACGCACACAAGTTCGATGTGTGTGTATGTGTGTGCGTGTTCGTGTGGTTTTTCTGCAGTGTCTGATTACGAACACATTTGACTATTGCGGAATTTTATTTTGAAATGCTTTATTTTGTTAACTTTACCGGCCTGCCTCTTATGTCTACGTTTGACTTCCTGCCAGAATTGACGCGATTCACCCGCGGCTCGCGAAAAAAATAGAGCCAACGCCGAAATGATCGCTGCACGGCGCGGGCTGGAGCGCCGGCGCGCGCCGGCGCGAGGCGATTCGCGGCGCTTCGGCGGCCCATGTGGTCTATAGAATAGCTTAACAAGGGCGCCGAATGAAGGCGGTCCCATTTTCGCGGCGCTTCGCGGCGCTTCCGCGGCCAGTGTGTCCCCGGCCTAAGCCTTCTGACGGGTCCTTTTCTAGCAGAATTAAGCCCCAGACCATCACACTACCACCACCATGCCTAATGTTTTTTTTCTCCATCTTTTCCCTCACCTGGCTGCAGGGACTCGTGGCCCCTTCGGCCCTCTTTAAAACTTCACTCTTCACACAGGTAAAAACAGCTGATGAACCACCACCATCATCATCCTCTTCATCATCGTAACCTGCTTTTCTCCAGCTGTGGCCTCTGAGGTGTTTCTGTTATCTTGCAGCTGCGCTCTGCTCATTTAAGCACCACTCTAGAATTGATCCCTCCCTTGTCATGTTGTCTCCGCTGCTTCAGTGTGCTTCTCTGACATCCTTCATTAGCTTAATATCAGCGTGAACATCTGGACCTGGCCTCACCTCAGCCATCCAGTTTGCTAGCTGTTAATTCTTCTTCTCTTGTTGTTGTTATAGGAAGAGCAGTACGGGAGATGGACCCAGAGAAGGAGAGCTGGAGGACCTGCATGAAGACGAGGCCGTCTCCTGAGGTTAACTGAGAGCAGAGTTTTGTCGCAGACCATCTGCTACACACTCATTTCTCCTTTAACCACCATGCACTCATGCATTCCCCCAATAAAAACATTCAGACACGGGACGCCACTCTTGCAACTTTAAAGATGATATTTCTTGCCGAGACACTCTGAAGCTAAAGCTTGCTTCCTGTTGGTCTCATATGATCACAGCTTCTTCCGTTCTTCATCTTCTGAGCCTCCAAAGGATGATTGATGCCCTCGCAGTTACCATCGAGAGTGAGATGAGCTTTCTAGATAGTGTGCTCAAATGAATGTTGCAGAATAGACTGGTACTGTGCGTTAATGTGAGAAAAAGAAGATGTTTTTATTTCTTTATGTGCATGGTGGCTTTCTGTTACTGTCAAACACGAAGCGTCTGTTCAACCCTCAACTCTCTGACTTCAGCATGTAAAGTCACTGTATCGTCTCTGCAGCAACTCACAGGGATTTTCCAATTTCAATGCTGTACATACGTGTCTTTAGGCTAATTCTGCGTTCCCGTCTCAGCCCATATTTGTGCCATTTGTAATTTTTACATGGAAGCGGTTGAATTCCCTCCGTGGAGAGTTTCTTTGAGGAGGAAAAAAGCAGGCCAGCTGTGGGAAAAGCAACATTTCAGTGTGATTTATGATTCATGTGATGGCAGTTATGAACACGGGTTTGCAAGAAGTCATCGTGGACATAAAAGTCCTATTAATTTAGTGTTTTAACGACTGATTTGAGCATAATTTTATGACGTTTGATCTTTTTTTTTATAAACAAGAACTAGTCCGAAGTTTGAATGTCCTAATCTAAACACGTACTCAGCTGCATCTTTTAAATATCAGCACAGAAATTTTTACAAGTCTTTTAACTTGATGAGGCAAACAAACTTCCTATTGGTGATTATGATCAGCTTCAGCTCCTTTCTCCTTAGATGAGCGTTTAAATTAAAAAGAACAAAGCGGGAATGTCCATGTTTTCCATGAACTGGAAACTACTGGAACACCAGTGTCTCTGTCCACATGGAAGCTTGTTTTCAATCCCCACGAAGCGAGAGGACTGAGAGAGGCATGACTGAAATCTACAGCTGTTCACGTGGACAAGCTTAACCACTTATTATTGGTTGAGACAAATATTGAGCTTTTTTGGCCAAAATCAGAAGAAGTATGTTTGGAGAAGCCAAAGTCAAAGGCACAGAACACCCTGCCAAGCATGGTGGTGGAAGCATCATGCAGAGCTAGCTTTAGCTTATGTTTTTAATTATCAGTGAAGCTAAAGGTTTTGTGTTCATTCCACCCTGGAAAAGGAACAGGTCATCTCAGTTTTTTTCCACCTCCTTCACATTTGTGGTGAGTGTTTGTAAGCCTCTCCTCCAACTCATTTTCAGGTTTCTAATGCTGCCTGTTCCCCTCATAACTTTTGGATTTCGTGTTAAAACATTTTCTTAAAGACCTGTGTGATAGACGGTCAGTGAGAACTACATTCTCCAAACACCTTAACCTGAGCCAGGTGAGGTCAACAGGACTTTACACCTTAAGTTTCTTTATAACGGGGCTGAACGTGTTGCTTTTTGAGATCTTTTAACCTCCTTCATGTCAGTCCGGTTCTATTGGAGTGATTTCTTAGATCTGATGGTCTGCTGCTGGAGCTGTTCCCAGTTTTTATAATAAGTTCATTCATTATTTAACACAGCGGGTAATTGCTTTATTTGGTCTCTACTGACTGAGCGTGCTTCTGCATCGCCACAGCTTGATTCTTCCCTCATTAACCGACCTGCAGTGTCGTCCCGTGAGAGAAGGACGTTATGAAGATGAGGCTGGTGAGATAGACTTGGACTGAAACAGAAGACATGGACTGATGGAGTCTGATCACAATTGGTGGTGTACATCCACAGGTGAATTGTGAAGCCCGTTGATACAGAACATTCTAGGTGTTTCTGTTTCTACCTGCTGGAAAGCCTTTAATAAGGGCTCTTTATACCAAAAAATAGTGACCTGCTGTTTTCATTTGCCTAAAGATGTGTTTTTTTAATCAAAGCTCTGCCCTTTATGTTTGTGCAGATGTTTATCACTTACAGGGAAGTGATATTGTTCTTATTACCTTCCATTGCTAGAAAACTCATGATGCTCATACTTTTTATATAATTTAATTGAAGATCAAACTAAAAACCGCTGCTTGTAATGAAACATTTGCACTTTCATCCACGACGGCCGTGTTATAAAGAGACGAGCTGTCGGTTCACCTGTAAAAGACCATATTTACTGTGCTTTTGAATGCATCATTCCATGCTGTTGATCTGCATGCAGCCCCACTAATCACTATCAGAAACAGAAGCATTCCTGTTTGTGCGAAAATGCTGCAAAAGCTGCAGCGTTGGTGCTTTTGTTGTGCATGTTGTGAAAAAAGGAGAAAAGCTTTTTTATTTTTAACTGCTAAAAAAACAAAGACACCTCTGCAGTTCCCTTTATGCTCAGTCCTCATTGTTTTACTTTCATCTCTATAAACTACAAAATGACCCTTTATGAGACAGTTTGTCTAACTCTTCTGATGGTTCTGAAGGACGTATTCCCTGTTCAAACGGACTCTTAAACATTTTTTATTTTATTTTATTTCTTAGATTTCTAATCTCAGTGGGGTTTTAGCTGATTCCAACTAAAGATTTTTGCACCTGCAGAAGGTTTTGTGGCCATACTGTTGGGATATTACACATTTAATTTTTGTACATGGTCTTAATTTGTAAAGTTTACCATTTTTTACACATAAAGGCCCAAATGACCCACGGTTTGCCTTCCCTTTATGCCTGTCCAGATTTGTCTCATTTGTGCAGTGAAACATGAGGGGAAGAGAAAATTGCTGGGTGCAGCTGTCAGCACGCGGTGCAAAGAGCAGGGCTAATTTAATCTAGATTTCATATCATAATTGCATCCAGAGGGGTTGAACTGTGTGTATAAAATGAAATCAAGGAGTCTCAGATCAGTGCTGCATGTGTGTGTGGTTGTGTGTGTACATGCGTGTGAAATGCCTGCGGTTTGTGATTCGGTTTCATGCATAAAAGAAAGTGCTCACCCGTCTGCAACATGCATGTCTCGTCCCAATGAAAAGCAGTTGATACCATGTATATATGTACCAATAAAAATAAGCTATTTTTTGCATGTTTTTGTACTCCTTAACATGATACAAAATGATAAATTAAAACATTCTGAACACCTCAAATTGTGTCCGTTTCTGTTTTTACAAAAAGGGATATGTAACGTCCAGCAATGGTCAGTTTAGGTTTAGCTTGGGTTAGCTTGGTTTCCTAAAATAACAGAGCCTTCAAATGACTCATTCTGGAAGGTACTGAAAATGTCAAGAGTGAAAAGGCTGAAATCACAAAATTATGTGAGAAATTCTGTGCATGGAACTTCATAACTATGTTTTGGATCGACCATAGGACTATTATAATTTAGAAAAAAAAATCACAATATTGACACCAAAAGCCCAAAGGCTCAGTACATGTTTATTAGAGTTCATCACGAATGCACACATAGGTTGGCTGACTCTAGTTGTGCATGCAAACACAGTTTCTGTTTGTTCTGTTAAGACAACGATATTGAACGATGCGACGAATGATTGGTGCCAGATCTTCATCTTTTCGCCTGTTTATTTACAGACACAGTTAAAGTCGTGGAGGTTACACCCATCGTGTGGACAAAGGCAAACGAGCAACACCCAAAAAAGTACACAGACTGGAGAACGTGGTTATCTGTGGATGTCACAGAAGGAGGGTCACCATATGAGGGCTTTTAAATCAGGAGGATGTTGGCTGAAGATCAAAACGGTGAAACGATGTGTCCTTTATCACCTTAAGGGGTCGGTTATGTGCATTCTTTTGCAAGGCCCTTGGATCCAGTGCAGTACACGTTATAGCAGCATGGCTTGTTCAGTCCCAGTTTACCTCTGTACAAAAATAGAAAATATGAAAAAATTCAAAAAAAAAAAGCAATCATCACAAAATTCTCTTTGCAGGCTTTAATGTTCTTTTGCTCTCAGATACCTCGGTCTCCATGCTTCCTGCCTCTGAATCAGGGTTCTGTAGGACAAAATCCACAAAACAAGAGCAAATCAGACTGCTACCACTCAAAACCACCCTCTCCTCACTGCGTGAAGGATTACTTTAAAAAGTAAAGACCAACTCCTCTAATGTCCAGGCTTCCTCATTCACTCACGTTGGATTTGTCTTGGATTTGTCCTGCATTTGCTTCGAAGGTGGAATAGTCTTTAGAGTCTAAAGCAAGCGACTCACTGTCCTGCTGTAAATACAAAACGTTCTGGCTGTTTTAGTCCACCAGAGACCAGTTCTGGGTTTGTCTCCTGTCTGGTCTGAGCTGGTGAGACTGTTAATCTGAAGTGGGATGTCTCCCTGCTGCCATCTTGTGTTTAAAACCAAACAAAAGTAACACATCAGATCTTACCTGCACTTCAGTGTCCGTGTATTTGAATTTCATGTTCTTGTAAAATTCTCGTTTTGGCAGCAAATACAGCAGCACCAGGTCACAAACTACAGTCGCCTAAAGAGATTTTAAAAATCAGGCGTTTTTGAGTTTTTCATAGACTTTTGATGCGTTATTATGATCCATGCACCAACGTACCACTCCAAAAATCCCCACTCCAGAGCCTATTGCTGTCAAGGTTGGGATGATATCAAATTTTCGTGCCTATAAATAAAATTATTGCTCAGATTTATTCATTTCTAATGAAACGTTCATACAGATTCACAGTTTTTTTTCCCATTACTCACCAGTGACTTCACAATGATGTCAAATCTGATGCCAAACACTTTGAGAAGAGTTCTTTTTGAAACACCATTCTCAATGTAATGCTTCGCATACCTATAAATGACCACAAGATTAAAACAATCAGGTGAATTGGAACATTTTAAATGGTGAACTTGCAGCTTCTGCCCTAAGAAATGTTAAAGCTGCAGCCAGTGGCTAATCAGGTTGCTCACGCCTGTGTCTCACTCCCTGAGAGCAAACTCAAAGAAAGTCAGGAAGAAAAGGTAAATGTTAGATCGTTACTGTGCAAAATTACAAGTTGTTAGAATGTAATTATTGATCTATTGGCATATATGTACATTTTTATTTGTTTACATTTTTTAGGTGGTAGATAAGACGAGTTATAAAGAGCCTTTACTTCTAGTTTGGTGTGTTCATCAATTTGTGGAGAAAACTCCCAAAGAAATCATAAAATTTCACCTTAAATTGTGTAAAAACTATAAAAAATGTTTTAATATGAGTTCAGTCGTGTAACGTCAAACTTTCTGGGTCTCATTCAATCGTTGAATGACGCTTCTACTGTCAAACTTACCTGGACCTTCAAAGGGAGCGGGGTTTTCTCACCTGAATGGGATAGTTTCTCTTGTTTTACTGCTTATTTCGTCTTCGTCAAATGACAAAATTGCCAAAAGTCATACCACACCACGTCTAACTAAACATATTTTAATGTATCATTTTTCTGTTTCTTTTTATTTGCAGACTATGAAAAATAGAACAATTTCAACCCGTGCAGATGATGCATAGTTATCTCCTCTGAGCTCCTTTGGTGCTTTTCATCTTCAGAACCAGTAACCGAAGCTTCCGCTCCCTTTATTTCTAATTCTGTGTCACTATTGGGAAATTATAGCAAGTCAACACCCCTGAAGCCAATTAGCAATCAGTTAGCATCGCTCGGGTGTTAGCTGTAGTTAGGTGTGAAGTGAATTCAAAAAGTGATCAACGTCAGAGCTCCGTGCCGAGCTGGGTACGGAGATGAGTCAGTGTTTGGTCATAGAAAAATAATCAGGCAGGTTGAAAACACACACACATCTGTGTGTTCCCTTCTTGTTGCCTGTCGGACCCACAAGGATACAAAACATTACTAAGAATCCTCACCAGCGTCGTGTAATCAGCGTTGCTGTTTCACTGATGAGGCACGAGGAAAACGTTTTAATGAAAAGTGATGACTGGTGTGGGCAGAGCTCAGCATCTCTGCTGAACCCAGTGAATATGCAAGATGTTTTAATCTGCGGAGCTTTTTCTTCTAGCTTCGCAGAAACATTGAAGAGCAAACATCAGTTATTTTTTCATATCAAATGCTGTTCAAAAAATACAATTTGAAACATGTATTGTGGGTATTTTCTTTTAAAATACATAACGGCTCTTTTTTTTTTGAGAAAAAAGTGACCCTTTTCAGAAAAGCTTCTAAAAACGCTTCTCACGTAACAACCAGGGGTTGTAAGCTAGCCCTGCCTGAAGCTCAACGTGGTGAGTAAGTATTTATGTGGTACAACGGTCATGCTTTCTAGCGGTTGTGTTCACTAGTTTAGAATTCGTTCAACTTTTGCTTGTGGAGGCTATACAAACCTGCAATGTGCTCTTTAAGCCTGAAAGAAAAATGCTTTTCTACTTTATTTGTGATTTAGACTGTACTCTTGTACATTACAGATAAAACTTAGAACCAACAAGAAATCCAACAGGAGAAATGGATCTGTTTAGCACTTCATGTAGGTTCAAAGTCCTTTAAATCCTAAATCAGCACAAAACATCATCTCAATAACACCCGAGTAACTTAAAGAATCTTAAATTTCTTTGTTTTTACCAGAAACAAAGTGTTTTTATGTGGTTTTAAAGTATGAACTCAGCGGATCACGTTCACACACCTGAAGTTGTAGCCCATGGATGTTCTGACTTCGTCCATCTCGTTGGCGTTTCCATAGAGACCATGAAAGCTGTACTCCGGTTTACAGTGTTTAATATGAACATCCAGGTTACATGTCCAATCGACCACAATACCAATGGCTCCTCCCTGCCAGGAGGCAAAAACGTTAGACTCAACAAGTGAACAGGAAGTATATTAAACCTGCATCAACATACCTCTTTGGCTATTTTTTCAAAGGAGAAGCCAGATAGTTTAACTATGTCTCCCAGTTTGAATATGGGACAGAGTGGAGCGTCCGCTGGATCATAAAGGCATTTGCTAATGTAGAGACCATCGATCCCCTCCACCAGGTTACTCCTGAGAAGACCGAAAACTAGTTTATAATATAACTACAGAGAGGTAATCAATAATAATAATAATAATAATAATAATAATAATAATAATAATAATATTACAATGAGGTTTTGTGGCTTTCAGTTAAATAAAAATGGCAAACCTGACTTGAGATGGTTCCAAGTAATTTAAATGGTTACATTTTCTAAATAAAATCATCAAGGTGTCATTTTACTAAATTTTCATCATCTGTTTTTTTGGTATTTTTAAAAATTGTGACAACAAACATTTTTGTAAGGGTGTACCTTAGAACTTTTTATATCACCTGATTCATGCCTGACTGCAGCATATTTAACTCTAATACAGAGAAATGAGATGCATCACCTTTTGACGCCAAATAAAGGGAAGTTTACAGAGTTTTTGATGAAGAGAGTGTAGTTTTCTGCAGATATCAAAAGAGGAGGACTGGAGGGGAAAAGAGAGAAGATAATTAAACAATGCAGTTCATTTGAACGCAACTTTATACACTTGTACGTTGCAGATTATTCTAAATTACAATGTTAATCTATCAAACAGTATGGAATTCTGTCAAAGTGCTGCAGCTAGCTCCTGCTACTGTTATTTGCATTTGTAAGAAAATAAACCCCATAGCATTCTATGTAAAGCATGTAAGGAAGTCATGTAAAGAGGTATAAAAGAATATTACATGAACTGCTATGAAACTTTGCTTCAGATAAATTGTTTCCTCTTGGATTAGCCATTAGCTTTGTAGCATTATCTGGTTTATCAGTTCAAACCTGTCAACAAAGAAATCAAAGTTAATGACTAAAGACTAAATCTACTCTAGTTTGACATTCAAGCGCATGTTTGTTAATTGCAGGCATGTTAAATAGAATGTTTAAATTCCGGACGAGCCCCCACTTGTATTACAACACTGTTTCGAATCTTTGCCAAATTTAGGTCATTTGAGGTTGATTATTTTTTAGAACAGATGGATCTAGATATAAATGGTGTGGTTTTCCCATGACACCATCGCATTTGGCTGCAGAGAAAATAATTTGAGTTTTAAAATAATTAGTTTTAATCTTAGATTGTTGAATTGGGGGTGAAATAGACATGTCCACTTACTCTGGAATGTAGGTGTCATCCTCAACTGGACACCAAGTTAGCACCTCACAGGTCTTTGTGGCGTTCACACAAACACCAGTCATTTGTCCTTGAAATGGGAACAAGCAGAAACCCCATTATTCAGTCAAAACACACAATAAGCAAAAGTACATGTGCTCGGAGCAGCATTGAGAAATAGATACTGTGAGCTTTTGTTTATCTTACATTAACATCAAAGCAGCAGGCAAGATTTAAGTCATCCAAATCAAATGCTGAAATTGCTGTTTCTGTTATCAGGGCCCAATTCCAAAACACAATTTCTGTTATCGCTCTCCCTCATCAGGAGCAGAACCCATTCTCCACAAGGCACTTGGTAGCTCTGACCTTTGACCTCACACTCCTCTCTGCTTTTCCACAGGGACACTCTTCATGTGCCTTAACCAGGAGGCAGTTTGCCTCCTCTGGAGACGCCTTGAGGTGACTGGTCTGAATCAGAGAGATCTAAAGCTCTGCTCTTACTGAAGACTGATGGAGGACTATTGGTTTATGTAACTGCTGCTTGAACTCCTCTCATGTGACATTAGTTTTAATGTCTGTCTGGTCATAATAAGTGTCAGCTCCAAAGCATGAACTGTTGTGATGTCTACTTGCCTAAGGTAGGGGCTTCACCTTCTCTTCAACAAAACTAACATACGCACCAAACATTTGGTTGCTAAGACCTCAGCTGTTGATTTAAAAATTTTCCCTCTGTGCTGGCCAAGAGCGATCCGTGATTTTTGTCTGAATGTTTACATTAGTAAGGATGTGTGAGGCTGACTCTAGCACTTCTCAAAAGCCACCGCCCATTCTGCAAACATACAGTGTCAGAAGTGACACAGCTCATCACATGCTAATGATAGCTCAGATAAAAGCAAATATCATCCTACCTGTTGTAACAGAATGAAATGACTGTTTTCCGCTTAAAAGTCATTTTCCCCCTCTCCTCTGACACAGAACTAGTCTGCATGAGATATGGCCTCAAGGTCTCAAGCATTTGCATCTCAAGCATCTACGTTCCATAAACCGTCTTCGTCCCTCATTGACCCCTCACACTGCCGCCATTCTCGTCCACAGCCTCGTCACCTCCCGTCTCGACTATTGCAATTCACTTCTTTATGGTCTCCCCAACAAACTCCTTCATAAACTGCAACTGGTCCAGAATTCAGCAGCCCGTATTATCACCAGAACCCCTTCCTTTCACCACATCACGCCGGTTCTCCAGCAGCTCCACTGGCTCCCAGTTAAATTCAGGCCCATCTTCAAAATTCTCCTCCATACCTTCAAAGCAATCCACAACCTCTCTCCTCCATATATCTCAGACCTTATAAGTATTCACACCCCGTCCCGTTCACTCAGATCTTCTTCTTCCATCCATCTTGCGGTTCCTTCTGCCCGTCTCGCTACCATGGGGAGCAGAGCTTTCAGCCGCTCTGCTCCTCGACTCTGGAACTCACTTCCCCCAGACATCAGGAACATCGACAGTTTTACCCTTTTCCAATCAAAACTCAAAACACATATGTTTAAATCTGCCTACAACCTCTGATTTTATTGAAATGTTTCTCTCTGTTTTTTCTTCTTTGGGTTTTATTATTGTTTTATTGTATTTTATTACGTGTTTTGTGTAAAGTGACCTTGGGTGTCCTGAAAGGCGCTTTGAAATAAAATGTATTATTATTATTATTATTATTTGCTGTAAACTGCTTCTTTCCAGCTCAAGAGAAGAATGAAGAAAAGGAGTCTCTCCTTTTAATAAATCAAAGAACTTTATTTTTAATAAAGCTAATCAAACAAAGTGTTAGTAAATAATAAGATCTGGTCTTCCCACTTGTACTGCTACCCTTCGCAATCGAATGTACAGCTGCATGTGTAAGCTGATGGTCTCTGGAAATGGTATTGTCTCTGTAGCATCATGAAGGGACTGTTTTCCCCTCTCTCCTCATGAAGACTTATCTCCGTGAGATATTGCTCAAGGCCTTTGATGCCTCTGCATCTAAACTGTTTTAACTAGCTATTTGTCTCCCCCTACAGCTCAAGAAGAAAGAAGTCCAAGAACTCTATTAAATAATCAAATAACTTTGTTAGTCCAAATAATCATGTAAACTCAATGTTCAATCAATCTGTGAAATGAGAATATTAATTGCTTGATATTATAATCCTATGATAGTATTTTAATAAGTAATATAACTTTAAACTACACACCAGACTGATCACACGTAATGTTAAAATCACATAACAACATTCCACATTACACCCTCCATTTTGCCTCATTCACAGCCTAGATCCATTCATCACAAAGAGTGTTTAGAGTTAGCTAGCCTCATTTTAAATTGTTTAGAAATAAATCTTCTTAAACTTTAAAACTTGTCTCTCTCTCTCTCCTTTGACTCTGGGTTAATACGAAGTGTTACCTAATCCCTGCAATAAAAAGTTCCGATCTTCTGTTTAAAGGTAGTATTCAAAGATACATCAACTTGATTCCATATTTTCTATGCAATCTCACCTTTGATGGTTTCTCACGTAAGATGTAACTATCAGACCATTCACTCTCCATCTTGTCCACAACGACACGAAGCATGACTCGATTCTATTTTGAATCACTGGTGTTGTTGCCTGTATGTTTGACTGATCTTGCCAGTTTGTATTGCTATTGGTTGTAATTTTATTGTTATTCACTTGCTTTATTGTTCTTAAATGTGTTTTTATTTTCTTGCTATTTTTTTATTGTTTTTAATCCTCTAATCTTTATTCTTCATGAATTTATCTATTTTTACTGTTCAGTGTGTTGTCCTTCCCATTATGGACCTTAAAGGACCAGAATAAAGTTTGATGATGGTGATGATGATGATGATTGGACGGCTGCAATTAATCCATGACAGAAACCAAGATGGGAGCTAGAGATAGTGTCCCTTATCAACGTGGTCGGAATTTCACAACCAAGCTGATGTCGTCTAAAGAGCTGATCACAGCAGGCAGGATAGTAAATGTTCAGAACTTGTACACAGATGTTAGTAAAAAGATCAAATGACTCTGACATATCTGAGTGGGACACAGACGGTTATTCAGCTAGGACAGCTGGTGTCACACACTGTTCATGCCGTCAGGATTTACCGTGACCCGTACGTTTGAAACTCCCTCCTTTACAGTCGGCGTTTGAGCTGCAGGTGTGCTTGCCTGGGAGCTGTGAAAAACGAGAAAACAGAAAGACACCTGAACACCACAAGAGAAGAGCCCCCACAAGCTGATGTTTATGTCATACTGAGACAATTAAGACCAAATGGGCTATTTTCTGCTACACATCAACAACACAGGCACGCAATTACAGAAACAGTCCAGGAATGAGACCCCGTTTCCGTTTTGTTTTACTATTTATGGTAGCAAATAAGTCGGAGGAAGAGGAGGAGCGGGAAGAGAAGAGAAAGGTTTTACTCACATACCTCTGGACACGTTCCCATTTTCTGACCTTCAGTGATAATGAAGTTGGTCATCACTACAAAAGACGCGTCTCCCTGTTGTTTTGGATTGAAATAAAGGAATTTTTCACATTTTAGACTTGTGCAGTAAAATGCTATTATAGTTAGTGCAGATTATAAAATCAACAAACTAAAGACTCAGCTGGGAAAACTGCAGCGTATTTTTTTATATTTATTTTTTTTTACAAATTTGACGTTTTTTGTCGCTTAAAATATTCAGATCATTGTTGAATCATGACCTCTGACCTTCACCTGAAGCCTGCAATGCTTTGGCTCCAGAGTTGTTCTTGAGCTCTTTTAGCCTACTTCATGTCTATGAAGGTTCATCAAAACATCAAAATGAAAAGAGGCGCCCATGTAAGAGTGGAACAAGCCTATCTGATAGTGATCGGGTTTAGTAGCTGCATAGTTCTGTTTTTTTTTTTTTTTTGTGAACTACATTTTCTATTTAGTCAATTTGTCATTGCCAGACATTGAAATTTGTTTGAATTGGAAGTATTTCTATGAGAAGGAAATTCATTTTTCACTGCAGCTTAAACGTCTGTGCCGACTTCTCCGTTATTTTGCATTTCGGATACCAAATGGAAACAAAGAATTTGGCTTTTAGTTAAAAAAGCAGGAAATGAGGTCAGGAGTGATTATGAGAGCAAGTTAAAATCTGATGAGAGTGAAGCGTCTCATCATAATCTTCATAACTGAGGTCCTTTTCAAACCCTTTTAAAAATCCTGTATTTTTGGGCCAGATTAATATGGATTATATTTGTTGAATGTCACATTTAAAGCCTGTTTGAGGCCAGAAACCATCTGTGTTCACTATATTGCAACTGTTAGCACATTTTTTGCTCACTATATTCGTCTTTTTTCCACAAAGCATAATGGATGTTAGACACTTTCTCATGTCATTATTGCTCCATTTTGTTGGTAAAAACCGGATTCTCTAGTACAACCTACTTCATCCCCATCATCATCCAGCAGGACTGGTCTAAAGTGTCTTTTCATACAAATCACAGAGACATTTTTCACCACAAATGCTGCAGTTGATCAAAGCTTGTTGTGGAAAATGAAACCTGTTCATCATGTTGGTTGGATCTAAAGAAAAGCTCACGCCCAAAACTCAAAGCAAACATGGCAGCCTTTATTGTGTCTACCTTATTTCTTACCCACAGATAACGACACTGTTCCAGCACAAAACGGCCCTCAACCACAGCATCCATGTTGTTTGCTGAGCTATCAAACACCTTCCCCTTGCCAGATTGTCACACAAATCAGGTTTTTAAAACCTGGTTGGATTTCAGTGTTGACCTTAACTGTCTGACTCGGGTTTTGTTCCTGGGACGTCATGCTAAGGATCACTGACTTGCAAGCGCCACTGACCTGAGAGGGGAAGACGTAGTCCGCCACGTCCCACACCGTCTCCCTCCCGCTCACGTTGGTGTAGCCCACTCCTTTCATTTTGGTGAACACGGAGCTCACTGCTGTGTCTGTGGACTGGTAACCTTTCTCGTAGATAAAGACCCACCTGTGTGAGACACAGAGCGCATGAAGTGTGAGCTCCAACCATCCAACCTTGAAGCATGGACACATGTGGGTCGGCTTGTCCTTTCTCCACATCAGAAGAACAGATTATGATAAATGACCTCTGAATACAGATGTTTAGCAGCTGCGATGTTGAAGAGCAGCAAGAAAGCTGGTTGGAAAGTAAAACCAGATTCGAGGGTGAATTTTTCTGATCAGAGATGAAATGATGCTGACTGCATCCTGTCAAGGTAAAGATAAAGTTCCTCACCGAAGGAACTGATGAGATGTTTAATAACCTGGAAAACACAAGGAGCTACAGAGTTGCCCTGCAGCAGGAAGGTTGCAAGGTTGAATCCTAGCTGCAGCCTTTCTACGTGGAGTTTGTATATTCTACTGCTGAAAGTACTTGTGTACTTTTTACTCTTGTATTGTTCTGGTGGGACTAAATTCTACCGTTTTGGATTTGAGTTCAAGGGACGTACAGAATCACATTGAGGGCTGCTAATGGCCCACAAACCGCATTTTTGGTACACGTGTAACAATTAGACAGAGGAAAGTATGTTAGTAGGAGCCAAAACAAACCAAAACGCCCCCTAGTGGCTGGCTGCTATTAAAATTTTAGGCACCGCCCACCTGATAGAAACTATTGAGACGTTTAAGAACAATGACAACAAAATAAAAACTTCAGATCATTTATTTCAGGTTTGTGAATTATGAAGAGTCCGTTTTTTGCTGTTCAAATCTGCATTATTGTTTTTATTTAAGTACATGAGGATTAAAGTGGGTAATCAATTGTTATTTCAGTAAATCTTCCGTGGTCTCTAGTATGAATGAATGACTTATGAAAAAACAAACTCTGGCGCTCCTTTTTCAGGAAATAACAGTTGGCTGAAGCTGTGGGGGGCAGTAGGATTTACGGTTTTACTCGTGACTCTTTTTCGTGATACTCAAACATCTCACCTCAAATTGGCTAACAGTAAGTCAACTCTTCCACTGCCTCCGTTCGCTCTGCAATGTTGTTGTGTTTTGTCCATAAATAGAACCCTGAAGGAGTCCTGCCCTGTTGTAGAGTTGCTAATGCTAACAGTTAGCTTCTACCAGATGTACTCTGGATGCTAAACCAAGAACAGCAATCCTGGTCGAGAGCCAAGATGGGTGAGTTCATGAATGCAGATTTACAGTGTGACGTGTGGCTCTTTTGACTTGCTCGTTTTCCTGTCTATGTTCCTTCAGCAGCTAATCTAGAAAGTACAGCTAAAGATCCTTTCCACAGTTGCAGGCATGTCAAACGCAGCATGACCGGTTGTAGTTCGACAAACACAAGTATTCCACGTTTTGCAGAGCATCTCACCTTTGAATAAACCCCAGGATTGTAAGCAGGAAAGTTGGTGCAAATTGCCTGACTCTAAATTCTAAAAATACAACATGGCCGCCCCGTAAATAAGATATTTTAACTAAGCTTTTCAATAAAGGGGGCAGGGGCTCTGGATCTGTTTTTGTTTTTGTCAACATCGTAAACGTCTAACGGGATTATTTTTGCCATAACATTGTGTTTAATAATTTGTGATTGTGTAACGGCTTCCCGCCTGTTTCAAACTTCTGTTTATCTGTATAAAACCACCTCCTGTTCTCGCTGTAGCTCGTCATTTACCAGAATCTACTGTGATGATGTAACAGATATCAAATGTGAGGCACTTGTGTTTCGACATCAGTGTCACACAAATTCAATGCAGCAACAAAACTGGACTACGTCAGCTTTCAACATTTACAGGGAATGTTAGATTTTCAGAAAACAGGGGGAAAAAAGGTTTTAACACACTCCACCACTAGATGACCAAAGACCTATTTCAGTGGTCCCATTTAGGTCAAAGTGGTCAACAAAAGCCAAGTTGGTGCAACCTGTTGACACCTGTTCTTGGTGCAGCTTTTTACATAACACAAACATTGTTCAGTCCAGAAAACTGAGTAAACAACCATCTGATGCAAAAATGACCTGATGTAAGAATGTTAAACATCACTTTGGCTCCAAGAGCTTTGGGATCTGCTTGTTCTGGTTTCTATGACATGATTCGGCTGTCGCGTCAGACAGATGGGTTCTTATCAGCAAGGCTTCTTCACCCTCAGTCGTTTCCACATTAGGGCAAGAGATGCTTTCAACATGGCCTCTAATAGGAAGGGTGAAGGAATGGAGAACGATGCATGTAGGGACCAGACTGCTGGTCTGGGACTTTTCCTTTCTTAAAAACATAAAATAAAACAACTGGCACGTCTCCCTGAAGAAGCCAACATTCACATAAAAGGAGATTAAAAATACTTTAAATACTAATAATGTTAATTTAAAATCTGAATATGCAACGTTAATGTAAAATGTTGAAATCTAAATGTGGGAGTTTTAAATAACCTACAACAGTAACCGCGGGATGAAGAGCAGTGGTGCCCCCAAGGTTTGGCTAGGGGTGGCCATGACCACCCCTGGAAAATTGCTGGCTCCCCCAGGAAGGACCAATGTTTTTTAATAAATCTTATTAATGTTCACATAAACCAGAAATTCATGTTATTTAATCAAGGCATGAACATAAAACCCAATAAAAAATTATACAGTTAATGAGTTAATAATTAATCAGAGTTTTAAGAAATGAGTATACTAGAATAAACCTTAAAATAATATTTCAAATAACTGAAATGCATTTTTCAGAAAATTTTGTGTTTCTGAAATTTGAGGTAAGTGTTTTGGATGCATATTGTTTTGTCATGGTCTGTGTCTGCGTCTCCTTCTAGCGCCCTCATGTGTTGTGTCTGCATCTTCCTCATGTGTCTCCTGGTGTTCCCCATTTGCCCTCTAGGTTTCCCTCCTCAGACATCCCCCTCCCAGGTCCTGTGCTCTCTTGGCCCCCTCTTAGCGACGCCCCTGTAGTTTCTGTCTGTAGTGTTTTTCTTCAGTGTCAGCTTCCCCTTAGAATATTAGTTATGGTTCATGCCTTATGGTCTTTTGTTTTTCTCTTAGGTCATTTTCCTTTGCCACAGCCTTTCTTTATTTAGTGTTTTTTTTTCCCACCAGTGTTTTTCTTCCTCCTCCCCGATTTAGTAATTGTGTTCACCTGGTCCCTCTCCCCACACACCTGTAATTCATCTCCCTCTCTTCTTCCCAGTCTATATAAGCCCTGTCTTGTCTCTGTGTTGTGTCGGTCCATTGTGTGTTTGTCAGCGTTTGTTCGTGTTCTGTTTGAGCTTTTATCTCCAGGTCTTCGTGCTCTTCGTGAGCTTTTGGTCTTCAGGTTTTGGTGCTCTGAGAGAGCTTTTTGATGTCCTGTTCTCCAAGACTTTTGGTCTGCTGCCATTTTCTGGATTTATTTTTTGTTCTTCCTAAAATAAAGGATTTCTTTACTTTTACCAACTTCTGCCTCGAGTCATCCTGGGTAATCTGCATATTTGGGTCCTAAACATTCCCCACAACCTGACATGTTTATTTTATTTATTTATTTATTTATTTATTGAAAACAAAAGGAGTGTGCAATAAAATCCTCTCTGGCCCTGTCCGGCCACCCTTATCGCAATCTTCTGGGGACGCCACTTTTGAAGAGATGTCATCTCTAAGGTCACAGAGACCCTTTGACGGTTTGATTGTGTGATGTTTATTCTTTATTAATATTTCTGTCTGGGTTCTTCCTTTGAGTTGATAAATAATCAGTGTTTAAACAGCAAAAGGACTCTGAGATGTGAGATAGACATTCTCCTCACCCATGCTTTTATTTTGATAGTCCATTTACAACAAAAATGAGCATTTTTGCCAATCATTTAGTTTAATGTATTTAGATTTTATTCTAAACATGTTGAACAATAATTTTTTAAAATAAAGTATTCAAGTATAACTAGCTCCATTTATCCAGGAGCTACTTTAGTGATCCATATCTTTAAATATCTTATTTTATATCAATTTTAAAGAGTTTGTCCCCACAATCTTGTCAAAGACAATTTTTAGGAGCTTTATGGTTTTCGAGATGTTTTCAGTGTCTTTGTGCTGCCAGGAGGCAATGGCTGGCTTGCACTAAAAAGATAACACAGACGCAACATCAGCTTTTTTAAATGGTGGGAGGGATGGGGGCAGGAAGCATGGTGAACATCATGTCTTTCACGTTTCTGGGACTCAAGCATCACAGAAACGTTTCTTTTTTTTAACGTGATCATGGACACAAATTATGCACAAAAGGAGAATTTCCATCAACGAGGGCAAGGAATATCAAACGGTTTGAATTCCAGAATGGAAGAAAAAAAATCTAATTATTATAGAAATGAAAGCAATGAGAGCTGAAATAATGGGGGAATGATATTTGCTTCTTCAGCGACAGGCGAGGAATGGTGATGATGGGGGGGTGGGGGGTGGGGGGGCTCTGCACCAAAGAGATTAGAAATTATTTCCTGACAAAAACGGGTCTGATTAAAAGAGACAGTTAAGTAAAAGCTAAGAATACATTGTGTTTAACACAAATGTTACAATAAGGCTGTTAATTAAAATAGTATCAAAAGCTGCTCTAGTTTCTTTTCGAAATTCATGAGGGAGCTTCACCTTAAAGTTAATACATGCATGAAAATCTTAGAGGAAATGAAAGTCCTAATTTCTAGTTTTTTTTTCTTTTTTTTCGTTTTTTTTTTTGCAGATTACATGCTGAGGTTGATCTCTGGGGTTAATCTGAACATGAACATCTCGACAACCAGCAGTTCTGCGGTTCAGCGCTCAGAGGATTGAAATGGGCCGGCTTCCGCTCCGACCCATCGGAGCATCGGTTAAATCTTGAGTAGAAGGATCCAGACAGCTTTCTAATTACATCTCCTCTCTCGGACATCCAGCTCTAATGTGACCCGACCGCTGCAGCAGGCAGGTGACAGAGGTGGAATGAAGCAGGATGGTTTTATTCTCAGGGGAAATTTGTATCAAAGTGCACTTTTTCTCCTTCAGCAGAGGTGAAAACTGAAGGCACTGCTAATTTTAGTTGTGTTCATGATTTAGATCTTAAGTTTGTCTCAGCTGTTGTGTATAAATGTCAGGGTAACTGGTAAAGGAAGATGCATCTTTGTGGGCGGAAAATTGTGCAGCGGTGGATCTTTATCTGTGTGAGCATGTGCCTCGGCGTGTTCATCACGACTCATTCCTGCAGGTATCTGCTGCTCAGAATCAGTGAAAACAAACGTGTCCCTTAACTCTTCAGAACATAAACAGAAACCCAGAGCAATGACTGGAACTTTCTGGAGAACTCCAACATGTCAAAGCGTGCAGCTGTATACGTAAGTCACCAAACATGCAGGAAGTTTTGCTTCAGCTCATAAAGGACAGCTATTATCCGCCCTGTTATCTCCTGATCTCCAACTACAGCTGCCAGTCATTCTGTTTGCTCTGTCAACAGGACACGTGTCCCTGTGGATGCCTCTTTCCCAGCCTAAAACACCTTTCTTTAAGCGTACACAGTTTGGTTGGACAATCATTTCATCCTCCTTCATCGTTCAAACATGCATGCCATCATCCACCTGAGCAGCAAAGTTCTGAGTCTTACCCGATGATGTAAGCCAGGACCCCCAGCTGGATGAGGCGGCACACCACTCCCACCCTCCTGTTCCTCACCAACACCTGGCGAGGAGTTTCATACTCAAAGAAGAAGTCAGAGAGGGCATTAGTGAGCTGGCTCTTCATCTTCTTTCTCTTGTTGACCCACAGAGAGCAGGGTCTGTCTTGTCACCTCAGTCTCATATAAAAAAGAAAATCTTCAAACTTCCTCTTTTGGCTGCTTTTGCCGCTTGTTCCCAGCTCTCTGAGAGTCCAGCCTCCTCTCCTAACGTCTGATGTGCTTCGACTTCCTCCCCCCTCTCTGTTTTCTCCTCCTCCCCCCCCCCCCCCCCCCCCCCCCCCCCCCCCGTGCACCAGGACTCCCCACTCTGCTGCATTTGCACATCTTCCCGTTTGCCTTGTCCCTTTTCTTACTTTATTTTTGCAAGAATGTGTGAAACACCATTCAGCACTGGCTTTTAAAAAGTTTGCATAACTCGGGAGTCGTGGCGCAGTCAAAATGAACACTGGACTTCCTCCTCTCAGAGCAATCAAACCCTATCATTTGCACTGACACTTTCTTCCTGCATGCAACACAGAGATAGACAGCAGCACAAACGCACACACTTCAATGTGCTCATTGTGCCGCCCCCAAAAAAAAGAGAAACTGCTCCCAGGAGATAACGCCGTATGAAATCAGTATGTTGGACCCTTAAAACGTCTTATAATGCAAAACTCACTTTTTGCTGCCCTATGGGTCTCTACTGCCTTTATAAACACTCAAATGTGGAAAAAAACACTCCATTTGTTTTCTGCCAGGGCTTGGTTTTAGGAGTTATCTGCCTAAAATAAGTTGTTTCAAAAAGTCCTATTTGTGATGTCACAAATGAGAAAATTAGCATAAAATCGCCCCTCACCTATACATGTTACAGGTGCAACGGCTCTTCTCAGAGAACCTACTGAATATCGGAGCTTCTCAGCTTATAGCAGCCTGAGCAATGTATGGGTGATAAATGACCCGCACTTGTATAGTGCCTTTCAGAGTCCAAAGTGCTTTATGAGCTACATTATAGCCACAGCTGCCCTGGGGCGCACTGACAGAGCGGAGGCTTCTGTCCCTCTGATCACCACCAGCAGGCAATGGCAGAAGATGGGATCAAACCTACAACCCGCTCTACCTCCTGAGCTACTGCTGCTCAGCTGGGCGTGGCCAGAAACAGCTTGTTTTCATACTTGGCCTTTCCACCATGCGTGTTAGTGTTGTGTAAAGTCTGTGAAACATAGTACACAGAAATCAGTTGCCATCATAGTCGATGGGTGAATTTCCACCAGCAGCAAAGCATTTTGGACACGTCCCAGAAGTAGTGTCATGTCATTCCAGTAAACGTACGCTTCGAGTCTGTTTTTTACGCAGTACACTTCCAAAATGTGTCAAGCTCAGCAGTTCTGATCAGCACAGACAAGAAATCAAACCCTGGAGCAATGTAAAACATCCAGAAACTCTCACACCTTCAAGAAATGTCCTTAAAACAACGTTGATATGTCCTTATTATAAAAAGGTTTCTTGTTAAGACAAGATTTTATGTCATGTTATAACAAAAAAAAACGTTGTGACTACCAGATACTGCCGCTATAGATTTGCCACCACAGATAATCTACTTTATCAAACATTTAAACGGCTACAACTCAGGCAGATTTACAGATTTTGAGCTAAAGTTTGTCGTATTAGGAGCTTTGAATTAGCTGCTAATCTCAATTGCAGCTAGCTTGCCTCCTCCTCCTGCTGATTCTCCAAACTCAAGTGGTTCTCACTGCTGTCTACTACAGGTAAGATGCTGACTGCTCAGTAATACTCCACACAATCCCACTTCAAATGGAAAGTATTCCATTATTATGTAGGATTTTCTTAATTAAATACAGTGTGTGTGTGTGTGTGTGTGTGTAATCCTGGTAGACCCCAAAACCTCTAAATGACCCATCACCATTGCTCTCAGTGAACTGGAGATTTGAGTGTGATGTTGTGATTTTTCTGCTCTAATCCGTCTTTGGCAGCGTGACTCGTGTCAGCCAGTAATGACCTCTTCACCAGAGTCAAGACAGCTGCAGCAATGGCTGCTGCACAACTACGGCGAAGCTTAATATGGACAAACCTTGGAAGCAGCTAAGAAAGATTTAAGAAGCTAGAGTGGCTAAACGAAACAAAAGAAGACAAGAAATTCAAGTTGAAAAAGAGTCATCGGCGCAAGGGCAAACATCATTAAGCACACGTCCACAGAGAATGGGATTAACGTGTAGAAGCACTTGTAATGTCAGACGAACAAAGTCAACCCCTGTCTGATGTCCAAACAGTACAAAAGTTATATAAAGCGGGAAAAGTGTCAACAAAGCCCCAACGTGTGCTAACGCCACTCGAGGGTAAATGTAGAGAAACTTTAGCGACCTGAAATTGTGTCTGTGTGTTGTTGTTGGGATATTTTGAAGGCTGAGGAAGGCTGAGGACATGGACGTAATTTTCACTTGAGAAGTGGGGGGGACACGGGGGGGGGGGGGGGGGGGGGATCTTTACAGTATGCTCTAATGGGAAGCAGGTTTCAACACAAACGGCTGTTTTACGCTTGGTCTTAGAGCTCAACCAGTGTCAGTTTAATATAGCGTAATATTGTTTTTGGATGGTAAAAAGTACAGGGGTCAAAACTTGATTTTGGAAAAAGTGTGGGGGGGGGGGGGGCATGTCCCCCCCCCCCCCCATTATTACATCCATGGATGAGGAGACGTTTCAGCTGTGGTGTCATAAGACGAACACATAGAGAGGAGAAAGGTTTTGTTTTGGGTTCTACAAACAGACACTAGGAGGTACTAAAAGCAAGCCAAAACTGCCCAGTTCCCCTTTAAGACCAGCTCAGTGGCCTAGTGGTAGTGTCCGCCCTGAGACAGGGGTCCAAATCCTGGTCGGATCATGACAAAGACTTTAAAAATGGGACCCAATGCCTCCCTGCTTGACACTCAGCGTAAAGAGGTTGGATTGGGGGTTAAACCACCAAATAGTTCCTGAGCGCAGCCACAGCTGCAGCTCACTGCTCTCTACTGGGATGGGTCAAATGGGGAGATGATTTTCACCAACGTGTGATGACTAATGGGACTTTTAAGATTTAAAGTTATTATTTTTTAATTTTGTTTACAGTATTTGGTGAGTTTTTCCATTTCCTTTGGACTTTTGACCATCAGGTTAAAAAATTTAAGGCAATTACTAAATTTTAAGGTGTTTAAGCTTCAAATCTTCAATGAATTAAACTAATGTTCTCAATTCAGACAAAGTGTGAGCTCTGACTTTTATTTATGTGGACTTTATCTAGTTTTTATTTTTAGTTTGTTGGTCTCTTTTTTTAACTTGTTCCAAGTTCAGTTTACACTTTTGTAATTGTTGATTGGTTTGATTTCCATCAGTGTTGATGCCATAAATGTTTGTGACCAGAGTTGACTGGAAATAAATCTTTGCTACAATAGCTTTATTATAGATTTATTTATTTTAAGTAGGACACTTTAATCACCCTTACAGGAGTCAACCAGCATAAATCCTGGTGAAGCCGAGCTTTTCCTCCAAGTGGGATGAGATGTGAACATCTGATGAGACGTCATCTCTAAACATTTGTGTCAAATCCCCTCATATTTGTGTTCATGCAGTCCTCAGCGTAATCCTCTGTGGCTATCTGAGTAAATCATGTAAAACGCAAACAACAAAAAGAAATTACAAACATTTAGAAGATGTTTGCTCAGTTGTTTTGTGTTACAGAAAAATTACATGTAAAAAGGAAATGATGCTGATTCGTTCTCTGTGAAACACGCCTAAATACCACAGATTAGGTCTTTTTTACAAGTTCAGGTCAGTATTTATATTATAAACAAAATTATGAATAACGAAAGCATTTTAATGTCACGATAAGTTTATTAATTCTGAGCTTTTAAATCCACAAAGTCATGTTTAGAGTATTTGGAGTTTAGCTTTCCCCCAAATAGGAGAATTTCTTTGATTAATGTGCTTTTGTTATGATGCCACACAGAGTGGCGTATGCTGCCACCTACTGGACAAAACAAAAATATTTCAGGGGGGTAATTTTGGTGTCTCATTCATTCATTCATTCATTGTATTACAGCATGAAACAGGGGTGTAAAAGGTTAAAAATGAAGAGAAAAACACTCAAAATTCAAAAATATGAATATATACGCACTGAAAAATATTCTAATATAAAATCTAAAAATATTGTGGCAATTGCTAAGAGATGGCAGAATGTTTACAGTGAATGGAGCTAGGCAGGAGGAATGAGGCAGGTAGGATGACAAATTCTAGATTTTGGTGTAAAGCTGACTATGGTGCTGCTGCCTCTTGGCCAGATGGTCGTTGTAAATGAGAATGAGTTCTCAATCAACTCGTCTGATTAAATAAAGCCTAAATCAGTAAAAATAAATAAATAAATAGATTTGTTTTATAGTGCAGGTGTAACCTGCTTGGCTAAACACACAATATCATCTAACATAATACAAATAGTTTATATGAGTTATAATGGGAGCGGCTTCTTGAAATAAAGTTAATATTCTATTTCGTTTCTATTTATTTGTACAGGATTGTCAACTTTTTAAAAAGTCTCAGTCTTGTCTGCTGTGCGGCTGCCGGCTTGTGGAGCTCTCGGGAGACCGATGTTTTCCACCCAGTTCTCCCCTCCCCGCAGGTTGGCATATCTCTGTCTGATCGCGGCTCCTGACTGCTGTGCGGCTGCCGGCTTGTGGAGCTCTTGGGAGACCTCTGTGTTCCACCCGGTTTTATCCAGCGGTCAGCCCGGCATACCTCTGACTAGGGATGGGTACCTTTGACATTTGAATCGATCCGGTACTAATTACCGGTACCTACGAATCGATACCGGTACTTAACGGTACCAATTTTCGATACTTTTGAGTGTTTATTATTTTAATTCTCTTTTATAATTAAATATATATTTTTTCTCAATATATAACAATATTTGATAAATATCACGATAAATAGCATACAACTGTTTGTATTTTAACATTGCCCTTGTAGTTTTATAAGCTGATAATTAAACTGAAGCAAACATCTTTACTGTGAACTAAATTTACTGTGTATCTTCATTCCTTTTGCCATCTTTTTTTATTTGATTTTTCCTACTGGGAAGCTAAAATTTCCGAGGAGAAAGCGAACGCACCATTAGCTGATAACAATGGTGGCAATGGAAGCTAACATATCAAGCTAACGATATCTTAAACAGTTTATTTAGCTGCTGGAGCAGATTAAAATGATGCCTCACACTTAGATCGTCACTGGTTTCATCTTCACCCATCACATTTAGTAAAGTGAAGCCAAACTTTAGAGCGCACTCATGTTGTTCTAGTCGGAAATTCGGAGTTCCGAGGAGAAAGCAAATGCACTATTAGCGAAACGGAAGCTAACATATCAAGCTAATTATATTTACCTACCGGAGCAGATTAAGATGAGGATGTCTCACTTAGATAGTTGTCGCTGGTTTCATCATCCAGTTACCCATCACATTTAGTGAAGTGGACCCAAGCTTTAGCGTGCGTTCTCTCTACCATGCTGCTCTGTTTACAACTGGTTCACAGCAAGCGACGACAAAACGCTCTTGCGCATGCGCAGCTGTCTTGGCAAGTTCTCGTTATGATGGACGGGTACCGAAACGAGGCACCGTTTGAAATGACGTGAATCGGTGCTCGGTCGGTACTATGGAATTCGGTCGGTACCTTAAAAAGTACCGAATTCGGTACCCATTCCTACCTCTGACTCAGAAGCTCTGGTGTTGTGCACAGTTAACTCCGGTTGTAGCTAGGTTGCTACCTCCATTAGCTTAGCTCCCACCTCCACGTTAGCTTTGGGTTAGCTTCAGGTTAGCTTGTAGCTAGTTCGACCGGGTGTCGTCAGTTGATCCCAGCCTTACAGCTCCACCTCTCTTCCCTTTTGTGGAATTGTCTGGGCTTGACAGAACCTGTGAACGGTCAAAATGGCGATGGTGGCCACCTCCCATTTAGCCTCAAAAACCTGTCATTGGAGATTATGGAAACCCATTGTCCAATATTTAAATGTTGATGACTCGAACACAAAAATACAGCTCAGTTGCAATAATTTAGGTATATACTGCCCCCTGTTGCCAGGGAAAAAACACACAGTCACTTTTAGTAGAGTGAATGCTTTAATAAAATGCAGAGACTAAAATGTGCTAAGTCAAGTAGTTAGAGAAATAATTTTCATGTTCTGAAATCAGTTTCTGTAGAAAAAGTAATAAAAAATAATCTTACCAATTGTCGATCCCTCTCAGAAAAACTTTAGTTTAGAAAAGTGAACTAATAGGATGATTTAATCTCAAATATTTCGTAGCCTTATGCATTTGTAATGTTTGTTTCCATAAATGTCATATTTAATAGTTATTCCAGCAGTTTTATTATGACATTCAATCCATAAGGATTACGGTCGCTGGCTCTGCATGTAATTTCTACAGAATTACAATTTTTTTATGGAAATATTCATGTAAGACACTTTAATCAAATCTAAAGATTACATTTATATCACACTGTTTATTCCACTATATTTATCCTGCCCAGATGTGTGATTAGAGTGTTACTGGAGCTCCATAACCTCATCATGGAGTAAAGCTGTTCCGAATGTTCTTTTCCAGATGGCACGGGGTTAAACAGCTCATGAAAAGCTGAGTAGGAACTTTCAAAAGGACTTGTTTTTCTCACGTTTGCTTAAAAATAGACCCTAAGGAGGGAAGTAAGCCTCAATTGAATTTTCCACATGATGCAGGGCTTTCCCATTCCCGGAAGGGATTCAGCTGGCCAGGGTGCTCCTGTCCCCAGATAAAAGGTAATGGGAATGCTACAAAAGAATTCTCCAGAGAAGATGTATCCTCTTCCTGACCAGGTGCGAGATCCTCAGTGATGCGGACGCCTACAAATGTAATGTTATTTAATGTAACAACTAAAAAACTGCACTGATGATTCTTTGCCACCAATATAAATGTTTATTTTAAAAACTGACACCAATAAGCAGAAAAACACAACATAATATGAGCAAGTCGTACGGCACTGACATCATATATTAGCACAGAGGCCGAGGACATCCAGGATCGTCCAACCATGTTTGGAAACTGTCTTTTAGGACACATTATAAATGAGAAATGATTGACGGTGACTGTTGTCTTCATGTGAGGTAAATAATAATAAACGTACTTAGAAGTGTTTCCTTAAGCATAAACTTGAGTTTTATTATAAATGTGATTATTAATCATTATTTAATAGCAAGAGTCCTCAGGCTGTCCACCAGTATGTCTTGTGTTTACATAATGGGCGTCCGAGTAATCTTCAGACGCCTGAGAGGGAGGGGTGTGTCCTACTGCCGACTGACAGGTTGTAAGGAGTGGTCCATGGCAGCGGGGGGGTCACCCTGGGTGACGGCGAGTGTGGCCTGCTCTGGCAGCAGACTCGGGTCCGTCAGGATGGCCGTGGTGGTACTTAGGAGACGGAGTGAACTCAGAACCGCTGTGGGGACAAGAAAAGGAACAAAGTATTAAGGTCAAGCTCCTAAGTCAGGGTTCTGCGACCTTTACAACTGAAAAGTATTTAAGTTTAAGAGAGCCACAAAATCTATTTGACCCTTAAAAATCAGCCGACATTTAATATCTGATCATTAAAACTGCTTTAAACTTTTTATGTGTCTTGGTTTACTTCTCATCTGTGAACCTTAATGTGTACAAAACATTTATCAGGTTGTTGGTAAAGTTTCCTATTTCTGATTTTCTGTGTTATAAGAAAATCTACAGCACTACCACGTTTTGATCTTAAAATTGATTCAATCCCAGAAAATACATAAAAAAACTACTTTCTGTTTTTACAATATTCTGGCTAAAATATGTAAAAGTTGTTTTTGTTGTTTGTTATTTAAGCCTAACAAACAAACAGTTCAACAGTGAAGCTGGGAAGATTTTAAACACAGTTTGTGTTTTTTTTGCAGCTAACTCTGGTTCTGGGATGATGAGAGGCATCCTTCCTATTGTACCTAAATATAAACATTGGATCAAGTCAGAAGGAGCTGCGAGAGGCTGAGGAGCCACGAGTGGGTCCGGTCCAGACTCACTGGGTCTGAGGGTGGGCAGGGCACAGTGCTGGTCCAACCAGGAGAGAGTAGAGCGACACAGATCCTCCACACTGGCAGTGGAAACCATCCCGTTATAAGACTCAAACAGAGGCTCGATGATGATGCTGAACTAACACAACATTAAGGAATAAAGTCCACCTAAAATAATGATAGGACTACATTTTAATGCACATTTTAGCTGTGAATTTGTTCCCACCACAGAAATAAAATGTTAAGTGCATTAATTACAGCCACGGCCATGCAACAATTATGACATTTTTATGTTTAAAGAGCAAGTCAACCCCTACCAGAGTCTAACTCCACTCCCACTTCATGTTTGAAAAATGCAACACATGCTGTTGCCTGGCAGACCGAGAGGGCGGAGCCGCTAACAAATACACACACACTCAGGCTCACGACAGCATTGTGACATCATAATGTACCAGTTTACATCATAGCATACCTCTTAGCCAATAGCGGTGGCAGATTTAAATTAAAATACAGTGCAGAGTTTTTACCTGACAACGGCACAACACTGCCAGTTTTAGGCAGAATATTTAAATTCGAACTAAGATGCACTGAAGTGCCAAATTATTGACGACACGTGTCTGCAGCACGATTAGACACTCGTTTATTTAGTTTATCAGCAAAAAAATGTTTATTTGGGGGTGACTTGCTCTTTAAGCAGATTTTTAGAATGTAAACATTATACAGCAACAGCATAAAGCATGAAAATATTAGAACACTCAGATTTTTACATTTTATTTTTGCTTAAGTGGAAACAATTTTCTTCCATATCTTCATGAATATTCATGACATCATTGAATTCAGGGACCCATTGTGACCACAAACACATTCCAGGTCTGGAAATGTTGCCAAATGCTGTTTTTTGGATCATTTGCTCGCTACCACTGGCCTAAACTTGCCTAGGATTGACTGAATAGTAATAATAATAATAATAATGCATTGAACATACATAGCGCTTTTCTAGACACCCAAAGACGCTTTCACACACTCACATTCACACACTGCTGGTGTAACAGAGATGAAAATGTGAATTTCACCAAAAGTGATGTGCAGTGATTGTTTGTTTTTGGAGCCGCCTACTGGTGGTTAGGCGCAACTGCATGCAACGGGTCCTTCAGGCGCATTCACGGCCCCTCCCACCAAAGCAGTAATGAAAGCTGGTGGAGGTAGGTGTACTGTGAAGCCGCTCTGCACTTAAAGTCATTTTAACCTTTAATTAATATATCAATAGGACTTGTTACAGATATTTAAGTGTTGTTAGAGCATATTTTGAAAAAGACCGTTGTATGCAGTTGCAGCGCACACACACTGATGTATTATTGTGTGCTTGTTTTTACATCAGATCCTGCCAGTAAAGAGCTCTGAAGGACAGTCCTGTGTCTGTGGCCTGATTGTATGTGTGCGGTGATTTGAGGCAACTCCAATAACCCTGGACGGACAAGAGGAAGCTGTCACACTAGTGATGGTAAGCTAGTTGTAGCCACAGCCGCCCTGGGGAGGTCTGACAGAGGCGAGGCTGCCATTTGGTGCCGTCGGCCCCTCTGACCACCACTAACACAGGCAAGTTGGGTGAAGTGTCTTGCCCAGGGACACAACAGCAGGATACCCCTGGCGGGAGCTGAAATCGAGCCCATGACCCTCCGATCATGAGGCAACCCGCTCTACCACCTGAGCTACTGCTGCCCCAAAGTGTTAGTGTTTGTTGTTAGCATTAAGGGCAAACTGATGGCTTGATTATCACCTGTAAGTCGCTTTGGACAAAAGTGTCTGCTAAATACATAAGCATAACGTCTGGTGTAAACAGTTAAATAGCATTAAATTTAAAAAACGGGTTGGGAAACAAAGAAACCAGACAGCGTGGCACTGAAACATAAGACATAAGCACCTCACAGAGGAATAATCAAGAACATTCATTTAAACCCTCTATGATAATTGTTGCTGAGCTTTTCATTCCAAAGAGGATACAATCCAGAACTTCCAGTTTTGCAGAGTCTGAGCGCGGACGTAGTCCCTGAACTTTTGCCTCATGTAGTCGAAGCGCTGCCGGGTGATGGGAACGCCGGTGGCTGGAAGCTGCTGCTGGCAAGAACTGCAAAAAGAAACACGCTGAATTTAAAAAAAAAAAGAAAGGAAAAGCAGCAGCAGAGTGCACTTTTAAAATAAAACCTCTTCGTTCATCTCCAGAGGAAGGAGAGGGCGACATCGTCCTCTCCTGCCTTCGTCTCCGTTGATGACCAAGGTACGGATCATAGAAACAGAACAACAGAAAGTGAAAGGATGGATAAAAGAAGCGACTGAGATAAGGAGACGTGGACCCAGGACCATGAATAGGGATGGAGGAGTATACACGCTGGACCCCTCACGGGACATGGTGATCGACGCGGGCAGGAGAGGGCGATATTGTCCTCTGCTGCCTGTAGATAAACAGAAGTGATGCCACCAACATCGACATTGCTCTGATGAAGACAGAAGTGGACGTCGAAACATTTCAGCAAAGGTAAAAACATGCTTTATTTGCGCCGTGTGTGATGAAGAACCACAAAAATTTTATCGGACAAAAGCGACAGGAAGTAGCCGAAACTGTCAGCACTCTGTGTGCTAGTCAAGAACAGAAACGCCGTGGAAATAGGTAAAGGTCTTACTTGATGGCTGAGTTGAGGTGCTGGATCTCCTCTCGGAGCCTCTGAACTTCCTCATACAGCTGAGCTCTCTCCTGTTGCATCTTACCGATGTACTCAGCGGTCTTCTGCAGAGTCGTGGCTTTGCTGATCTGTGACAGCACACAGAAGAGTTCACATGAGCATCCTCACCTCTGACAAACTTGTGTGTTGTTCTGTTTTCCAGCAGAGCCCTGTAGCTGCTCCTCTATGATCCACATCTCCTTCACCGTACCTTTATGCTCGGCTGCGAGCTCAGCGTTGTCACAAGGTTATGCAACGTGTCAAATCCCAGTTTGATGTTGAAACGCCTCTTTTGCTCGGCTGAGATGTGAGTGATCCTCCTGGTCTCTGTTTGCTACGGACACAACAGCAATGATCGAACAGCATGGAGTATGTTCCCCCTTTTATTATTGTAAATGAAAACGAGAAGAGACTCCCCACCTTAGTGGACTCTATCTTCCCATGCCCTGAGAAGCCTGAATGCGGGGACTCGGGATTGGACGATTTGTCTAAACGGTTTGGTGAAGTTTGGCCAGGATGTGCAGTAAAAACAAACAACACGTAAACATTTATGATTCCTCATCAATGCAAGGTCAGATGACACAATAAGTAACTGACGTGGCTATTTTAGGGACATACCGGTCACGCTGCTCCTGTCTGAGACATGGAGCTGAACAGGTGAGAGTTTCTCCGTTTTGGGAATGAGGAGCGCCGTGTCGGTGTTTGTGGAGCTGTGGGTGAGAAGGGCGGACACTGCAGAGCCTCTGGAGGTGCTGGCGTGGGGTTCACTGTGGCCTAGGGCAGCGCTCTGACCTTGCAGAGGTGCCACCACCGCAGGCCAACCTGCTCCATGCTGCAGGAAGAAAGCACCACTAGCATGAGTAACTCTGCTTCTCTACGGATGTACGTTATTCTAAAGGATTTTAAGAATCACTAGATTTTTATAACTTTTGATTCCATGAAGCGAAGGACAGATTTATTAGAGAACAGACGGATATGCGTTCATTTTAAGCAGATTTCCTCGCAAACTTTGCATCGTCAATCAGCTGAAACCAGTCACAACCCAGTTAGATGTTAGCTACGGCGTTGTGGTCTTCTAAAGATCAGACAGATAGGAAACTTCATGATTACCAAAGAGGTGGTAGTTGTTGACTTCTGACCTTTGGTTGTCACTAGGGTCGTACTATTAAATCCAAGCGTGGGCTTTCCTGGAAGAAAGAAAAACAAAAGTATATTTGCGTTTACTTTTCTACATCATCTATGTGGAAACGTAGATCCTCACGTTCGTGTGTGCCGGAGGAAAGCAGCTTAGCCAGGCAGCTAGTTGGCATGGGGACACTGGAGTGGGGGTCGGAGGGCAAAGCGGAGGGGCCGAGCATCCTTGCCCCTCCTGTCTTTTGCTTGTGCTTCCCTCTGACCCCTGAAGCAGCCACCTGCTTCGGGACAGAGAGGGAGTGGGCCGCTGTGGTCGGAGGGAGCGCTGAGTGGACCGGGTCAGAGGGGGCGGCTGGGTAACTGAGAGGGTGGCAGAGAGTCTGTGAGAATGCTTCCACTGCTTGAGGGTAGCTGTGAGTCTGGTACACAGAACCCTGAGCCCCCCCGGTGGAGGCCGTGTGGGTGATGACAGTGGAAGTGACGCCAGTTGTTGCATAGAAACCAAACTTGTGGCAGGGCAGCGGATGCAGATATCGAACACTAGCGGGGGTCGGCTGATCGGCATTACTGGTGAATCCTACAGAAAGAGGTGCGTCACGGTATGACTGATGTCCATACGGCAGGGCTCCTGATTCCAATCCAGATGTGTGGAAGTCCCCGCAATCCTGACTCGACCTGGATTGGTCCGTGCGAGTGCTGGATGTAGAAGGCTGAGACAAACTGTCTGATGAGAGATCAGGCTGCCAAAAAAGAGTTATTCACTTTTACTCATTCCAAAGGAACGTTCCAGAAGGAAGGTGAACAGAAGCTGTACCTGAGGGAGCTGGGTGTCTATGAGCAGCTGGGGGGTCGTTACCTTGGGGGCGGGCGCAAACACTGTGCTGGATGAGCTCTCATAATAGCTACAGTCTGAAAAACCGGTCTGATCTGTGGGCTCGTCTCGGTAGTTTATGAAGATGTCTGAAAGAAAGCGACACAAATGTTTATGAGTTGTAATGAAATGTGGGGGCTTGTCTGGGATTTGAACCTAAGACCCACAATGATTTCCTTGAAACAAATCGTCTGTAAAAACAAAGTGTATAAAATAGTCTAAAATTTCAGGATCTCTAACAATGAAACTGAAGGTGTGTTGTTCATCTGGTGACCAGCAGAGGGCGAGCTCTCTTCCTACAGATCTTTACTAAAAATGTATTTAAAACTTTGGCTGCATTTTAAAAACACATTTTTTCACTAGCATGTGTCAAATCCAGCACATCTCAGCTGGGAATGCATCCCAGATTACCTGGTATGTCCATAAATTCATCCAGGTTGGGCTGCAGTGGAGTCAGTCCTGGCTGAATGATGTCAGCATTACAGATGTACGCTGAGAAAGGACAAAATAAATTAAGTTAAGCACAAAACAACCTACAGGAGTGTTTTGATTTAAACTTACACCGTGCCACTAATCAATGTCTTCATTGTCTATTTTGTCCAGTACTATTTGCTGAACCAACATCAATACTTCTGATCGTCTTTAAATCCATTTCAGGCATTTTAAATATTTAAACAACTTTACTGAAGTTTATTTATACTTTCAAACTGTCACTGTCAAGACGAGTGTTTGAGATATTTCAGCATAATTCTCTAACAATCCATGCTAAAAACAATTTTTACGTCCTAGTCTAACTAGTCTCAGGGGCAGTTTTTCACCACTACTCAAAACACAACTTTAAAAATCAAGCATGTTAGAAATATTAATTTAAGTGTGTCATATTTCAGGAAACGTTTCTGTTCTTAATCCATCTCTAGTTTGCAGAGTTGCAAATTTCATGCATCATATCTAAGATTCAGGTGCTGAACTTGATTCTCACTCAGCAGAAGCCGATCCTGATGCATTATTGAGTTTGCATGTTTCTCCGTGAGCATGTAAGGCATTTCACCCGATGCATTTAGAGATTTTTAACTGATTTCAGATGAGAGTATTACTTGGAGATCTTTCTATAAAATAATTTACTGTGATATTAAAATCTACAACCGAATATGAATAATTAATGTCATTTAATTAAGCGGAATCTATCAAAATTACAGCAGATTTTATTTTTAATGTCGTCTAACTCTGACTCTTTTCCAAAGTTTCCTATTTTATTATTACAAAACAGGATTGGGGCCACTGAAAAATAAGAAAAAAAGAAAAGAAATTTTGACTTTTTTTCCTCAGAATTATTTTTCTTTCCACCCACCCATTCTGTTCCACTAATCCGGGATCAGGTCGTGGGGGAAGCAGCCACTTAGGCCAGCTCCTTTTGGGGAACTCCAAAGCATTCCCTGGTCAGCTGAGAGACAAAGTCCCTCCAGCATGTCCTGGTTCTTCCTTTATGTCTCCCAGGTTGGAAGTGCCCAGAAAACCTCATCAGAGAGGCATCCAGGAGTCATCCTAACTAGACGCCCAAGCCACCTCAACTGACTCCTCTCTGTGTGGAGGAGCAGAGGACCTACTCCAAGCCCCTCCCGGGCGACCAAGCCTCTTACCCTATCTCTAAGGGAGAGCCCAGACAGCAATCCTCTTGAGTAAAGAATGACTAATGAATAGAGCTGAGGAATATAATAATATAATAATTGATGCATCAAGTTGCGAACATAAATAACATAAATAATTATGTTCACCATGACACAAAAACCGTGTCCCTGAACCATTGAATCATAATACTTAATATAAAGCGGTTTGTTTGTTTGTTTTTTAACCGTGGCATAAATATGTTATTCTAAAGGCGTTAAAAGCCAATATATGGACCTATTATGGATTTTATCAACTAAATGAAGGGTATTAATTGGACATGTACTATAGGTTTTCAGTTCTTTTAAAAGTTGTGTGTGTGTGTGTGTGTGTGTGTGTGTGTGTGTGTGTGTGTGTGTGTGTGTGTGTGTGTGTGTGTGTGTGTGTGTGTGTGTGTGTGTGTGTGTGTGTGTGTGTGTGTGTGTGTGTGTGTGTGTGTGTGTGTGTGTGTGGGAGGGTGACCCACATCATAGCTTCAAATGACAGGATTTGGAGTCATTTTGTCCTGATTATGTGGATATCTCTGCTCTGATTGGCTAACAGGAATGTGACTACCACTGACTTGGTTTGCTCTGCAACAATGTTTTATCTTCACAAATAACACAAGCCTGAAGGAGCGTCTGCCGTGTGGTGGAGTTGCTAATGCTAATGGTTAGCTTCCGCTAACCGAGACATTCTCTGCTTTTTCCTGGACGCTAAACCAACAGCCTTCCCCGTTGTGAGTCAAGATGGGTGAGTCCATGAATAAGTGACAGCGTCTGTCAGGATTTTCTAATCTTAGAGTGTCATTGTCTATTTTTTATCAGAAGCGAATGCAGGAGATAGGTGTAGGAGACTGTTTTCATGTTAAGCCTGCATGAAAAACTCAGTGTGATTGATTATAATTAGAAATAATAGATAAAAAATTAGTTTTCAGTGAACCACACCTTTAAGATTTTGTTAGCATCTGCAGATTGATTTATTTCCTGCAGCCTGAGATGTGACTGTTGATGGTGTGTTGTTTCAGACACATTTTTGAATTAAAAAAAGCTAATATCTGACATCTTCTATTCATTGATGAAAAAAACCGTGTGAAATAATCGCGATGCATCGAGATATGGAATTGAACTGAATCGTTGACATGATAATTGTAATTGAATCGAATTGTGAGCATTCACACCTCCACTAATGAGACAAAGGATTTGTGAAAGCATAATTAAATAATTACAGCAGGGAAATTTTGGTTTCTTCTAAGTAAAACTTTATAAATGTGAATAATCTCTATTGACTTTACATTTGAATACTTCTTACTAAGCTCATCCACAGCGTTTCTATTAATCAAAAGCAGAATCTATCACTTCTATTTGACCATAAAGGACATTTCACTGCTGGATGATAAACATATTAAAATAAACCAATAAAAAGCCTCCAGTTCTCATAGATGCTGTATTTCAGAGGAAAAATGACTCACTGTTGTATCGCTCGCTGTTCCAGGGACACGGTTTTTGTGTCATGGTGAACAGCGTGTCGGAGATGTCAGAGAGAAGACAGTCCAGGTCAAACATGTGGACCTCCACTGGGGCAATCTCAGGCTCCTGGTAGCTCTGATTGGACCTTTTGTCCAGCTTGGCCTGACAGATCTGTCCCTGCAAGACATCAGGCAGGAACTCAAAGCTGTGCAAGTGGGAGCTGGAACTAAGCATCTGAGGGTGATCAGAGCCAAGAGCGTTTGATGCTTTAAAGGCATCTGTGCACACAAAGCAGGCTGCAATTCTGGATTTGTAGAAGAGAAATAGGAAACATCATTTTCTTTAAAAAACAAAGAATACAACTGATTTTAAAACAATATTTAAAATTAAAAACATGATACAATTAGCTATTGTGTTGTAAAAATAAGTAAAGAAACTCACAGAAAAAGCAGCTCATGCCCCGCTCCTTGCCCTCTACATAAAGATCTTAGTTTCGCCCGATTTTCTTGGTCGTCTTCAGCTTCGACTGCAGCTCTGGAGCCGTTTTTATAGGGAAGCCCAGACTGAGCCGGAAACTGTTTTGATTACGTCTGAGCAGACGTCATCCCGTCTTTAGAGGATTCGTGCGTTTGCATGCGTGTGTGTGTCCCATTATAAAAAGATAGTTTTAACGTAGTGTTAAAAAAACAAGCCCCCCACCACCACACACACACACACACCAGGTTATCATTTCATGGTTTCTTTTTGACGTCTCACCATTTCAACAACAGTGGCAGCTTTTTGTCCCCGACCTCAATTTGGGAGTCACACACACACGTGAATGCAAAAAGGAAGACCCGAGGCTTCGGCAAACCAGAGCGACGCCATCAAATCTTTGAATTTCTTGCATCCGATGAGGATTATTTACATTTTTAAAGGGTTCCCTGCAACTGGGTGAGGCATATCACAACCCCAGACAAGGGTTGTTGCAGGATGCGGATTTGTTGCAACTGATGTTATGAAATAAAACCATAATAATAATAATAATACAAACATGATGGTGTATGAACTAATAGTCTCTTTGGTCAAAGTTGTTATTTTTAAAAGCTTGGTACTTTGCAAATTTCATCAGTGTGCCCATGGTGATCCTTGAAAAATTGTTGGCCACCCCACTGGAGCCCTCACCTGCCTTAATATATCACATTCTTCTTCTCTAGTCAAGATGTGAAAGTTAAAGCCAATAAATGAATATATTCTAATAAATAAATTATATATATATATATATATATATATATATATATATATATATATATATATATATATATATACATAGATATATGTGTGTGTGTGTGTGTGTGTGTGTGTGTGTGTGTGTGTGTGTGTGTGTGTGTGTGTGTGTGTGGAAATGTGTGCAGCAAACCACAACTGAAAACTTGTGTGTAAAAATACCATTAAATGAGCATGTTTGTTTGTTTGTTTGTTTTTTTGATCTCTTGTAATTTAGCGAGATAACATATGGGAACACAGAGCATGAAACTGTTTTGATGACCTTTGATCTGTTAGCAGCTGATATCTGCCCTTTAAAGCTCCGCTCAAAGCTCCAGCTCACTAATATTACTGGAGTTCTTAATTTTTAACCCAGTGAGACACAATCCTCCAGCACCAGAGAGGAGCTCTTCCTCCTCCTATGGCGTCACTGTCAGCCCCGCTGCCCCAGCGCAGCTCCAGTCTGACAAAGCCTAGCTGGAAGTAGGTCAGACTTGAGAAAATGACAGGAAATTTTTAAGCTATTTCACTGGAAAAAAAAAAAGATTAAAACGTAAAACCCAGAGAAGGGATTGTCACTTTGGGCAATCAGCGTGTTTAAATTGCCTACAAATTCCGGGCTATGACGCACGGCTCAACTTGTTTTTGCCCATGTGCTCATTTTTTTTCCATTTTTTCCTCTCCCATCTACTTAATCAAAAAAGACTCGATCCACGTGTTGACTGACTCCATTCAGATGGAAATAATGTTAGCGGGTGAGCAGCCCACACAACTCGGCCAACTTTAGCCTGGAAAGGTCAGAAATCATCACAGCTCTACCTCAGTGTTTCCAGACCCAACAAAGGAAACACTGTCTGTTTACATACCTCCTGCAGCATTGACAGAATATCATCCTTCTTTTTCTGAAGCTGCAAAAGAAAAAGGGAAGTTGTGCAAATTAATTTAGAAGCAAACTGTCTCAAAAAATAAATAATAAACACTAAATTAAGGATTAAGCAACTAAACTAATCTAAAACTTGAACAACCTTAGTTTGGAGAAGCAAAGTTTAGTTGTGTTTGAACAGCTGTGTTGACAAATAACCAAAAAGACGTCTGGTTACAAACTGTCCTTACTTTTCCTAGCAGGTTATGCAAAAGCCATTTTCGTAACCTTTACAGTGACATACATTTCACATTTCTTGATTATTCTTGCAGAAATATGAAGTTCCAGCCACATTAGCTAGCTCTGCAGCACATTTCTGCAACAGATAACCGGGGATTAAACAAAACGTGTAAAAGTTCATTTGTGGTGGTGTAAAAGTATCTAAAATAATGTAGAGGATAAAGTATGGCTGGAGCAAACTGGTCCTTAGTACTTTAATAGGTGCAAAACAAACAGAACTGATGTTTCGACAGATTATGTCTTCTTCAGACTCAGAAGAAGACATAATCTGTCGAAACATCAGTTCTGTTTGTTTAGCACCTAAAGTACTAAGGACCAGTTTGCTGCAGCCATACTTTATCCTCTATATTTGATGTCCCATGGGCTGTCGGAGCACCTGATGTCCTCTGGATGATGCACGACGTGCTCTTCTATTATCTAAAATAAAACTGCTGTCACAAATTTGAGGAGAGCTGTAATTTAAGCTGAAACACGTCGTAACTGGCCAGCCAGTGACTAGCTGTTAACTCATTTATCCAGACAGAACTCATCTGTGTTTCTCCTAACTTAAATTAACTTAATCTGACTTGACTTCATGTGGCTTTACCTTTACCATTGACTTGATTGGACTTTAAAGTGAGGGTCAAGGCCTGGGTGGAGACGTATTTCATCCACACTTCCTGTTAGGAAAACGCTTCTGAAAGAGGCGTCTCCCGGCGGGCCGAGAGAGAGGCACTGAGGCAGTGGTAGACAGCACCCCCCGCGTGTGATGTCAAGAGTTTCTCAATCTAAAAATGAGTTGTTAACGAGCGCGTGTGCACACAAGCACGCACTCACACAAGACTTACCGCTCAGGAGGAAAGCAGACACAGATTCTGCAGCATTCTGGAGCATTTCCTGTTAAACGGGAACATTAGATAAAAAGGGGAGGAGGGCTTTTTTTTAAGGAGGTGAGCGGCTCAGACAGCCAGCGTGTCATATCAGCAGGTGAGTGGCCGAGCCAGGTGGAGGTGCGGCTGCCTCACCTGGAGACCAATGCGGTGCAGCCACGTAGTCATTTGCTGAAAACGTCACGTTTTTCAGCTTAGCCATCAGCCACAGCTGGTTCTACATAAATGTGGAGCAGAGTTTTTAACCTGAAGATGGAAATAGAATTATGGTTTTGGGCTAAATTATTAAATTTAGAGTAAGTTGCACTAAACTGCCACACTAATGATTACACGTGTACAGCACCATTAGACACTCATCTGTACACGTTATTAGAAACAAAAAAGGTCATTTAGGGGTTACTTGCTCTTTAAATAAAATCTACTTGAACTAGACTTAATTTGACTTGACTTCACTTAAACTGGACCTAACCTAACATGAACTTTAACTTTACTTAGCTTAAACCTTACCCTTGACTGATCTTTAATTGACTTTAAATGATTTTTAAATGGACTCAACTCGACTTCAACAGAAGTCTGGAACGTTTTTTTTTCTCACAGGGCGCCATCTAGAGGCAGAAAAATGTGTTGCATCTTTAAACCCCTCTGCCTACTTCCATGATTATGGCTAAACCAATGCCTCTCGCTCATGAGAATAACTTTTCTATAAGAAATGTTGCCAGCTCTGCATCTGTTTAGGCACGTCTGCAAACGCATGATGGACGTCTGCAAGTAAGTGGATGTCTAACACTTGGCTAATGCTGAGCCGTGCTCAAGTAAAATTGCACGGGGCTCTAAAGGACAGGGAGTGGGCTTAGCAAGAAAAATAACTGACATATTGTCTACATGGTAAATGGCTTGTATTTGATATAGCACCTTCTAGAGTCCAATCCACTATCAGTCATTCACCCATCTTCCCTGAACCAGAAACCAGCGATGCAGGAGGAAACAGGATAGTGCAAGGCCGTTTTCTAGGTTCAAACGTCTTTTGTTGTCCGTGACTTCCAACTGCGTCAATGTCAATGTCAAGTTTATTTATATAGCACATTTCCAACAATCAGAGACGGCACAAAGTGCTGTACACAGACAAGCAGTTAAAATAAAATGATAAAACACTGAGAACCATCCAGTAGACCCTAAAATTAATTAACGATAAAATCAGTTAAAAGCAAGGGTAAAAAGGTAGGTTTTTAAAAGAGACTTAAAAGCAGAAAGGCTGTTAGCAGACCCAATCTGTAGGGGAAGGCTGTTCCAGAGCTTGGGAGCGGCCACAGAAAAAGCTCTGTCGCCTCTGGACTTCAGCCTAGACTTGGGAACAGATAATAGATGTAGAGCGGATGATTGAAGGTTTCGTTTGGGGACATGAGTGTTTAAACGTTCCGACAGATAAGGAGGGGCCAAATTGTGTTGTGCCTTAAAACAGATCAGTAGCATTTTAAATTGAATCCGGTAAGTGATCGGGAGCTAGTGAAGAGCTTGTAAGACGTGTTATGTGATCTCTGTGTCTCCTACCTGTCAGCAAGCGAGCTGCCGCATTCTGAGCCACCTGCAAGCGGTGAATTGGCGACTGCTCCAGTCCATGATAGAGAGTTGCAGTGGTCTACTCTCGACGTGATTAGCAGGTGTATAACCTTTTCAAAGTCTTTGAGTGGTAAATAGGGCTTGACTTTACTGAGAACACGCAAATGAAAGAACACACTCTGGACAACAGAACTTATCTGTTTATCAAGTTTAAAATGGCCATCAATTGAAAAACCCAGATTTCTTGCCTGAGACACGCAAAAGGATTCTAATGGGCCAAATACACTGTTTACCCCGTGCAACAGCCCAGGGTCCCCAAAAACGACAATTTACATCTTTTGGTCATTTAAAGTGAGAAGGTTCAATTGTAGCCAGTTTTAACATCTTTTAGACAATTCAGTAATTTGTCAAACAATGGCCTTCGAGTATGTAGTGGGACATATATATGCACATCGTCCGCAAAGAAGTGATACGAGATGCCATGCTTATGAAAGATGGCGCCAAGAGGCAACAGATACAGCGAGAACAAGAGCGGGCCCAAAACTGAACCTTGAGGGACACCACAACTAAGTTTCACTGGAGACGAACAACACTGCCCCGTATTTACTGCAAAAGTCCTGTCAGGTAGGACTTAAACCACTGCAACACTGAGCCCAGGATGCCAACGTCATGCTCTAGGCAGGATAAAAGGATCTGATGGTCCACCGTATCAAACTGTGTTTTTCTTTTTGGGACTCTGGTAGTTTGTCCTAAAGTTGAAGTGATAGCAGCCGGCTGTTTCTCCTGTTCTGATATTATTGAGTGGAGAACCTCTCACACCAGTGGTGATCTGTTGCTAAATACGCGAGTGTGTGATGAACCGTGGAGGACCCAGGGGAGTGTGGTGGTTCTGAGAGGCCGACCACAGAATGGTCCAATAGGTGCTTTCAGTCCACTTTAATTTGACTTGCCTTGACATAATCATCAAACACCAGAAAGCAGCTTCCCGTTTGAACTCATGCATGCTGAAGACATAACTCCTCTTCAAACCCTGAGCTGCTCCATCACCTTCAGGTCCTGATTTTCTCTTGTCTAGCTGGTTCTGGTGGATCTCAGAGCTGAGCTAAAAATCTTGCAACCATCCAATCACATTGAAGTGATGTCATATCTCCATGACTCAAGCAGAAAGGGCCTGGTACTATCAGTATAATTCTCTATCGACTCACTGGCTGAAAGTGGTTTTAGCTCTTTCCAAAATGTTAGAACTCTAAAATGACTGTTCTATTTATTATAGATTTTATCATAAAACCCAAATTTATGCAGTTTGGAACATTTAAATAAAACTGTGCTAGAGGAAATATTTCCATATTGAGCATTGAATGTTTAAAGGAGGCAACCTCACCCTCTTCTTATAGTAAATCCTCCACTTGTGATACTCTTTGATCACCACTTCAATCCTCCTCTTCCAGTAACTGCCTTCCAGTATGATCGCCTGTCACCCAGAAGGAAAACTCAGTTCAGTTCAGGGACTTCTGCAAAGAAATAAACGTTTTCCCTCTCCCTTCAGAGACATCGCTCACTTCAGGTTTCCGATGTGCTTCTGCCTCCGAGCCTTCCAGCGGCGTGACAAACCCACACACTGGGTTCTTCCTTTTCTCCACATCTGAGCACAGAAATGATCAAACTTGTAGCTGATCTTTACATAACCAAAACGGAAAAGCAGTTTGTTTTGGACTTTACTTTGTTACTAGGGATGTCTCGTTCCGATATCGAAAATAATTCCTTATCGACCCAAAAACACTGTATCGGATTATATCGGACTGCATCAAAAATCTCCGATATAAGCAATCCGTTAAGGTTCACATTTTAGCAACCAATGGTTAAAAACTAATTGTTTTTTTTTTTCAAACTTACTGTTATTGGTTCTTGTTTTTCGATTGAGTAATATCACTTGATCAAGCCTTTCACACATTCCACACTACGAATCGTATCGGTATCGGTCAATAATGAAGGCTGCAATATTGGTATCGGAAGTGAAAAAGTTGTATCAGGACATCCCTAGTTGTTACAGATGATAAGAACCAAGAAATGAATGGAGAATTAAAAAATAGCAATTCTTAAATAACAACATAAACAATGGGAAACTATAAAACAGGTTTTTCACAAATTTACATGAGATTTGGAAAATAGGAGAATGTATTGGACAAGATCCCAAATAAAGGTGACCTTCTTATACGTCTTTCAATGGGTGTCATAAATAAGAACAGAAAAAATGGGAGTTCCTGCTTCTTCTCATCAAAAGGAGTCAGTCGAGGTGGTTTAGACATATAAACGACTCCTGATCACCTGAGGCAGACCCAGAACTTGGTGGAAGAGTTATGTTTCCACTTGGGAATGCTTCAGGATCCCTAGGAGGAGCTAGAGAGAGTCGGAGGATCACGGGATGTCTGTACTTCCCTCTGTAACCCAACCGTGTTACCCCCATCAGGAATGTCAGGAAGGTGAGGGAAAGTACGATGGCTCAGCTGCCGTGTCTCCAGATAAAATTGTCTCTTTCAGGATTTTCATATCAGCGTATTACGACTATTACAGCAATCTCACGATGCATGACATTTGCACAGAAAACAAGTGCCTTGAAATGACTCTTGTCGTGATTTGGCGCTATATAAATAAAATTGAATTGAATTGAATGACATCACTGATCAGCGCCAAAAGGCGCCCATGGACATTAGTGACATTAAGAGTATTATCTTGCCAACTTATGCTATTATTTAATCCACTTGGGGGATGGGAGAGCAGCTGTGTGATGTAAAAACCTCACCAGCAACTCCTACAGTTTTACAAATGCTGGTTGAAGACATCTACCCATACTATTTCGAATTACAACTAAGCAGCATGAGAAAATCACAAGTCCTGGCCACGACTCTACCAGGCACTCAGATACTCCTTTGGTTCCTGACATAGCTCAGAAAGTGGTCCTTTTGGGATGTCCCACTGAAATGAAGACACTCGGGTACCGTGAAGCATAGACATAATTTTTTTGGGGTGGGGGGTGGGGGGGAAGACATGTCCCCCCCCACTTTTTCCAAAGTCAAGTTTGGACCCCTGCACTTTTTACCATCCAAAAACAATATTACGCTATATTAAATTGACACTGGTTGAGCTCTAGGACCAAGCGGAAAACAACCGTTTGTGTTGAAGACTGTTTCCCATTAGAGCATACTGTAAAGACCACCCCCCCACCCCCACCCCCCGTGTTTCCCCCCCCCCCCCACACACACACACACTTTAAAGTGAAAATTACCTCCATGCCGTGAAGGTCCAGTAAAATTACCCGGAAGTCCCGGTGGTAGAAGGAAGGATAATTAAAATGCAGTCCTTCAAGGAATTGTGGTCTTCTATCCAAGATTTTGAAAGACCCACTTCTTTTAATGCAGAAATATAGAAATGTTTGGACTTTATAAAAACATGCTGCTTTCTAGACCACATATTATTTCGAAAAAGTTCAGAGATGGTTTAGGAAGCTATTCTGAACACACCCCCGAGGCAGAAAACTGGAGGAGGGGTGCCGTCCTTCACCGCACACTTGCATGAGAATGTACAAAGAACTTTCAACTTAATGGTGCAAAAACCGCTAAACTGTTGGTAAAAATGGGATTAAAAAATGACCCCATGTGCTTCGTCTCACGATGTATGTATGACATTTGCACAGAAAACAAGACAAAGGATGTATGTTTTCTTTACACTTCCAACCTTTTCTGATTCCTGTTTCCAATGAATAATTTAAGAAATAGTCTTTTGTGCAGCGGACTCACACTGAATGAACCACGCTCTCCAGATCGCATTGTTCAGGCGGATCTTGTCCCTCCAAAGCAACCGTAGACCTTTAAATGACTTCCATTTGGGAGAAACTATCTTCCCACTGTGGGAGGGGGGAAAAAGACAAAAAAAAAGAATCAAATACTGCAGAAATCAGACATATGAGCAAGCTCACAGAAAAATAAAGAATGAAAACAAGAAGCCTCACTGCTGGAAACATGTCCTGATTTTGACTAATAGCACCCAATACGCTGATTCCTCAGGATGTTTGCACTTTTTTTTCACCAACATCCCATCTCCTGCTGAGTGCTTAAGAGAGGGCTCCTAATGTGAGGTGCTGAGGGTGTTGCTAGGTAGCCGGTGAATCAGTCTCAACATGCTTTTAATGGAGTAAAATGGCCACACGTTGATTACTGTACTCCTAAACAGCAGAGAGGTTCCTTGGAAATACAAGAACCATTGTGCACCACATTTATTAATAACAGATATTAACTAATTTCTTAGGTCTAAATAATCAATAAAAAATAAATGATGACTGAAAAGAATTAATTTGAAGTATTTTTTGTTACGTTTTGATGAAAATGTTTAGTGGTTAGTTTTATTTGCAGACTTCGGACAACATTTCTTGCATAGCAGTCAGAGCTGTGAAAACATATTTGTCACCTTGCAGATTTCTACTGGTTGAGCTTTTTTTTTTTTACTTAACTGAACACACATTCACTATTTCCATAAAGCTGCTTTGGTCTCTAGTATGAATGAATGCACTTTGAGGTTTTGTGTGGGGGGGAAAAAAGCTCTGGCGCTCCTGTTTCAGGGTGCAAGAGTTAGTCATAGAAGTGGGGGTGGAAAACGACAGGATCCGAAGTCTTGCTCATTAATATTCATGATGTGTGAACATCTCACCTCTGATTGGCTAGTAGCAGCATGACTCTTCTGCTGCCTCTGTTCACTCGTCTCTAGGGATGGGTACCGAATTATGTACTTTTTAAGGCACCAACCGAATTCCAGAGTACCGACTGATGTCATATGAAACAGTGCCTTTTGCGGTAATCAGCACCGGCACAAGAGCGTAATATTGTAAGTCACTGTGGGCAAGCCGTGAAAAAAGCAGCACGGCAGAGAGGAAGTGTTCTGAAGTTTGGGTCCACTTCACCAAATGGGATGGGTAACTGGGTGATGATGAAACCAGCAACAACGATCTAAGTGAGGCATCATCATCTTAATCGGCTCCAATAGGTAAATAAAATGTTTAAGATAACCTTAGCTTGATATGTTAGCTTCCATTCAGCTAATGGTGCGTTCGCTTTCTCTTCGGAACTCCAAAATTCTGACTAGAAGAAAGCGAACGCGCTCTAAAGTTTGGCTTCACTTTACTAAATGTGATAAGCTGTTGGATGATGATGAAACCAGCGACAATGATTTGAGTTTGAGGCATCTTAATCTGCTCCAGTAGCAAAATGAACTGTTTAAGATGACGTTAGCTTGATAGGTTAGTTTTTGTTTACATAGCTAATGGTGCGTTCGCTTTCTCCTCAGAAATTTCAACTTCCGAGTAGGAAAAATAAACAGTTTGAAAATGAACGGCAAAAGGAATTAAATAAAAACTGTTGCCTGGTATTGAAGTTTGCTTTAGTTTCATTTGTAGTATAGGGTTGGGTGATATGGCCTAAAATCAATATCATGATATATTGAGGATTTCACCTCGATAACGATAAATGGACGATAACTACAGGTATGTGCAGAAACAAAAGATGTCCACTAGATGGGGCTGTCACGTGTATTATGTGGAGTCACATTTTAACGTGACTCAAGGTGGTACAGCTTCTTAAACGGACATGAACTTTACCAACCTACAAACATCTTTTCATTTTTTACTATCAGTTTATTGACATGGGAAAATTTATCTCAAAAAGAGTCAGAAACTTCAATAATAATACATTTTCAATATATTGCCCAGCCTTAATTTGTAGTTTATAATACATGGTCTCCTCATCATAGTTATTCCAGAGGACATAGAAGAGTATTAGGTGTACATGGAGCTGGGTTTGTTTTTGCGTCCTTTAGAAACAGTTGTGGTTAAAGGTTTTCATATTGAAGCAGGGTTTCCCTTACATAGGCGTAGCCGTGGCGGCCTGCCACGGCTGAAATCCCACTACCACGCCTACAAGATCCAAAGTTTTTTTGTTTTTGTTGGCGCTGTTTCCCGAAGAAGCAGCGGGAACTACTATGTTGTCGCTTGTGATCACAGCCGGCGGGCAGCAAGAAGAAAGGAGCAGGCAGGGCAAGGTGAAGTTACAGCATAAGTCACTGAGTTTAAAATTAGAAAGGTAGCAGTGGATATAATGCTTTTTGGTTTACATGGTTCAATAGCATTAAGATAAACGAGTGTTGACGATCTTGACAGGGTTTCCTCCAGTGCTTATTAGGACAGGTTTTCCTCCCCCACCAGGCTAAGCATCACTTATTCATGTAAAATTTATGTATTTTTTCATGTCTGACTTTAACTGCATCTAATACTGTATTACGGCGTGAGCGCAACTGCGACAACTTAAGATTGATGTGTGAGCAGCCTGAGAGGTCGGGTGTTTTCATCTGAACCCTTAAAACCTCCAGCAGGCTACGCTGCACTATTGACGCGTTAGCGCGCGGCGCTAACAACTTAGCGACGTGACATGTCTCGGAGAAAGCGTAAAAACACGTTGGACGCTTCTTCTGAAGCGGGAAAATAACACCTCTACTTAAGCAGAGCACGACGTCGCCTAGGCTCGTTCACGGCCGAGCCGGACTGACCCAGCACAGCCACTGGGTCGTTGGAGCTGCCCTGTGACTGCCTGATGGAAAACCAGCGGGTTTCATCAGACTCGTAAAGTTTCTTGTTTTTGCTGGGGACCCCCTGTATTTTACCGCTCCCTCCTGCAGTCTTCCCCTATTAAAATTTGAAATGATTCTGTAAATCCCGTGTATCAATAGAAAAAATCTCTGCCTCTGCCAGCTGCAGTAAATGTAGTTTCCAAATAATAAATAAGAGGTGCATTCATCCGTGCATCTCCTTTGATCCGCATTAGTGATATTTTCAGCACCAGAACAGTGAAGCAAAGAAACAGATTCCTGAGTTTGTTAGTAATTTTATTTATTAGGTGCATCTAACCTGTTCTATTTTTCTCTTAAATGAGATCAAATCAGTGCTTCTATGGATTGGCTCCTCTCTGCACTAGAAAATTTTACTTTATTTAGAGACGTGTCATAATTTCTCCCCAAGCGCCACAGCTGGAAAAATTCCTAGGGGAAACACTGTGAAGAATTGTGTACAACATTACAATGATAAAATACAAACAGTTGTATGTTATTTATCATTATATTTATCAAATATGGTTATATATTGGGGAAATAATATATATTTAATTTAAAAGGCGATTTATATAATTTTTAAACACTCAAAAGTATCAAAAATTGGCACCGTTTAGTACCGGTATCGATCCGTAGGTACCGGGAATTGGTACCGTATTGATTCAAAAGTCAAAGGTACCCATCCCTACTCGTCTCCACAAATACCAAGCCTAAACGAGTTCCTCTATGTTGAAGTTGCTAATGCTAACGGTTAGCTTCTACTAGCCAAGACGCGCTCTGCTCTCTCTCAGCCGCTAAATCAAGACATCCTTCCTCGTTTGCGAACAAAGATGGGTGCTATGAATGCAAATTTTACCGTGACATAGATCTGTGTGACTTTTTCTGACCCGAGCGTTTCCGTGTCTATTTTCATCGGATGGCTAAAGCAGGCCACAGGGGTTGAAGTCTATTTTCATAAGCAGCCTGCATGTGAAACTCAACGTGATCAATCCTATTTCCAAAAACAACATGTTTCTCTATTTACCTACGCTTTAAATTTTTTCAATCGACAAATTTATGTTTCGGACAAAGACAGCATGACTAAAACACAAAATGCAGTTTTCAAACGATGGTTTTAAGCTATCCAAAAGAACCAGGCTCTGTGTGAAAAACTAACTACGTCTTTTGTAAAATCATGAATGAACTGTACTTAACCAGGTAAGCTGATATTAAGCCTTTGTTCACTAGCTACACTAATGTCTGCTAAAAGGTTTCCAAAAGCCTAAAGAAATTCAAGAATTAAAGAATCCAGAACATCAAAAGCACTAGGTCAGAGGTCATGATTTAACAATAACAAAGAAGGCCAAAATCGCATCACAGAAGAGACCCAAGGACAAAAAACACCAAGAATAACACAACACATCTTGCACTTTACACAAAAACATCTTGATGATCTCCAAGACTTTTGGAATTTTTTCTTTGGACTGACAAGACAAAATTAGAACTTTGAGGAATGAAACAGTTTCATCCAGCGTTCGAATCACAGGGGAGCTAGTGGGAGCTCTAAAACTGACACACCCAGTGATAGTGTGATGGTGTGGGAGCCGTGAATTCTGCCCCCTACCAGAAACTTCCCAAAGGAGAATGTCTGACCTTTGACCTTACAGGCCATTCATGCGGGAAGGCTCTCTTGATTACAGCACACATTCGCCATGGCGTTGGCATTGATTCAATAAGATTCTGCAATGAGACATGATTCACATCCATCCAGTGTTTCGTTAATGTTTCACCAAGATCTTGCATTGATGGCGGTGGAGTCTGACTGCTGCACAAGGACTTCTCCAGCACATCCCAAAGACTCTCAATGGGGTTAAGGTCTGGACTATGTGGTGGCCAACCCCTGAACCACTCTTTCACTATCTGAGCCCTCAGTCTTTTATTCTAAAGTCAAAATGTCCCCCTGAGGTTGTCATAAAGTTCCAACAGGAAAGACTTTAAACTAGATAAATAATAATGGAAGTGTGAGGTTGAAATAACAGGAGATGGATCTTTAAAAGTGTGGGGACTCTTTTCACGACCTTCCCCCTGTTGCCCTCAGTCAGTCGGTCCATTCCTGCCAACTGGACTCAAAGTCCAGCTCATGGTGAGGACTTTTCAGGCTGTTGTGCAAGAGACTGACAACAAACACAACTGCAAACTCACTTATCAGCTGCTTCAAAGGGAAAATAACACGTGTGCACATATTCACTCCGCTAGAAGCTGTTTGAGGCTCTTTAAAACGATTTTTACTACCAAAAAAAACCCCACCAAATTCTGGAGGTTAGAGAATAAAAGACGCGGCAGCGAACCCACCTGTAAGCCAGGGACATGCACTCAAACAAGCGGGTCAGAGTGGGGTCGATGCTCAGGCTCCCGGAGTGGTACCGGTACGTCTGACACCAGGTTCGGTTCACTGTGTCGAAGTCATACCGGAGCGAAGCGCCGCTCTTTCTCCGCCTGCGCGCCGCAGAGTCGCTGTGCGGTGACGACACCATGAAGTGTCCGCTGTGGATGACCTGGGACCCGGGGAAGGAACCGGCCGAGGGTCCGGCGACGCCCGCCGGCTGTGCCAGACCCCCTTCCAGCTCCGAGTCCGACTCCGAGGAGTCCTGCAGCCGGGTCCGGACGCTGCCTCCGCTCGCCATGGAGCTCGAGTCTCTGCGGAGGGTTTCTGAACTTTCCCCTCAGCTGACTCCCCTTCCTCCCCCCTCAGGCTGATACTAGTGTCGGAGAATACAGCCCCAGAAGGAAAACACTCATGATTAATTATTAATAAACCAAAAATACGACTTTGATACCTGGGAAATATATAAAACTTAATGTGTACACAGGCTCCAGAGATGAAAAGCGTTTTCATTTAATTTAATTTGCTGTCAACACAAATAAGTCATTAAAAATGTCTAGACACTTATTGGGAGGAACTGCCAGGGGCTTATCCAGGTGTTTTGTTAAGGTGGCTGAGCACCGGGTTAAAGCGAGGTGGGTCAGGTTAAACTGTCTTTCTTCTCTTTTAGTCATAAAAAAGTCACATGCATTAAAATCATAAGAATTAAAAAATTAGGATAAGGAAAAGTGTACAAGCACAATTAAAGTTCAGACATAATTAGAGTATGTAAGTAATGAAGAGCATAAAACCCAAATTAATTCACAAAAACACAACTTTTAGATAGTTTGCAGATGGATATAAAACCAAGAGCTATCTGTAAGGGAGAGCTCAGACACCCTGAGAAGAAAACTCATTTTGTCCACTTGTATATGCGATCATTCTTTCAGTCACTACCCAAAGCTGATTACAGCTGCAATCAATTCTCTCCTAAATTCATAAAACTATTGTGCATATATGAATGCTTGAACAGGGGTGAAGGTTAATTCTGAAGCCACTTGAGCAGGACCATAAGGCTAAAAACAAAGAGAAACAGGATTCCTTCAGCTGTCAAGATTACCAGAAAGGTCCAACTGTCCAAACCCGACACTCAGGAAACTGACAAATGTCCCGCAGCTACCTGCCTAGAGATGCAACAGATAAGAGGCCAGAAGAAAACCGAAACAGCTGCAGAAAAGTTCCTGCAAAAAAAATAGCTTGTGAAACACTCCCGACCCCACTCACACCTCCGGGTGGTGCGACTGGATCCATGAATATACCTCTGCTAGCAGCTGTGTTTTGCTAGAACAGTGGCTTCCAATAATGGTCCTTGTTTGAGAGAGGTTTCTGTGCATCTACACACCTCAGATTAGTCAATAGCTGATTAACAGGCATCTGCAGAACCTGCTATCAGCTGTTGAATCAGTTGTGTTGAAGCAGGAAAACATGCTGGATAGTGGATTGGACACCCCTGTGCTAAAAGGTAACTGTAACTCTAAATGGTACCGGTGGCCACAGAAAAATTACATTTGAATTCTGGTATCAAACGGTTTTATTGGACAAACTTTCCATCTCTCCAACAAACATCACCTCACTCATTCGACAAAACCGCATCAGTCAGCAAAAACTCAGTTGCTCAGATCCGTCATAAATAAACAATTAAAAACGGAAAGAAAAACAGGTTAGTTGGCGTTTTCAGAAATCCTGACTTTTACGGATGAGCCAGGCAGTAAAACCCAGACTTCTGTAACTGGCAGTAGGTTCTCTCTCAAGTTACAGCCACACTTTACAGAAAAACTTAAAACCTTTACTGACTAAGAGTAGTGTGGCAGCTGCTGGCGACCATCTAATCAGTCACTGAGCACTTTACCCTACAGCCTCCATCTTTATTAGGTAGAAACTATTACATTTGACATTAATTACATTTCACAAAGCCCTGGAGATCCTCCAGGAACTTGATGTACTCTTGATGCTCAATGGCGGTGCTCAGCTCCATCAGCTCATCGGCGAAGGTGTTGTCAACCCCGCGGTCAGCCAAGAAATCCATCAGGTGGTCATAAAGCGCCTGGAATAAACGGACTATGAGAGTAGTGTCCTGCAGCCTCATTAACTTTCTGAACCAGTCTCAGCTCTTACCCAGTCCAGGGAGTCTGTGTTGAGTGTGTAACTGGTCTCCTTCCAGTCCACATCCCCCTCTGGTTGGAAACTGACCTCCCGGATTGCAAAGATGTCGCTCTCCTCCTCCCCCTCGGCATTACTTACCTACAACACACAAATCCAGCAGGTTTCATTTAACTGAGACAGAACCGGCTCCTCACTATTTAGCATGTGCTTGTGTATGTTTGTTTTACCTCATCTTCAGGAAAATGACAGTCAAACACAAGGGAATGTTTAGCAGCTTGTTTTGTCACTTCAACAACAAAGTTGGGTGTTGACACAATCTCTGGCTACAAAGAAGGACAAAAATGATACAATTATAGAATTATAAAGTGTTAAAATCATTTTTTCTTTCCACGACCAATCAGGTCATAGATTGATGATGGGCTTACTTCCTCCTCTGCCGATTTCTGTGACTGCCCCTGCTCCACTGCCTCCTCCTCAAAGTTAGGAGGAATGCTGTTGTTGACATTGAACGTGACGGTGATTCTGAAATCAGACCACACCGTGAGCCCACACTGAGCACCACTTCCTCTCAGAACAAATCGTAGCATCCTTACTTGTCTCCAGAAGCATGCTTTGTGAGTTTCACCTCTGTTCCATTCATCCCCACCTCCCATCCTCCAGTCATTTTAGGTAGACTTTTGTTTTTCTGGATTACCTTCTCTTCTTTGATCTCATCAGACAGGAAGTCACCAAATGCTTTATCGCCTGAATAAAGTGAGAGGGCAAAAATGATAGATCTGTCTGAATTAGCATCAACACCTTTAAAACTCCTTTCAGAAAGACTAAATATGAAATGCTGCGTATAAAGTTCACTTAACTCGCTTAAGTAAGACAAGTGTGTGTACTTGAGTGTTTACATGTGTATTTAAAACCTAGAACTTCATGTTTAATTACGTTGTAAATCTCCTAGCTTGAGGCTAACAAGCTAGCTGATTAAGACGTTACTTTAAAACGTGACCTTACCTTCTGTGTGCAGTCCTTCACATCCACACGACACAGAAGGACCCAACACCTTTGAGCTGAACAGTTTGGGTCTGTAGCCTGATGACGCTCCGTTATTATTCAGCATCCACAGGGAGCGGGTGAACGGCCGAATTGTAGCCGAGCTGGGAGCGCACAGAGTCGGGCAGTTGATTGGTAAGGCCCGCGAGACTGAGGACAAGCGAGCAGCGGCTCCCGCTACGCGGACAAACGACTTCAGCATAGCGGTGTGCTTATTAAAACGCTGTGTGAGAACAAAATAATTTAATCTAACGCCCCTGACAGCCCCCTTAGCCACGCAGGTTACGGCTGCTTCTTCTGGAAGATACAGGAAGCACGTGGGGAAGGACACAGCGACCTCGCGTCACTAAGACCTCTGAACCGGAAGCAATGTTTTTTAAAGCGATGGTGATATATTACATCAGTCAAATGAAGCACATAATGTACAAATGATAAAAAAAAACACATCTAAAATATATTAACTAATCATCAATTCCTCATTTGAATACTGCCCTTTGTGCCCAAGCGGAAGATTTTAAATGGACATATGCATTTTGGTTTAACAAGCCTAAAAAAAGTCCCAGTTTGTGATGACACAAACAGGGAATTGGGGCAAGGTGGAAGAGGACTTAAGTGTCTGCCTCATAATTGGAAGGTTACAGGTTCAAACCCCGCTCAGCTGGTGTCGGTCATGTTGTGTCCGTGTCACATTACCAGCTGGGGGTGGTCAGAGTGACGCCTGTGAACTTCAGCCTTGCCCAGGGCAGCTGCAAGGCTGTTTCTCCCCGTTCGCTGACTGAGAGCGGGGAGGTTGCGCTGACTCCCAGGTGCAAGGGAGATGTACTACCAATGGAGCAGCAGCAACTCTACCTGAAACCCCCCTGAATATGAGGGCACCTCAGGTTATATTAGCCTGAGTAGGATGGATGTTTTCTTAAAGTGAGGCTTGAAACAACTCACTGTCGAAATAAAAAAGCTGAAATCACTTCATGTCAGAAGAATTTTGTGCAAAGAACTTTATAAAGATGTTTGTATGGACAATGGAACTACGATAACCATCTTCTTTAAAGGGACAGTTCACCTTTTTTCAAGCGGAGGTCTGTGGAGGTGTTGTGAACAATTAATATCTGAGCTGCTGTTGATGGCAATTGGGCTGACCTCAATTTAGAGGTTGTGTTCAAATTGGAACTAAGCTGTTAGCGACCTCTTGACCCCTGTACTGAGACACTGTGTTTACACACGCCTGTATTCTCCATACCAGTAAACTCAGGTTTGATTACCAGCTGGCTGATACTTCCTTTTCCACACAAAACTTTTCGTTTTGCTTTTAATACCTGGTAAATATCTGGCCTTTTCAGCTTTGTTATGATGCATTAAAATCTAAAAATGTAAGAGGGTGGACTTTGTCACGAGTCTGTGACAAAACTTTAAAGTTTCTATCTGGAAACAAAGCTTTCAGGCATTATAGAAACACGTCGTAAACAAACAAAAATGATAATCACCTTGTTGAAACATTTCTTTCATTAACTGGTTTACTTCAACAGTTGGAATACTTTTATTAGAAATTATAATAGTTTATATGAAAACCTGTTCTACTCTAATTAAGCTCATTTAATGTTTGCCTTTATTCTACAAACTACATGCAGGTAGGTAAAGTAGGTTTTCATTTGACTTACAAACAAGTAAAATGCAAGTGGATCTCAGAGAGATTCCATCAATTATAAATGCAAACATTTTTGGTTCTAAGCAGGAAACTGAAACGCACGTGGTGCCTCTTCAAAGATATAAACTATTTATGTGACAACATGTTGAAATTAGAGTATATGTTGTACAATCCTGAGTGCAGAGTAAAAAAGAAAAGAGGATCCCTTCATCAACATGATGTGACCTTCTAGAGCAGGGATTCCCTAAGTGTGGTGTGGTGCGCGAGCTGCCGCTAGGGGGTGTGCGAGGTGAAAAGTGTAATGGCTGCGGAGCTCAGAGAAGTCTGTCATATGTCACCATTAGCGTAGCCAAAAACTCATTTGTGGGTGGGCCTAAGAAAAAGTAAGTGGGCCCAATAAATGCAACTGAAAACAAGTATATTTTGTGTGTGTGTGTCCTCCGCATGTGACCTAGCTTCATAATAATGCGCTCCGAGCTTCAGCGCTCTGGCCTGCACACGCTGTCAATAGCAAGATATGTTTCGTATTTGATCATTTTTATCGGTGTTGGAGAAATCTGAAGGTGGTGAGTCATTCTGGCAGACTGTAATTAACACCCTGTCTCATGCAGGTGTTCTGACATTGTAAACCTCACACACAGAACATTGTGGATGTAACTGAATAAATCACGAAATGATTCCCATCTGAGCATTTTAGCATTATTATATTATTATATTAGCACACTGACTGTGGGACAGCATTCTAAACGTGTCAGGCTATTAACAGCGCGCTGAAGATCTGAAGTTCGGAGTGCGTCTGTCAGAGGTCAGACGCGTTCCAGCGGAACCACGGCTCACAGGTGCACAAGTGAGCACATCTGGGCTGGGCAGAAGTCATTTTACAACATTGGTTTAAATAGCGCCAATAACGAGACGCGGTGACTGGAGCGGCTCATGGAGCTGTGCCGCACACACACACACACACACACACACACACACTGATTGAACAAGCGCACGCTGCACAAACTCCGGCCCTGGCTGTGCCGTCAGACTGAAGGCAGAAATGAGCGCTGCCTCCTCCGTGATAAAAACTTTTAAAAGGTTTTATAATAACATTTTTCATTTGAGGTCAAATTAAGATATTAGCTTCTATTTTGGGATGACGTATGAAATTCGAGTCCGCTCCAGCCAGCAACTCCTCATGAACCTGACTACAACTCATGTTACTGCAGCATTTGTTATTCCAGTCCGCGTGGCAGCGGATCGCAGATTCAGCCACACCATAAAACAGCAATAAGTCAGTCTGAGGCAAAAGTGAACCTCATGGCTATAGCTTTTCCATCTTTTCCCCTATAGACATTTGATTACGCACAAGTAGGTGACCAGTTCAGGTTTACGCAGAGCAGAAGGAAGAAGAGCGCTCTTGCCACAGGGTTAAACGTTCCTGCCTTAAGAAAACCGTTAAATTGCATTTTTTATGTGCTACCTGGGCATGGGTACACACACACACACACACACACACACACACACACACACATATATATATATATATATATACATATATAAATATATATATATATATATATATATATATATATATATATATATATATATATATACACATATATATATATATATACATATATATATATATATACATATATACATATATATATATATATATATATATATATATATATATATATACATATATACATATATATATATATATATATGTATATCCATGCCCTGATGTGGGGCTGGGGGGTGCGTCGACATGGTCGGGAAATAGAAGGGGGTGCGCGGCTAAATAAGTTTGGGAACCACTGTTCTAGAGAGTACCAAGTGATCAGATCATACACTGTAATCATGCACTATATACATTAGCTGCCAGCGTCAATGTCTGGGTGGAGAGTTTAGTTAAATATTAGTTCAGCAGGAGACATGAGACATCCTTCCTCCTAACATGCACTCTACTTAGAACTAAACAATCAACTGCATGCACAAGCTAACATAGCAAGTGTTGTAGTCAGCTTTTATAATAAAATCACACCTTAGTGGCATGCGAAATACTAAAAACTAACTTATTTTGGTATTTTCCTTTTATTTTAATGAATCTACAGTCTGCAGAAGAAACAGAACTACCTGGTATAAATGTTTAACAACAAGGATTTTCAGGCTAATTCTGACTCAACTCTTCTGCTGCGCTCCAGTGAAGTTTTGAATGTTATTAAACTACATGCACATCTATTTTAAATGAGTTTTTTTCCACATAGCTATGTAATTAGATTAATTCCTGTCAGGCAAAAGAAAAGAGCCTAGAAAAGTTAAGAGGAAGCCAACGTTGTGGGACCCTGCTGTGCAGATTTGCAGAACAATAGCGACACGTGCCAGATCCACGTCATCTGGGAGGTAGAAGAGTCCGGCAAAGTTTTCAACACAGAAAACGTTCGGCTCCGAACGCTTAGGGAATCCTGTTAGCTCTTAGCGATGTGCAGCTTGCGGCCAAAGTATTCCGGCGCTGCATCCAGCAGCCAGTCTGCGTCGACCAGACAAAGGTCCCTCATGTAGCAGCGGGAGGTGTGCAGCAGCTCGTTGAAGACCACATATGCTGGTTTAGACTGGAAAAGGACAGAGGAGGGGTGGATGGCAACAGGCTGGTGGGTGTTCAGAGCCAAGTAGCTGCCGTCAAGTTGCAGCTCTGCAGCGTTGAGGAACATCCCGTGAGCGAAGCAGCGGCGAACGCGCCCCGTGTCGGACCCACACGACTCGAGCTTCAGGTTCAGCTGAGGAAAAACACAGAGGATTTAGTCATCTCAAGCTCCTGGAAACCTTTTGAGTTTGGTTCCCATGAGTCTGAATGTGATAAATGTGAGACAACTTCAGGAAATAGCAATAAAATGAGGGTAAATGACAAAATGACACATAATCAAGACACTTTTGTGTCAAAACAGCAACAAGAAAATTTGTCCAAATGTCATATGACCGCCATGGTAAATGGTAAATGTCCTGTATTTGATATAGCGCCTTCTAGAGTCTTGGAACCCCCCAAGGCGCTTTACAACACAATCCGTCATTCACACATTCACACGCTGGTGGGGATGAGCTACGATGTAGCCACAGCTGCCCTGGGGCGCACTGACAGAGGCTAGGCTGCCGAGCACTGGCGCCACCGGTCCCTCCGACCACCACCAGCAGGCAACGTGGCTTAAGTGTCTTGCCCAAGGACACAACGACAGCAACAGACTGAGCGGGGCTCGAACCTGCAACCTTCCGATTACGATCACATGGCTGCCCATGCAACCTGACCACCGGTAAAACTTGTAGTAAAGACAGGATTCAAACTTAAATGCGCCCATCTTCTCAAAACTGATGGATTTATTAACCACCTGTCTGCCTCCTGCTGCTGCTGCTCTAACAGCAGCAGGAGGAACAGATGGCTGCTTCCAACTGTCCTCTACTTTCTCTAGATTCATTTAAATGTGTGATAAATGTAACTCGTCTCCCAGAACCACCCTGTGACTGGACTCCTGCAGAAACAGAAGCTGCAGGATATTCTACAGAATCTGAGCTTTTCTCCCTAACCCAACTCCACCTCGGCCCGTTTGGTAAGAGACACAGAAGCCTGCTAAACATCTCACAAGCAACAAGATGCATGAAGTCTATACCCTTAAGAAAACAAAAACAACTCATTTCTGCCACTAAATGAGCAAAAGTGACAGATTTATAATCCTGACACCACTCTGAATTCTCCAGACCTGATGGGGACATCATGCGATGTTTGATGCAGATAGATCAGTTTTTTACCTTCAGGAAGATTTCTCGGAGTTGTGCCTGGACCTCCTTCACCAGACTCATGTTCCTGCTGTTGACAAAGTTCTCCCGGCACCACTCCTGCAACAGACACATTTGAAACGTTTAAAAACACGTAACCAAACTTGTTTCTGACATTTACAGAAGCGTACCCTCTTCAGACAGACCTTGTTACCGCTGACTTTCTTGAACGCCCTGTAGATGTTGAGCAACGTCACATGGTCCCCCTCACTGGACGTGAACTTCTTGCGTGCGGCGAGCACCTCGTCCCGACGGGCTGGAGGGTTGTACAGAACGCTGTCCACCGAGAGCAGAGACACGATGCTCAGGATCTCCTCAGAGCAGGCGTAGTCCGGGGACAGCAGGATGGTCTGGGACACGGAATGGATAAACTAATGTTTTGATGATTTGTAACTGCTGCGGGAGTTCGTCTGGTCATAGATCGTACCTTTGCATATCTAGGCTCCAGAGGGAAGCTGGCCATCTTCTTCCCCAGAGCAGTGAGGAGAACCTGCTCCTTCTTCTTCTCCACAGCTCCCAGCAGCTCCAGATGCTCAACAGCAGATCGGATCGCCTCTGAGATAAACAGAGCGTACGGTTCTAGCAGGAAACATGAGGCAAACAGAGATCTATGATGAACAGCATCTCACCTGAAGAAGGCTTGGACATGAAATCAAAATTCATCACATCAGGAATCCCCAGAGCCATGAGCTGCAGCATCACGCCGGCTAAGTTACACCTGCAGGTCAAACGACTTGTGAAGGGGGGAGAAACAGACAAGGAAAAAGTATTCAGTCACTAAAGCCGGGCGTGCACTGTGCGACTTTTTCACTTTTTTGAGCCGATTTTCCACTCGTGCTAAAATCCACGAGATCGGGGCGAGTTTTGCGCCGAGCGTCGTGTAGTGTACAGGGGGTTACGAGAGGCGATTAACACCACGTGACCAGCTACCGATCAGCAATCGTGAGCTCGCACGGACTTCTGGAGTGTTTGATATTTTGCTCGTCCCTCGTGAGGGTATCGCACTGTTGAAGCGGTGCTGCGACCCAAAAAGTACCAGAACCGCTCACGGCGCATGCGCAATCCTGCATCAACGCCTCTCGCCCGCTATTTCCTTAATAACACACGCTGTTCGTTTTTGTTTCTACAGGTTTTTTTTACTCACAAAGATTGTCAAGAAAGCGTGTTTGTCGTGTTCATGTCAAATTAAACTGATCAAAAAACACAGATTTACTTTCTTTATTTGGTTTTCCTCATCCAACCCCCATAAATCCCCGTGTGTCCTCCTGCAGCACTCCCGAAGGACAACAGGCAAAACAAGACAAAAAAGTCTGACGTGTTGAGTAAAAACTGCTATTTTTAGCATATTTTTAGGTCCGACGTGTTGCCACCAGACGTACAGTGTGAGCAGTCAGGTCGCATCCGAGAACTGGGTCGTATAGTGTGAGCGCATGACTCGTGAGATCTGCCCTGCGAGGAAGTCGTACAGTTTGAGCTGAAGTTGAGTGCTACGAGTGAAAAAGTCGCACAGTGTCCGCCCGGCTTGACGGCATCAGGCCCACAGACTTCCTACCTCTGGATCTCAGGTACAGTCATGGGGATGAGGCTGTCGAACTCCTGCTCCGTGTAGAGACGGTAGCAGAAACCCGAGTCCTCCCTGCCGGCCCGGCCCGCTCGCTGCCACGCCTGGGCCTTAGAGACCCGCTGCACCGCCAGCACCTCCAAACCGCTATCTGAGAATCACACCGAGTCGCAAAAAGGATTCAAACTCAAAACGAAGGGTTGCACTGCTCCTTTAGTGCGTGTACCGTAACAGAGACACTAGAGTCTGATCTAAATTAGTTATCCAGTGTCAATGAAGAGAAGTAAACAGTTAAAAATGCTGAAAAGATCAGAAACGTAAGTCTGGAAAATTAACTTCTGCTGATTAAAAGTGCTTCAACAAACTGCAGAAAACAGAGGAACAAAAAAAAAAACGATACAATAAACATAAAAAAAAAACGAAATAAAAGTTACACAATAAAGAACACTGAAAACTACACCAAGAAGAGGTCTCTATTCGTGAGTTTTTTTTCTATTCTGGCACAATTTATTATTAATTTATATAAAACAATTACAAAAAACATTTTGCACAAATATTCTACAGAATAGCTTAAATTTTCTAGACCTGGTCTCCCTGAAGATGTAGAAATACACTTAAAGCCTTTTGGTTTTTAGTGCTTCTAAAATGGACTTTTTACTGTTTGTATTTTGGGCGGGGGAAGTCGGGGGCGGGTGATAAAAGCAGCTGCTTCAGTGCTTCAGCTGAAGCTTCTCACCAGGATTGAAACGTTTGGCCTTCACCATCCCCGTGTCGATGACGTATTTAATCCCAGAGATGGTGACCGATGTCTCGGCGATGTTGGTGGAGAGGATGACCTTCCTGCAACCCTGCACACACAAACAAATGTAAACACACAAATGAAAAAAGTGACCACAACAGAAAACACTATAATAAAGAATAAAAACACAAATCAGTGCTCAGATAAGCAGGCCTTCACCTTGGCAGCCGGCTGGAAGACCCTGAGTTGCTGAGCAGGGGGCAGCGAGGCGTACAAAGGGATGACGACCATGGAGCCGCAGCCGTCAGGAAGATGCTTGGCGATGTCTCGACAGGTCCTCGCCAGAGCCTCGATCTCCTCCTGGCCCGTCATGAACACTAAGATGTCATGGGACGGCGGAGCCTCCTGCAGACATCAGAGACAGTGTGCCAGAAGGAATCATGTGATTTGCTCTTTTGTTTCCTGCTGATATCAGACTACCTGGTGGATCTGGAAGACAGAAACAAGTGCAGCCTGCAGATAGTCCGACTGTGGCTGCTTGGTGTAGTAGATCTGAATGGGGTGCTGCCTGCCCTCCAGGTACAACACAGGAGACTTGTTAAAGTACTCAGAGAACAAATCCACATCCATCGTGGCTGACATCACAATGACCTGGTCGAACGAGAGAAAAGCGCAGAAAAATCAGACGGCAGGAGTCAGTGAGCTGCAGAAAACGATAAAATATCTAAACCAAGTCCTCCTCCCACCTTCAGGGGAACCTTGTTTAACTCCCTCCGCCGGCGCTGAGCAGCCTTCACCACACCAAACAGCACATCCGTGTGCACAGTGCGCTCGTGTGCTTCGTCCAGGACCACCACAGTGTAGCGCAGCAGCATCGGGTCTCCAATGGCCTCGCGCAGGAGCATCCCATCCGTCATGAACTTCAGCTTCGTCTCAGATGAGGTGACATCCTCAAAGCGCACCGTGTAGCCAACCTGAATGTAACAATAGGACTTGAGCGGCCCTTCCAGGACGTTGGAATCTGAACTATTTATGCAAATTCAACCAGTGTCTAAAAGTCTGCACGTATAAATGGATTCCTGGGGATTTATGGGTACCAGCTTCCCGAGTTGAGTCCTCTTCTCCTCAGCAACTCTTCCTGCTAAAGAGATGGCAGCAACTCGACGCGGCTGGGTGATGGCGATCAGACCCTGCCTCCCAATGCCGGCCTCATAAAGGTATTGAGGGATCTGAGTGGTTTTACCTGAGCCAGTCTCACCTGGGGGGACACAAGGAGGGAAGAGTTAATCGGAAACACACCAGAGAAGTTACTTTTCTGAGTATGATCCACAATCAGATCAGTTACCTTTGCGGTTATTATAAAACTTTAATAACATGTAATCAAAACCAAGTTATTCATAGTGGACTTCCATTTAGCTTGAAGCTATCCTCAAATCTGTGTTTTTACCTATTAAAATAGCATTTTGAAGCTGTCTCAGCTGGTTCAGGAGCTGAGGTTTCGCCTGGTGGATTGGAAGTTGTTTCCTCTGGACATCAATGGATACATTTTTATTGTTGTTTGTTCCCTTTCTTGGAAGAAGCATTCCAGGTTTGTTCTTCTCCTGTCGGAAAAAGACGGACCCCGGCTTGAATTTTTTAGCCGGAGGAAAGTCGGCGTTGTGGGGCATGGTCTAGAAAACAACCCTCCGTGGTTTTTATTTTCTCAGCTCGAACAGAAAATCTCCAAAACTTTCTGGACCCTTCACTGGGACCCGAACGAGCGTCAATGCGGATGTTTTGCCGCATCGGCAAATACGTCACCACGTGGTCGACCTCGTCGCGCGCGTTTGACGTCATGTTATTATGGTCTTGTTCGAGATGAGCCAGTTCTGCGTGTTGTAATCCTTGTGGTTAAATACCACATTCATAGATGTAAATGGAGAAACAAGAAGCCATTCCGTAATCTACTGCAGTGTGAATTGAAATCCCTACTGACATCGGTAAAAGCTTTGGGAGACACAAACAAGGAAGTGGTCTTATTAAGCAGGAACATGGACAGTTACTTGATTTTTTTAAAAGGAATGGATGTTTATTTTGTTTATGCCTTATTTGTTTTTGTTTTTTTTCTTTTATGGTTGTGGCCTGTTATGTTCTGATCTATGTTCCCCCAACGAGAGTTTGTGTTTGTTCAATTGTAAATAAAGTTTTTTAAAAAATGAGCCAGTTCTGCCATGACCAAGCTGTCCTGTGATGTCTGCCGTGCCAGCCTGGTGATGGATGCTGCATCTGCCTGTGATGACCAGAGCTACCATTTGCTGACTCTGAAGAACAACAGGGGTCTTGTGGTCCCATCTGAAGGTACTGTGAGGGTCATCAGAGCAGCAGAGTGGGCAATTCGCCAGGCATCAGTGGGCAGACGATCACAGCCCATCAAACCACTGGAGGTCATCTACATTGTGCGCAAGAGGATCGGGTCAGAGGATGTCTTTTTGCTTGGGGAGGACATCAGTGAGACACAGTACGGAATGGAGTCTCACTCCCATACACTGTTGACATCTATTGTCTCCCTGCTCTTTAAGCTGAGGATGCACCACATTGCAAGATTAGCAACTCTTAGCTTTCAGTGTGACAGCGACAGAAGCTCACAAAAGCTGTCCTTTTCAAAGGTCACTAGGAAATCACAATTTGCTTTAGCATCTGTTTGTAGATCTGTTATTTTTATAATCAAAAACATGTATAATCTGTAACAAACAAGTTTTTCATAACTGTCAGTCTGTCATTCATTTACTCTTTTAATTTTTGAAGTGTTTATTTAGCCCTTTATTTTAACTCACAATAATCCCAGTTTTCTCTTCTCAAACTTTCATTTCAAATGGGTTGCAGGCTGAAAGTGGAAATAAATATTAATTATTATAATAACTTGCCAAAGCAAGTATATATTAGGTTCGTATTACTTGCAAATATTAAAGTCAAAGTAAATAAAACATATTCTGTATATCTTCAATTGTCTTTTCTTAAAATATTTTCTCAGTCATTGAGGTTCGAGAGTTGTTTTGCTTTTTTGTTTTTTGGACTGGGTGTTTTAACTTTAAATTTTGCTTGCTGCGTCTGTGTATTTATTCTTTTTAGTTTTACGAGTTTCTGTAAATTAAATCAGGTATTTGAGTTTTTATTTATAAGTAGATATACGCATAGTGAGGGTCTGCTGGGAACGCCTGGCAGAAGAACCTGTTAAGACGGTCTTCAACTCCCACCTCCGGCAGAGCTTTGACCGCGTCCCGAGAGCAGTGGGGGACATTGACTCCGAGTGGACCTTGTTCCACTCTGCGGTTGTTGAGGCGGCTATTGCTAGCTGTGGTCGCAAGGTGGCCGGTGCCAGTTGTGGTGGCAACCCCCGTACCCGCTGGTGGACACCAGAGGTTCGGGGAGCCGTCAGGCTGAAGAAGGAGGCCTACAGGGTGTGGCTGGTCTGTGGGTTTCCGGAGGCAGCAGACAGGTACCGGATAGCCAAGCGGGGTGCAGGGGGCAGTTGCCGTGGCAAAATCTCGGGCGTGGGAGGAGTTTGGTGAGGCCATGGAGAAAGACTATCGATTGGCTTCAAAGAGGTTCTGGCAAACTGTCCGGCGCCTCAGGAGAGGAAGGCAGCAACTCGCTCACACTGTTTACAGTGGGGATGGGGAGATGCTGATGTCCACTGGGGCTATAATCGGACGGTGGAAGGAATACTTTGAGTAGCTCTCAATCCCACCTATGCGCATTCCGAGGAGGAGCCAGAGCCGGGAGACCTGGGGATGGACTGTCCAATCTCGGGGGCAGAAGTTGCTGAGGTAGTCAAACAACTACACAGCGGCAGAGCCCCGGGGGTGGATGAGATTCGTCCTGGGTATCTCAAGGCTATGGATGTTGAGGGCTGTCGTGGTTGACACGTCTCTGCAACATTGCGTGGTAATCAGGGGCAGTTCCTGTGGAGTGGCAGACCGGGGTGGTGGTCCCCATCTTTAAGAAGGGTGACCTGAGGGTGTGTTCCAACTATAGGGGGATCACACTTCTCAGCCTCCCTGGAAAGGTCTACTCCAAGGTACTGGAGAGGAGGGTCTGATCGATAGTTGAATCTCAGATTGAAGAGGAGCAATGTGGTTTTCGTCCTGGCCGTGGAACTGTGGACCAGCTCTATACCCTTGCAAGGGTGATGGAGGGTGCATGGGAGTTTGCCCAACCAATCCACATGTGTTTTGTGGATTTGGAGAAGGCTTATGACCGTGTTCCCAGGCACCCTGTGGGGGACGCTCCAGGAGTATGGGGTGGGTGGCTTTCTGTTAAGGGCCATTCAGTCCCTTCACCAGATGAGCGTGAGTTTGGTCCGCATAGCCAGTAGGAAGTCGGACCTGTTCCCGTTGAGGGTTGGACTCCGCCAGGGCTGCCCTTTGTCACCGGTTCTGTTCGTTACCTTTATGGACAGAATTTCTAGGCGCAGCCGTGGTGTGGAGTGTGTCGAGTTTGGTGGCAGGAGAATCTCCTCTCTGCTTTTTGCGGATGATGTGGTCCTCCTAGCTTCATCCAGCTCTGACCTTCAACTCTTGCTGGGTAGGTTCGCGGCCGAGTGTGAAGCGGCTGGGATGAGGATCAGCACCTCCAAATCTGAGACCATGGTTCTCGACCGGAAAAGAGTGGCTTGCCAACTCCGGGTCGGGCGAGAGGTCCTACCTCAAGTGGAGGAGTTTAAGTATCTCGGGGTCTTGTTCACGAGTGAGGGTAGGAGGGATCGGGAGATCGACAGGCAGATCGGTTCAGCGTCTGCAGTGATGCGGACGCTGAACCGATCTGTCGTGATGAAGAGGGAGCTGAGCCAGAAAGCCAGGCTCTCGATTTACTGGTCGATCTACGTCCCAATCCTCACCTATGGTCATGAGCTTTGGGTAATGACCAAAAGAACGAGATCGCGAATACAAGCGGCCGAAATGAGTTTCCTCCGTAGGGTGGCCGGGCTCAGCCTTAGAGATAGGGTGAGGAGCTCAGACATTCGGGAGGGAATCAGAGTAGAACCGCTGCTCCTCCGGATCTATAGGAGTCAGTTGAGGATGTATGGGCATCTGGTCAGGATGCCTCCTGGACGCCTCCCTGGGGAGGTGTTTCGGGCATGTCCTGCCGGCAAGAGGCCCCCGGGTCGACCCAGGACACATTGGAGAGGTTACATCTCCAATCTGGTCTGGGAACGCCTTGGGGTCCTGCCGGAGGAGCTGGTGGAGAAGGCCAGGGAGAAGACGGTCTGGAGCTCCCTAGTTGGGATGCTGCCCCCGCGACCCGGATAAGCAGAGGAAGACGATGATGAGTTGATATGGTAAGTTATAAGGTATCTTAAAACTTATATTTATAAGCTGACCTCAGTTTACAAACTACAGAGTTCATGAGAAGGAGACCTTGTTGACATTAAAACAGTAAGTCTATGGGAAATTGACAGGATAGGGGAAAACGTCTGGAAAGTGGAGTGAAATGAGGGGAGTTTCCTGCCAAAACTGATATATTTCATAGCCACGACTTTAATGTTTCTAAAAAATCAAACCGTATGAAAATTGGTTGAAAATTGAGAAAGTTAGAGTTGTTTGAATAGTGCATGCACCACTAAACCAGTGTTAGAGGGGGCAGCTGTCTGAAGTAAGATGGCTGCCGTGTACGGACGTCAGGGTCCATAGACGAACAGCGCGGGCGAAACAAACAACACAACAATAAACAATCAATGATGAACAAGAGTCTGCTTCTAGACCTGCAGAAAAGGGTCACACAACAATACAACAAGATCAAGCTATCACTGCGTCAACATGATGAGGAAACATAAAATCAACATTATTTAACTGAACAATCACGATAATAAATCACAGTGTATTTAGTGCCAACCACAGCCTTAAGACGTGTTGAACGTGCCCACGTCCATACTTATGAGAGCACCATGTGAGCACCTGTGTGTGTACACACACTTGTTTATGTAAGGTTTCTCTATAGGAGCATCCAAGAGAGGGTGTGAGGGGCCACAGATCTGCCCCCCAAAGATTTATAGGAGATGGAGGGAGCTCCAGGAGCCGCCCCAGAGTACAGGGACCCCTAGGAGACTGCAACCAGAAAAGCCCCTTAAAGCATACCACTTAAATTTATTATCCATTCATCCATTTTCAGCCGCTGATCTGGGGTCGGGTCACAGGGGCAGTAGCCCAAGCAGGGAGGCCCAGACTTCCCTCTCCCCAGCCACTTGGACCAGCTCCTCAGGGGGAATCCTAAGGCGTTCCCTGACCAGCTGTGAGACAGTCTCTCCAGCATGTCCTGTGTCTTCCTTTAGGCTGTCTCCCATCCTGGAGGCATCCTAATCAAATGCCCAAGCCACCTCAACTGGATCCTCTCGATGTGGAGGAGCAGAGGGTCTACTCCGAGCCCCTCCGATGACTGAGCTTCTCACTCTATGGGAGAGCCCAGCTACCCTGCTGAGAAAACTCATTTTGGCCTCTTGTACCAACGATCTCATTCTTTTAGTCAATGCCTAAAGCTCGTGACCATAGGTGAGGGTAGGAATGCAGATCGACCGGTAAATCGAGACCTTCGCCTTCTGGCTCAGCTCTCTCTTCACCACGACAGATCGGTACAGCGCCCGCATCACTGCAGATGCAGCACCAATCCACCTGTTGATCTCATGCTCCATTTTCGCCTCACCCGTGAACAAGACCCCGAGATACTTAAAATCCTCCACTTGGGGATCTCGTCCCTGACCCGGAGAAGGCATTCTACCCTTTTCCAACTCAAGATCATGGTCTCGGATTTAGAGGAG